ATATCAACACAATATGACGAGTCTGACCCTACATCAACACAATATGACGTCAGTCTGACCCTATATCAACACAATATGACGTCATTCTGACCCAATATCAACACAATATGACGTCAGTCTGACCCAATATCAACACAATATGACGAGTCTGACCCTATATCAACACAATATGACGTCATTCTGACCCAATATCAACACAATATGACGTCAGTCTGACCCAATATCAACACAATATGACGTCAGTCTGACCCTATATCAACACAATATGACGTCAGTCTGACCCTATATCAACACAATATGACGTCAGTCTGACCCTACATCAACACAATATGACGAGTCTGACCCTATATCAACACAATATGACGTCATTCTGACCCTATATCAACACAATATGACGTCAGTCTGACCCTACATCAACACAATATGAGGTCAGTCTGACCCTATATCAACACAATATGACGTCATTCTGACCCAATATCAACACAATATGACGAGTCTGACCCTACATCAACACAATATGATGTCAGTCTGACCCTATATCAACACAATATGACGAGTCTGACCCTATATCAACACAATATGACGTCAGTCTGACCCAATATCAACACAATATGACGTCAGTCTGACCCAATATCAACACAATATCACGTCAGTCTGACCCAATATCAACACAATATGACGAGTCTGACCCTATATCAACACAATATGACGTCAGTCTGACCCAATATCAACACAATATGACGAGTCTGACCCTATATCAACACAATATGACGAGTCTGACCCTATATCAACACAATATGACGAGTCTGACCCAATATCAACACAATATGACGTCAGTCTGACCCTACATCAACACAATATGACGTCAGTCTGACCCTATATCAACACAATATGACGTCAGTCTGACCCTATATCAACACAATATGACGTCAGTCTGACCCTATATCAACACAATATGATGTCAGTCTGACCCTATATCAACACAATATGACGTCAGTCTGACCCAGTATCAACACAATATGAGGTCAGTCTGACCCTATATCAACACAATATGACGTCAGTCTGACCCTATATCAACACAATATGACGAGTCTGACCCAGTATCAACACAATTTGTGAGTCTGACCCAGTATCAACACAATATGATGTCAGTCTGACCCAATATCAACACAATATGACGTCAGTCTAAACCTATATCAACACAATATGACGTCAGTCTGACCCTATATCAACACAATATGACGTCAGTCTGACCCTATATCAACACAATATGACGAGTCTGACCCAGTATCAACACAATTTGTGAGTCTGACCCAGTATCAACACAATATGATGTCAGTCTGACCCAATATCAACACAATATGACGTCAGTCTAAACCTATATCAACACAATATGACGTCAGTCTGACCCTATATCAACACAATATGACGAGTCTGACCCTATATCAACACAATATGACGTCAGTCTGACCCTACATCAACACAATATGACGTCAGTCTGACCCTACATCAACACAATATGACGTCAGTCTGACCCTATATCAACACAATATGACGTCATTCTGACCCAATATCAACACAATATGACGTCAGTCTGACCCAATATCAACACAATATGACGAGTCTGACCCTATATCAACACAATATGACGTCATTCTGACCCAATATCAACACAATATGACGTCAGTCTGACCCAATATCAACACAATATGACGTCAGTCTGACCCTATATCAACACAATATGACGTCAGTCTGACCCTATATCAACACAATATGACGTCAGTCTGACCCTACATCAACACAATATGACGAGTCTGACCCTATATCAACACAATATGACGTCATTCTGACCCTATATCAACACAATATGACGTCAGTCTGACCCTACATCAACACAATATGAGGTCAGTCTGACCCTATATCAACACAATATGACGTCATTCTGACCCAATATCAACACAATATGACGAGTCTGACCCTACATCAACACAATATGATGTCAGTCTGACCCTATATCAACACAATATGACGAGTCTGACCCTATATCAACACAATATGACGTCAGTCTGACCCAATATCAACACAATATGACGTCAGTCTGACCCAATATCAACACAATATCACGTCAGTCTGACCCAATATCAACACAATATGACGAGTCTGACCCTATATCAACACAATATGACGTCAGTCTGACCCAATATCAACACAATATGACGAGTCTGACCCTATATCAACACAATATGACGAGTCTGACCCTATATCAACACAATATGACGAGTCTGACCCAATATCAACACAATATGACGTCAGTCTGACCCTACATCAACACAATATGACGTCAGTCTGACCCTATATCAACACAATATGACGTCAGTCTGACCCTATATCAACACAATATGACGTCAGTCTGACCCTATATCAACACAATATGATGTCAGTCTGACCCTATATCAACACAATATGACGTCAGTCTGACCCAGTATCAACACAATATGAGGTCAGTCTGACCCTATATCAACACAATATGACGTCAGTCTGACCCTATATCAACACAATATGACGAGTCTGACCCAGTATCAACACAATTTGTGAGTCTGACCCAGTATCAACACAATATGATGTCAGTCTGACCCAATATCAACACAATATGACGTCAGTCTAAACCTATATCAACACAATATGACGTCAGTCTGACCCTATATCAACACAATATGACGTCAGTCTGACCCTATATCAACACAATATGACGAGTCTGACCCAGTATCAACACAATTTGTGAGTCTGACCCAGTATCAACACAATATGATGTCAGTCTGACCCAATATCAACACAATATGACGTCAGTCTAAACCTATATCAACACAATATGACGTCAGTCTGACCCTATATCAACACAATATGACGAGTCTGACCCTATATCAACACAATATGACGTCAGTCTGACCCTACATCAACACAATATGACGTCAGTCTGACCCTATATCAACACAATATGACGAGTCTGACCCTATATCAACACAATATGACGAGTCTGACCCTATATCAACACAATTTGCGAGTCTGACCCAATATCAACACAATATGACGAGTCTGACCCTATATCAACACAATATGACGTCAGTCTGACCCTATATCAACACAATATGACGTCATTCTGACCCTACATCAACACAATATGAGGTCAGTCTGACCCTATATCAACACAATATGACGTCAGTCTGACCCAATATCAACACAATATGACGTCAGTCTGACCCAATATCAACACAATATGACGTCAGTCTGACCCTATATCAACACAATATGACGTCATTCTGACCCAATATCAACACAATATGACAAGTCTGACCCTACATCAACACAATATGATGTCAGTCTGACCCTATATCAACACAATATGACGAGTCTGACCCTATTTCAACACAATATGACGTCAGTCTGACCCAATATCAACACAATATGACGTCAGTCTGACCCAATATCAACACAATATGACGAGTCTGACCCTATATCAACACAATATGACGAGTCTGACCCTATATCAACACAATATGACGAGTCTGACCCAATATCAACACAATATGACGTCAGCCTGACCCTACATCAACACAATATGAGGTCAGTCTGACCCTATATCAACACAATATGACGAGTCTGACCCTATATCAACACAATATGACGTCAGTCTGACATAATATCAACACAATATGAGGTCAGTCTGACCCTATATCAACACAATTTGCGAGTCTGACCCTACATCAACACAATATGACGTCAGTCTGACCCTATATCAACACAATATGACGTCAGTCTGACCCTATATCAACACAATTTGCGAGTCTGACCCTATATCAACACAATATGACGTCAGTCTGACCCTACATCAACACAATATGACGTCATTCTGACCCAATATCAACACAATATGACGTCAGTCTGACCCTACATCAACACAATATGACGTCATTCTGACCCAATATCAACACAATACGAGGTCAGTCTGACCCTATATCAACACAATTTGCGAGTCTGACCCTACATCAACACAATATGACGTCAGTCTGACCCTATATCAACACAATATGACGTCAGTCTGACCCTATATCAACACAATATGACGTCAGTCTGACCCTACATCAACACAATATGACGTCATTCTGACCCAATATCAACACAATATGACGTCAGTCTGACCCTACATCAACACAATATGACGTCATTCTGACCCAATATCAACACAATATGACGTCAGTCTGACCCTACATCAACACAATATGACGTCAGTCTGACCCTACATCAACACAATATGACGTCAGTCTGACCCTACATCAACACAATATGACGTCAGTCTGACCCTATATCAACACAATATGACGTCAGTCTGACCCTATATCAACACAATATGACGTCAGTCTGACCCTACATCAACACAATATGACGTCATTCTGACCCAATATCAACACAATATGACGTCAGTCTGACCCTACATCAACACAATATGACGTCATTCTGACCCAATATCAACACAATATGAGGTCAGTCTGACCCTACATCAACACAATATGACGTCAGTCTGACCCTACATCAACACAAGATGACGTCAGTCTGACCCTACATCAACACAATATGACGTCAGTCTGACCCTATATCAACACAATTTGCGAGTCTGACCCAGTATCAACACAATATGACGTCAGTCTGACCCAATATCAACACAATATGACGTCAGTCTGACCCTACATCAACACAATATGACGTCAGTCTGACCCTATATCAACACAATATGACGAGTCTGACCCCACATACAATGTATTCTCGATCTAACATACAACACAATCTGTATGTGTTTTCACCAATCTTCACATTCACAAGGGAGCTGTCGTCTAATGCATTACTGTACCACCACTTCATTAATTTGAATGCAATAACAAAAACATGTATACAGCTAACTTTGATCAAAAGCAAGATAATTACATATTCATTATGTATCTCTTCAGAACTCCATTGCCGAGATCGCCCAACTCTTTACGGAATTCTTCCGGGATTTAGATGTGGTGCCATCCGATGTGATCGCAGGCCTGGTTCTACTTCGGCAGTTCCAGAAGCAGCGCATGGCCAACATCGTATGGCAGGTACTGAGGGACCCCGTTGACTTCAGAATAAAGCTGTGTTCATGTTATTTATTTATATTGTCCCTTGTGTGTTGAGAGCGCCTTTGATGTTGTTGACTTCCATGTATTCCCAAATGTCACTTTAAAGTTTTTAGGTTTAAAAAATGTCATTAAATTACTTTGTCTCATGCTAGTGAGAATTAATTTTATTTTTAAGTTTATAATTTTTTATATTGCATTTAAATTGTAGAATTTTTATTCCATCACTTAACCTGTTTAATTGGAGAATACAGCATTCTCATGTGATTCTGTAATTCACTGCATTTTCAGACGACCACCGTCGTAGTCTAGTGGTAGAGCTTCCGCCCCGAGAGCGGAAGGTCCGGGGTTCGATCCCCGGCCGCGTCATACCAAAAGACGTTAAAAAATGGTACTTGTTGTTACCCTGTCTGGCGCTCGGCATTAAGGGGCTAAAACAAGGACAAGGAGTCAGAATACTGTGTCTGAGTGGGGTATTCATGTTAAACTGCGGCATGGTATCACAGTGAGCTAGCACTATAAATCGGCATCAGTCCGGAATAGTACAAGCAGCCACACAAACACACACACGTACATGCACGTCGCTATATAAGTGCAATAATCTTGGACGCGACGTTAAACCCCATTTCACCTCACCTATTGCATTTTCATCTATCAGTTCAGCTTTCATTTGTTACTGAATGGACATGGTTAGAATTTTTTTTTTTTTTTCACTGGTCCATAAAGATGATCTGCTATAGAGTTGCTGTAAATGTCGTCGTCCCAAAGGAAATGACAAAAAGTACTCTACGAAGTTCACTAGTCTGAAACCAGATGACTTGTGTTGATTATGTAATTATGGTTTTGTTGTTGTTGTTTTTCATGGCCATGCTATCATCAGGTTATGAAACATGTTTAATCTCCTTAGGCGGGTGACTTTGTTCAAATTGTGCCTCTGTTCACACAGCAGTGAGTGGGTGGGTACCCGGTAGGATGAAATGGTGATATGGAGCTTAGGTTGTATACTCCCCATGGAGCTGAGAATACAATATGAATGAACACTGACCCGTCAACTTGCCTATTAATAATGCGGAGCTTTGATAATTCTGTGTGGTGTCAGGATATAAGTTTTACTATATAAACCTATTATTGTTTTATTTACAAAGTTACAACTTACATATTTGGTTTCCTAAATATATTACAAGATTTGTCATCACTGAAAGAGATCTCTCATAAGAATTTTAGAAATTTGGATTACGTATACATTTTCATTTTTAAAATCATTTTTTGTCATTTAATCAGGTGAGTTACAGGATCCGTTAGTATATAAATAGGTCATCTATCATATGCTAGGTAATACATTTACGTGTGTATGTCAGGTACGTTTATTACTATTTTTAACAGTAAATTATAAGTATCAAAATAGATGTTAAACTTTGACAAAGAAAAAAAATAACCTTAGTTTTGAACATTTTACTGCTAAGCCATAATGCTATGTTTGTGTGAAAATAGACTTATTTTGACCATTTTTTGAGACCTGACAACAATTTGGGGATGGATCTTGGCACAGAAAATTATATTGACCTTCCCAGGTTTCTTGGCTTAATTAGTTTCTCCTGGTATTCGACGCAGTTATCAGTTTGTGATAATCTGTAGTCTTTAGCAACATCAGAAAAAGGACTTGAAAGGTTGCTAGAATATAAAAGATAATTAAGGAAACGGCTAGTTCTTGGTAAGGAATTATTAGAGTAAAATTAAGTTGTTGTTTTTAACTTCACATGATATTTCCAGGCCCTCCGTTACAAAACAATCTACCAGAAGGTGTCAGTAGGGAGAAAAGAAGACAGTTGAAAAAAATTGCTGAAGTGGTGAAAATTTTCAAGAACAAATTATGTGAAAAAGAAATTAACATGGGTATCACTGTCGTTGTGTGAGGTGACAAACAGGTTGATGAAGTTTAGTGAATTACAAGTCCACACAGGATAATGAACCTTTCATGTTAATCTCTAGCTGTTCTTGTTTCTCTAGGGTAACAATGATGTGTACCAGTACCTGTCAGGGGTGTCCATCACCCCCCACACACCCTATCATGGTGAACTGCCCCACCCATGCTAATGTCTCCCACTCCCCCACCCACACTAATGTCTCTCTCTCCCCCACCCACACTAATGTCTCTCACTCCCCCACCCCCACTAATGTCTCTCTCTCCCCCACCCACACTAATGTCTCTCACTCCCCCACCCACACTAATGTCTCTCACTCCCCCACCCACACTAATGTCTCTCACTCCCCACCCACACTAATGTCTCTCTCTCCCCCACCCACACTAATGTCTCTCTCTCCCCCACCCACACTAATGTCTCTCACTCCCCACCCACACTAATGTCTCTCTCTCCCCCACCCACACTAATGTCTCTCTCTCCCCCACCCACACTAATGTCTCTCACTCCCCCACCCACACTAATGTCTCTCACTCCCCCACCCACACTAATGTCTCTCTCTCCCCCACCCACACTAATGTCTCTCACTCCCCCACCCACACTAATGTCTCTCACTCCCCCACCCACACTAATGTCTCTCTCTCCCCCACCCACACTAATGTCTCTCACTCCCCCACCCACACTAATGTCTCTCACTCCCCCACCCACACTAATGTCTCTCACTCCCCCACCCACACTAATGTCTCTCACTCCCCCACCAACACTAATGTCTCTCACTCCCCCACCCACACTAATGTCTCTCACTCCCCCACCCACACTAATGTCTCTCACTCCCCCACCCACACTAATGTCTCTCTCTCCCCCACCCACACTAATGTCTCTCACTCCCCCACCCACACTAATGTCTCTCTCTCCCCCACCCACACTAATGTCTCTCACTCCCCCACCCACACTAATGTCTCTCACTCCCCCACCCACACTAATGTCTCTCTCTCCCCCACCAACACTAATGTCTCTCACTCCCCCACCCACACTAATGTCTCTCACTCCCCCACCAACACTAATGTCTCTCACTCCCCCACCAACACTAATGTCTCTCACTCCCCCACCCACACTAATGTCTCTCACTCCCCCACCCACACTAATGTCTCTCACTCCCCCACCCACACTAATGTCTCTCACTCCCCCACCCACACTAATGTCTCTCTCTCCCCCACCCACACTAATGTCTCTCACTCCCCCACCCACACTAATGTCTCTCTCTCCCCCACCCACACTAATGTCTCTCACTCCCCCACCCACACTAATGTCTCTCACTCCCCCACCAACACTAATGTCTCTCACTCCCCCACCCACACTAATGTCTCTCTCTCCCCCACCAACACTAATGTCTCTCACTCCCCCACCCACACTAATGTCTCTCACTCCCCCACCAACACTAATGTCTCTCACTCCCCCACCAACACTAATGTCTCTCACTCCCCCACCCACACTAATGTCTCTCACTCCCCCACCCACACTAATGTCTCTCACTCCCCCACCCACACTAATGTCTCTCTCTCCCCCACCCACACTAATGTCTCTCACTCCCCCACCCACACTAATGTCTCTCACTCCCCCACCCACACTAATGTCTCTCACTCCCCCACCAACACTAATGTCTCTCACTCCCCCACCAACACTAATGTCTCTCACTCCCCCACCCACACTAATGTCTCTCACTCCCCCACCCACACTAATGTCTCTCACTCCCCCACCAACACTAATGTCTCTCACTCCCCCACCAACACTAATGTCTCTCACTCCCCCACCCACACTAATGTCTCTCACTCCCCCACCAACACTAATGTCTCTCACTCCCCCACCCACACTAATGTCTCTCACTCCCCCACCCACACTAATGTCTCTCACTCCCCCACCCACACTAATGTCTCTCTCTCCCCCACCCACACTAATGTCTCTCACTCCCCCACCCACACTAATGTCTCTCACTCCCCCACCCACACTAATGTCTCTCACTCCCCCACCCACACTAATGTCTCTCACTCCCCCACCCACACTAATGTCTCTCTCTCCCCCACCAACACTAATGTCTCTCTCTCCCCCACCAACACTAATGTCTCTCACTCCCCCACCAACACTAATGTCTCTCACTCCCCCACCAACACTAATGTCTCTCACTCCCCCACCAACACTAATGTCTCTCACTCCCCCACCCACACTAATGTCTCTCACTCCCCCACCCACACTAATGTCTCTCACTCCCCCACCCACACTAATGTCTCTCTCTCCCCCACCCACACTAATGTCTCTCACTCCCCCACCCACACTAATGTCTCTCTCTCCCCCACCCACACTAATGTCTCTCACTCCCCCACCCACACTAATGTCTCTCACTCCCCCACCAACACTAATGTCTCTCACTCCCCCACCCACACTAATGTCTCTCTCTCCCCCACCAACACTAATGTCTCTCACTCCCCCACCCACACTAATGTCTCTCACTCCCCCACCAACACTAATGTCTCTCACTCCCCCACCAACACTAATGTCTCTCACTCCCCCACCCACACTAATGTCTCTCACTCCCCCACCCACACTAATGTCTCTCACTCCCCCACCCACACTAATGTCTCTCTCTCCCCCACCCACACTAATGTCTCTCTCTCCCCCACCCACACTAATGTCTCTCACTCCCCCACCCACACTAATGTCTCTCACTCCCCCACCCACACTAATGCCTCTCTCTCTGTCCCCAGGGTAACAACGACGTCTACCAGTACCTGTCAGGGGTGCCCATCACCCCCCACACCCAGTTCCTCCAGCTGAGCGTGCCGTCCGTGATGGAGGACTACCGCCGCGTCATCCACTACATGAGACACGCCCTGGCGGCGTACGGCTGGCCCGCCACCATGATGATCAACCCCGGGACCTGGCTGTGTCGACTCATGCCCTTTCTCACGTAAGGGAAGCTATCAGACTCAAGTTAGATTGATAGGAAGGTGATCATGTCGATTGTAACACCATTTTCCAGGGGCAAGAGCGTCCACTAACTTTTTTTTATCAGTCTTGTTTCCACCCTTGCCACACATCAAGCCCACTTTTCTGTGCTAAATATGATTGGACTGTCGCACTTATCGATAGTCCAATCAGAGAACGTTTCACAAAATCAACATCCACGACTGGTACACCTTCGCATGAAATTGATCTACCGCTGCCTGTCTTTGTTGACACGAAATTGACTTTTTCAAATTTTAAACCCACTAACGATTGCCTATGTTTTTGTGTCAGGGATGAAATTGCGAATGTTTCATTATCTGATCGACTAGGACGTCGTCTATATTGGATATCAAATTTTCATTACAAGGGGCACAACTCGTGATCTACGAGAGGTTGCGCCAGGGTCAAGCCAAGAAAAGTGGCCTTGATGTGGCAAGGGTAGAAACTAGACTTTGATGTAGGGTAGTGGACACGCTTGCCTCGGGTAGATGTTGTAACACATGATTTGTGATGTTAAGAATTACCTAGTCTTTGTGGTATCATCTATTCTTGAGATTATCAGTTGTATGTTCATTTAGACATTTCGTAGATACCAAGAGGTTTAAATAAATGTTCTGTGACTTCTAAAATCTGCTAATGGAGGGAATGTTTCAAAGTCGTTTGGATCAAAAGATTTCTGCACTTCCAAAACATTTTGTCCTGTGTATAAAGTGGTGAGGTGATATAAGGTTTAACACAAGAAGCATCTGCATGCATGCACGGTCGTCACATGGTCAAGACTATTGCACTTTTATCGCGACAACCATGCATGCATGCAAATGCTTTTACTGGCCCAGACGACCGCCTCTGTGGTCTAGTGGTAGAGCGTCCGCCCGGAGAGCGGAAGGTCCGGGGTTCGATTCCCGACTGCGTCATACTAAAAGACGTTAAAAGATGGTACTTGTTGTTACCCTGTCTGGCGCTCAGCATTAAGGCACTAAAACAAGGACTGGTCGGCTCGGAGTCAGTATACTGTGTCTGAGTGGGGTATTCATGTTAAACTGCGGCATGGTATCTCAGTGAGCTAGCACTATAAATCGGCATCAGTCCGGACTAGAACAAGCAGCCACACAAACACACACACACACGTACATGCACGTCGCTATATAAGTGCAATAATCTTGGACGCGACGTTAAACCCCATTTCATCTCATCTACTGGCCCAGACTTATGTAATTTTTATAGTGCTATCCCACAGAGGTACCATACCAGTTTAAAATGAATTTCCCACTAACACAGTATATACTGACTTTAAGGTGACCAGTCCTTGTTATACATGTATCTCCTAATGCAGAGTGCCAGGCAGGGTAACAACAGGTACCATCTTTTAACGTTTTTTTGCTATGCTGCTGCTGGGGGTCAAAGCAGAGACCTTCCACTACACCAAGGAGTATTCCTGTGTATTAACATTATCTATGTCCTGTGTATTAATATACATAATGCATTGTGTAATAGCAATCTTCCCTCCTTCAGTTGTTGCTGCTGCAACAAGCAACGCAATGCCATCGTCATCGACGACAACTGCTGCCTGTGCAACTTCTCCGCCTTGCGTCGTATCAGCGGTCTCCAGGAGGTGGATGTGGTTTATGCGACCTACCATGTTGATGTGAGCCACCATTGTAGTGTCCTGACAGCTACTGTTACCTCCGGGCAGGGGCCAGGATACAAGAGGCCCCCAGCAACTTGTCCCCATGGTTATAAGTCGTGACTTGATATGCTCAAATACTTTAAGACTCGTTTTGGGCTTTTTGTACGTAATATGTGGCAAAATTTGGGCCACAAAAATAAAATTTTGTTGTTCTGGGTATATGAGATAATCAAACACAACAATGTCTTTGTACAGTTTGGAATCTCTTTCGATGTATTTGGAGATGGACTTGGGCACAAAAACATGTCATTTCTGATTTTGAGTTAGAGTTAATTATGTGTTTTCTAAGTGTTTCAGTGTGGATTGAGTTGGGTTTTTTGCGTGATTTGGTTGATTGTGTGTCATTGTACCCCAAAGATGTGGATCGTTGCTCACATAATCAGTCACTGGATTGTCTGGTCGAGACTAGATTATTTACAGGCCGCCATCATATAGCTGGAATATTGCTTAGTGCAGCATTATACAACTAACAAACAGTTACTGCACCCTGACCCCCATGTCCCACATGACAATATCAGCTCTTCCTTGTTCTAAATCTAGTTATGCAGTCCTTTACTGAGAGTGTACATTACAATTATACCTCCTCTTCTGTTCATTATCTTTTTCCCCCATGACAAATGACATCAACAATTTTGAAAAATATGGCTATTTGGAAAGTACTTTTGCTCAAGAATTAGACTTTGTTTGCAGGTACTGTATAACATACATTCAGTTATTTCTTTTTTGTTTCTAGATTGGTGAGACTCCATTTTATGTGGCCCTGGACCATGCTGAGAAGACTGTGGTTGTCTGTGTTAGGGGCACACTGTCATTACAGGTGGGTGGTTGTCTGTGTGAGGGGTACACTGTCATTACAGGTGAGTGGTTGTCTGTGTGAGGGGTACACTTTCATTACAGGTGGGTGGTTGTCTGTGTGAGGGGTACACTGTCATTACAGGTGAGTTGTTGTCTGTGTGAGGGGTACACTGTCATTACAGGTGAGTGATTGTCTGTGTGAGGGGTACACTGTCATTACAGGTGAGTGGTTGTCTGTGTGAGGGGTACACTTTCATTACAGGTGGGTGGTTGTCTGTGTGAGGGGCATGCTGTCATTACAGGTGAGTGGTTGTCTGTGTGAGGGGTACACTTTCATTACAGGTGAGTCGTTGTCTGTGTGAGGGGCATGCTGTCATTACAGGTGAGTGGTTGTCTGTGTGAGGGGCACACTGTCATTACAGGTGGGTGGTTGTCTGTGTGAGGGGCATGCTGTCATTACAGGTGGGTCGTTGTCTGTGTGAGGGGCATGCTGTCATTACAGGTGAGTGGTTGTCTGTGTGAGGGGTACACTGTCATTACAGGTGAGTCGTTGTCTGTGTGAGGGGCATGCTGTCATTACAGGTGAGTGGTTGTCTGTGTGAGGGGTACACTGTCATTACAGGTGGGTGGTTGTCTGTGTGAGGGGCATGCTGTCATTACAGGTGAGTGGTTGTCTGTGTGAGGGGCACACTGTCATTACAGGTGGGTGGTTGTCTGTGTGAGGGGCATGCTGTCATTACAGGTGGGTGGTTGTCTGTGTGAGGGGCACACTGTCATTACAGGTGAGTGGTTGTCTGTGTGAGGGGCACACTGTCATAACAGGTGGGTGGTTGTCTGTATGAGGGGCATGCTGTCATTACAGGTGAGTTGTTGTCTGTGTGAGGGGCACACTGTCATTACAGGTGGGTGGTTGTCTGTGTGAGGGGTACACTGTCATTACAGGTGAGTGGTTGTCTGTGTGAGGGGCATGCTGTCATTACAGGTGAGTGGTTGTCTGTGTGAGGGGTACACTTTCATTACAGGTGAGTCGTTGTCTGTGTGAGGGGCATGCTGTCATTACAGGTGAGTGGTTGTCTGTGTGAGGGGTACACTGTCATTACAGGTGGGTGGTTGTCTGTGTGAGGGGCATGCTGTCATTACAGGTGAGTGGTTGTCTGTTTGAGGGGTACACTGTCATTACAGGTGAGTGGTTGTCTGTGTGAGGGGCACACTGTCATTACAGGTGAGTGGTTGTCTGTGTGAGGGGCACACTGTCATAACAGGTGGGTGGTTGTCTGTATGAGGGGCATGCTGTCATTACAGGTGAGTTGTTGTCTGTGTGAGGGGCACACTGTCATTACAGGTGGGTGGTTGTCTGTGTGAGGGGTACACTGTCATTACAGGTGAGTGGTTGTCTGTGTGAGGGGTACACTGTCATTACAGGTGGGTGGTTGTCTGTGTGAGGGGCATGCTGTCATTACAGGTGAGTGGTTGTCTGTGTGAGGGGTACACTTTCATTACAGGTGAGTCGTTGTCTGTGTGAGGGGCATGCTGTCATTACAGGTGAGTGGTTGTCTGTGTGAGGGGTACACTGTCATTACAGGTGGGTGGTTGTCTGTGTGAGGGGCATGCTGTCATTACAGGTGAGTGGTTGTCTGTTTGAGGGGTACACTGTCATTACAGGTGAGTGGTTGTCTGTGTGAGGGGTACACTGCGTTACAGGTGAGTCGTTGTCTGTGTGAGGGGCACACTGTCATTACAGGTGAGTCGTTGTCTGTGTGAGGGGTACACTGTCATTACAGGTGAATTGTTGTCTGTGTGAGGGGCACACTGTCATTACAGGTGGGTGGTTGTCTGTGTGAGGGGCATGCTGTCATTACAGGTGAGTCGTTGTCTGTGTGAGGGGTACACTGTCATTACAGGTGAATTGTTGTCTGTGTGAGGGACACACTGTCATTACAGGTGGGTGGTTGTCTGTGTGAGGGGCATGCTGTCATTACAGGTGAGTTGTTGTCTGTGTGAGGGGCACACTGTCATTACAGGTGGGTGGTTGTCTGTGTGAGGGGCATGCTGTCATTACAGGTGGGTGGTTGTCTGTGTGAGGGGCACACTGTCATTACAGGTGAGTGGTTGTCTGTGTGAGGGGCACACTGTCATTACAGGTGAGTGGTTGTCTGTGTGAGGGGCACACTGTCATTACAGGTGGGTGGTTGTCTGTATGAGGGGCATGCTGTCATTACAGGTGAGTTGTTGTCTGTGTGAGGGGCACACTGTCATTACAGGTGGGTGGTTGTCTGTGTGAGGGGTACACTGTCATTACAGGTGAGTGGTTGTCTGTGTGAGGGGTACACTGTCATTACAGGTGGGTGGTTGTCTGTGTGAGGGGCATGCTGTCATTACAGGTGAGTGGTTGTCTGTGTGAGGGGTACACTTTCATTACAGGTGAGTCGTTGTCTATGTGAGGGGCATGCTGTCATTACAGGTGAGTGGTTGTCTGTGTGAGGGGTACACTGTCATTACAGGTGGGTGGTTGTCTGTGTGAGGGGCATGCTGTCATTACAGGTGAGTGGTTGTCTGTTTGAGGGGTACACTGTCATTACAGGTGAGGGGTTGTCTGTGTGAGGGGTACACTGCGTTACAGGTGAGTCGTTGTCTGTGTGAGGGGCACACTGTCATTACAGGTGAGTCGTTGTCTGTGTGAGGGGTACACTGTCATTACAGGTGAATTGTTGTCTGTGTGAGGGGCACACTGTCATTACAGGTGGGTGGTTGTCTGTGTGAGGGGCATGCTGTCATTACAGGTGAGTCGTTGTCTGTGTGAGGGGTACACTGTCATTACAGGTGAATTGTTGTCTGTGTGAGGGGCACACTGTCATTACAGGTGGGTGGTTGTCTGTGTGAGGGGCATGCTGTCATTACAGGTGAGTTGTTGTCTGTGTGAGGGGCACACTGTCATTACAGGTGAGTTGTTGTCTGTGTGAGGGGCACACTGTCATTACAGGTGGGTGGTTGTCTGTGTGAGGGGCACACTGTCATTACAGGTGGGTGGTTGTCTGTGTGAGGGGCATGCTGTCATTACAGGTGAGTGGTTGTCTGTGTGAGGGGCACACTGTCATTACAGGTGAGTGGTTGTCTGTGTGAGGGGCACACTGTCATTACAGGTGAGTGGTTGTCTGTGTGAGGGGCATGCTGTCATTACAGGTGAGTTGTTGTCTGTGTGAGGGGCACACTGTCATTACAGGTGGGTGGTTGTCTGTGTGAGGGGAACACTGTCATTACAGGTGAGTTGTTGTCTGTGTGAGGGGCACACTGTCATTACAGGTGGGTGGTTGTCTGTGTGAGGGGAACACTGTCATTACAGGTGAGTGGTTGTCTGTGTGAGGGGTACACTGTCATTACAGGTGAGTTGTTGTCTGTGTGAGGGGCACACTGTCATTACAGGTGGGTGGTTGTCTGTGTGAGGGGCATGCTGTCATTACAGGTGGGTGGTTGTCTGTGTGAGGGGTACACTGTCATTACAGGTGAGTTGTTGTCTGTGTGAGGGGCACACTGTCATTACAGGTGAGTGGTTGTCTGTGTGAGGGGAACACTGTCTTACAGGTTGGTGGTTGTCTGTGTGAGGGGCACAATGTTGTTACAGGTGGGTGGTGGTCTGTGTGAGGGGCACACTGTCATTACAGGTGAGTGGTTGTCTGTGTGAGGGGCATGCTGTCATTACAGGTGGGTGGTTGTCTGTGTGAGGGGCACACTGTCATTATAGGTGGGTGGTTGTCTGTGTGAGGGGCACACTGTCGTTACAGGTGGGTGGTTGTCTGTGTGAGGGGCACACTGTCATTACAGGTGGGTGGTTGTCTGTGTGAGGGGCACACTGTCATTACAGGTGGGTGGTTGTCTGTGTGAGGGGCACACTGTCGTTACAGGTGGGCGGTTGTCTGTTTGAGGGGCACACTCTCTTACAGGTGGGTGGTTGTCTGTGTGAGGGGCACACTGTCCTTACAGGTGGGTGGTTGTCTGGGTGAGGGGCACTCTGTCGTTACAGGTGAGTGGTTGTCTGTGTGAGGGGCACACTGTCATTACAGGTGGGTGGTTGTCTGTGTGAGGGGCATGCTGTCATTACAGGTGGGTGGTTGTCTGTGTGAGGGGCACACTGTCATTACAGGTGGGTGGTTGTCTGTGTGAGGGGTTTGCTGTTATTACAGGTGGGTGGTTGTCTGGGTGAGGGGCACTCTGTCGTTACAGGTGGGTGGTTGTCTGTGTGAGGGGCACACTGTCATTACAGGTGGGTGGTTGTCTGTAGGTGATGCCATGATGCTGTGTTTATCAAGCACCCCACTTGTTGCAGGATGTGCTGACAGATCTAAAGGCGGAGGCGGAGACCCTCCCCCTGACACCGCCCAGGGAGGACTGGCAAGGTCACAAGGGCATGGTGCAGGCTGCCGTCTACATCAAGAAGAGGCTGGACGAGGAGGGCATCATCATCAAAGCCATGAATCTTGCCGAGGTGAGTGGCAGGGTCCTTCCCATACAGATCATTGATGCATGGATTGGCTCAGTGAGAGGCAGGGTCCTTCCCGTGTAGATCATGGATGCATGGATGGGCTCGATGAGTGGCAGGGTCCTTCCCGTGTAGATCATGGATGCATGGATGGGCTCGGTGAGTGGCAGGGTCCTTCCCGTGTAGATCATGGATGCATGGATGGGCTCGATGAGTGGCAGGGTCCTTCCCATGTAGATCATGGATGCATGGATGGCCTCAGTGAGAGGCAGGGTCCTTCCCGTGTAGATCATTGATGCATGGATGGGCTCGGTGAGTGGCAGGTATTTGGCCATCCTGTCTGTGAAAAAGATGGCTTACGTATCACGGACAAGAGCACATGCATGTATCGTGATACACATAGGATCATGTGCAAGGTATTGTGATACGTATTGCATCGCCCCAGCCCTAGTTACTATTCTAACCATGCCACTGACATTCTTAACAGAGGCATTTAGATTCCCGATGACCCTGTTACATACCATCATCCTAGCCACATCATTAAAGGAGGAATGTGGAATTTCCAGAGTCATAGCCATTGAAGTAACCTCCTTCCTCATTTTATGTGACATGCATCAATTATATGGTTGTTTTAGGTAATTAATCATTAGTCATGTATAACTTTGTAATGAGGGAACTTTGGGGAGAAACTTAGAAAATAGAATTGGAAAAATACAAGCGATACAGGAGTAGTTTTATTTGTCCAGTGAGCTACAGACCCTTGTAGCACAATTCTTTGACAATGAGTCTGTTGTTGTACACATGTTTTATGTTGGCAGGAGCTGAGTTCCGAGAAGTACGACCTGACCCTAGTGGGTCACTCTCTGGGGGCGGGCACAGCCGCCATCCTGGCCATCCTCCTTCAGCCCGAGTTCCCCACCCTGCACTGCTACGCCTTCTCTCCCCCAGGGGGACTTATCAGGTCAGTCCACTCACTGCATCACACAAACACCCCCCCACCCTGCACTGCTACGCCTTCTCTCCCCCGGGGGGACTTATCAGGTCAGTCCACTCACAGCATCACACAAACACACCCCCACCCTGCACTGCTACGCCTTCTCTCCCCCGGGGGGACTTATCAGGTCAGTCCACTCACAGCATCACACAAACACACCCCCACCCTGCACTGCTACGCCTTCTCTCCCCCAGGGGGACTTATCAGGTCAGTCCACTCACAGCATCACACAAACACACCCCCACCCTGCACTGCTACGCCTTCTCTCCCCCGGGGGGACTTATCAGGTCAGTCCACTCACAGCATCACACAAACACACCCCCACCCTGCACTGCTACGCCTTCTCTCCCCCGGGGGGACTCATCAGGTCAGTCCACTCACAGCATCACACAAACACACCCCCACCCTGCACTGCTACGCCTTCTCCCCCCCAGGGGGACTCATCAGGTCAGTCCACTCACAGCATCACACAAACACACCCCCACCCTGCACTGCTACGCCTTCTCTCCCCCAGGGGGACTTATCAGGTCAGTCCACTCACAGCATCACACAAACACACCCCCACCCTGCACTGCTACGCCTTCTCTCCCCCGGGGGGACTTATCAGGTCAGTCCACTCACAGCATCACACAAACACCCCCACCCTGCACTGCTACGCCTTCTCTCCCCCAGGGGGACTTATCAGGTCAGTCCACTCACAGCATCACACAAACACCCCCACCCTGCACTGCTACGCCTTCTCTCCCCCAGGGGGACTTATCAGGTCAGTCCACTCACAGCATCACACAAACACCCCCACCCTGCACTGCTACGCCTTCTATCCCCCAGGGGGACTTATCAGGTCAGTCCACTCACAGCATCACACAAACACCCCCACCCTGCACTGCTACGCCTTCTCTCCCCCAGGGGGACTTATCAGGTCAGTCCACTCACAGCATCACACAAACACCCCCACCCTGCACTGCTACGCCTTCTCTCCCCCAGGGGGACTTATCAGGTCAGTCCACTCACAGCATCACACAAACACCCCCACCCTGCACTGCTACGCCTTCTCTCCCCCAGGGGGACTTATCAGGTCAGTCCACTCACTGCATCACACAAACACACCCCACCCTGCACTGCTACGCCTTCTCTCCGCCGGGGGGACTTATCAGGTCAGTCCACTCACAGCATCACACAAACACCCCCACCCTGCACTGCTACGCCTTCTCTCCCCCAGGGGGACTTATCAGGTCAGTCCACTCACAGCATCACACAAACACCCCCACCCTGCACTGCTACGCCTTCTCTCCCCCAGGGGGACTTATCAGGTCAGTCCACTCACAGCATCACACAAACACCCCCACCCTGCACTGCTACGCCTTCTCTCCCCCAGGGGGACTTATCAGGTCAGTCCACTCACAGCATCACACAAACACACCCCCACCCTGCACTGCTACGCCTTCTCTCCCCCAGGGGGACTTATCAGGTCAGTCCACTCCCAGCATCACACAAACACACCCCCACCCTGCACTGCTACGCCTTCTCTCCCCCAGGGGGACTTATCAGGTCAGTCCACTCACAGCATCACACAAACACACCCCCACCCTGCACTGCTACGCCTTCTCTCCCCCAGGGGGACTTATCAGGTCAGTCCACTCACAGCATCACACAAACACACCCCCACCCTGCACTGCTACGCCTTCTCTCCCCCAGGGGGACTTATCAGGTCAGTCCACTCACAGTATCACACAAACACACCCCCACCCTGCACTGCTACGCCTTCTCTCCCCCAGGGGGACTTATCAGGTCAGTCCACTCACAGCATCACACAAACACACCCCCACCCTGCACTGCTACGCCTTCTCTCCCCCGGGGGGACTCATCAGGTCAGTCCACTCACAGCATCACACAAACACACCCCCACCCTGCACTGCTACGCCTTCTCTCCCCCAGGGGGACTTATCAGGTCAGTCCACTCACTGCATCACACAAACACACCCCCACCCTGCACTGCTACGCCTTCTCTCCCCCAGGGGGACTTATCAGGTCAGTCCACTCACTGCATCACACAAACACACCCCCACCCTGCACTGCTACGCCTTCTCTCCCCCAGGGGGACTTATCAGGTCAGTCCACTCACAGCATCACACAAACACACCCCCACCCTGCACTGCTACGCCTTCTCTCCCCCAGGGGGACTTATCAGGTCAGTCCACTCACAGCATCACACCAACACACCCTCACCCTGCACTGCTACGCCTTCTCTCCCCCAGGGGGACTTATCAGGTCAGTCCACTCACTGCATCACACAAACACACCCCCACCCTGCACTGCTACGCCTTCTCTCCCCCAGGGGGACTTATCAGGTCAGTCCACTCACAGCATCACACAAACACCCCCCCACCCTGCACTGCTACGCCTTCTCTCCCCCGGGGGGACTTATCAGGTCAGTCCACTCACAGCATCACACAAACACACCCCCACCCTGCACTGCTACGCCTTCTCTCCCCCAGGGGGACTTATCAGGTCAGTCCACTCACAGCATCACACAAACACACCCCCACCCTGCACTGCTACGCCTTCTCTCCCCAGGGGGACTTATCAGGACAGTCTGTCCACTCACAGCATCACACAAACACACCCCCACCCTGCACTGCTACGCCTTCTCTCCCCCGGGGGGACTCATCAGGTCAGTCCACTCACAGCATCACACAAACACACCCCCACCCTGCACTGCTACGCCTTCTCTCCCCCGGGAGGACTCATCAGGTCAGTCCACTCACAGCATCACACAAACACACCCCCACCCTGCACTGCTACGCCTTCTCTCCCCCGGGGGGACTTATCAGGTCAGTCCACTCACAGCATCACACAAACACACCCCCACCCTGCACTGCTACGCCTTCTCTCCCCCAGGGGGACTTATCAGGTCAGTCCACTCACAGCATCACACAAACACACCCCCACCCTGCACTGCTACGCCTTCTCTCCCCAGGGGGACTTATCAGGACAGTCTGTCCACTCACAGCATCACACAAACACACCCCCACCCTGCACTGCTACGCCTTCTCTCCCCCGGGGGGACTCATCAGGTCAGTCCACTCACAGCATCACACAAACACACCCCCACCCTGCACTGCTACGCCTTCTCTCCCCCGGGAGGACTCATCAGGTCAGTCCACTCACAGCATCACACAAACACCCCCCCACCCTGCATTGCTACACCTTCTCTCCCCCAGGGGGACTTATCAGATCAGTCCACTCACAGTATCACACAAACACCCCCCCACGCTGCACTGCTACGCCTTCTCTTCCCCGGGGGACGTTTCAGATCAGTCCACTCACAGCATCACACAAACACATCTGTCTTCCCCACCCTGTGGTGCTATGCACAAAACTGAAGTCTAGATTAATGAATTCCTAGTTCCAAGGCCATACATTGCCTAGCATTTCTTATTTTCAGCAGGGTATATTTCAGTGTACAGAAAGGTCCACCATGATCACACCATGATGGTGGGTTCGAATCCAGATTCCAACTGCAGCAATGTCATGTTGGCTAACCACAGTATTATCATGTTGGCTAACTGCAACCACAAGCAATACCGTGTTGGCTAACCACAGTCATATCGTCTCCATCCATCCTGGCCACAGGGGCTTCACATTGCACACCGAGACAGGTCGTAACAATCCATTTCACCAAGTTGCCACCACTGGAGACATTTCTCTCTATTGTTTAGACACATTACCTGCTATGGCTGTGATGGGACACTTGGAATAGTTTTTCTGTGATGGGATTATTGGCCCGTAGGAGTAATTATGGAAGCCTAAAGAGGTTATTGGTACTGATTTTCTGTTACTGGGTATTGATTAAGTTAGGAATAAGCCATAATGAGAAGGATGTCGTGGAACTGGTCACCGATAAGTGATGGGTTTGATGGTTAAGTGACAGTGTTAGATTGTTCGAGAGATTAATTCTTGAAGCAGGTATTTTAAATTGCAACCGAGTCTTAAGAGACATCATATTCCAAGAGAAACTATGCTCAATCGTCTGGTGTCGTTGCATCTCTATTACAGGCCAATGAAGTCAGATTGACAGCAAAGTACAACAATAGTTGTGTGGACTTTTACAGTTCATTCCATCCTGAAAGCTTAAAACAAGGTGCTAGACTTGGCTGTTCTGGGTTTAAGGGGAATTATTGGTGCTAGTCTATGCTATTCAAAGTTTATACTGTTTAAGTCAACGTATCACCAAGATGAAGTGGTGCAGCAGAGATTGTTTGTTTGTTTGTTTGTTTGTTTGTTTAACGCCGCACTCAGCACTATTCCAGCTATATGACGGCGGTCTGTAAATAATCAAGTCTGGACCAGACAATCCACTGATTGATATTGTAATAGTCAGGCTCGGTCGAAAACGATCAAGACCTTCGGTTCACGTTCCCGCGATCGTTTGAAGTTTTAATAGTTATTAAATATATGATTATTTATTATTACATACACGTCTTGTGTGTAAAAACTATGTATAGTGTACGTATAAGATCAATTAAATGTTTCATAGTAATATTTAACAGTTATAGTTAGCTCCAGTGATCGGCTCAAATAGTCCCGTGATCTACTGGTGCTTACATCATCAAAAGTTGGGTAGTTCATTCCGATATTGTTTCATGCTCTAAATCCACTAAAGAAAATATATTTCTTCCAAAATACTTACGTAAACACCTTCTTGGACATGTTATTGAGTACCAGTAGATTACATCCATCCTAGTTAATGTCACATCGTATATTTGGTGTTTTATCGCATTCTTCTCGCTCTAACTTGCTACATGTATTTCCGGAATTGACATCACCACGAATATAATCTCATTCCAAATCAGTTGCAGAAATAACAGACTCAACGTTAGTTGTAGTTATTGGCCCAGCGAGTTTTTAGAAATTTTATAATGATTCGATAGACTAGTTTACAGTTTTTTATAAGAATTACCGTGCAGCATTATTGGCTCTGCCTTTGCGCATAGTAATTATTCTTTTTCAAGTAGATTAAATAGAATTTGTAGAAATTAATTATCTAGAATCTAACTGTCAAAACTGACAAGCGTTAAACATAGAGTACTACTTGCAGTTACTTCATGTATATATTAAAATTGTAACTGTCATTACTAATAACAACAAGAAGTAAAGATTTCAATTGACTTTTATTATTTGTTATAGTTTTCTTTTACATTCGTTTTAACAATATCTCTTTGAAACTGACGGTTGGGATGGGACAGAAAACATCCTGACAACCACGTTCCCCCCCCCCAACCCGTTACAGATATCATGAGCATCAACCAATTCAGTGAGCCTGACCACCCGATTCTGTTAATCGCCTCTTACGATAAGCATGGGTTGCTGAAGACCAGTTCTACCCCGGATCTTCCCGGGTCGGTGCAGCACTGTGTTACATCATACAGTACTTGAATTAAATACCATTGTAGGGTGCCTACAGCCAAGGTGAATGGTAATAGTGCGACAATGTTTGTTTTACTATTAGTCTATATGATGTCACTAAACTGTGTGGCATCACCCTGTAATGTCATACCCTATATATGTCTGTATGTCGCTTTTAGGAATTGAGGAAAATATGTCAAAAGTGCATATTTTACCCATTTGCTCTAAAATTAGTGAGTGAGTGAGTGAGTTAGGTTTAACGCCACTTTTAACAGAATTCCAGTTATTCCAGTTATATCACAGCGTGTCAGCTTAATATAAGAGGAAAGCCCGAAGTTATGTAGGTCTCAGACGTTCTTCGGTGAAACCCACGAGCACGGGTATGGTACTGACAAACCTAGAAACATAATCGGGGCGAACCGGGATTCGAACCCACAATCATAGGTTTCTGGCGTGCCCAAGGGACGCAACTCGCGCCGCCTTAGAAGACTGGGCCACCCGTGCCCCCGCTCTAAAATTAACACTAACATAAAGTTTGATATTTTCTTATAGATGAACAATTTTTCTATAATATTTAATAAAGTTGAATATTATAAGTGATCATTTTTGCAGAACTATAAACACAATGTGTGAATTTCCTATGTAGCTGTTGTAAAGTATGACTTTGATGTGGTAATTAATAATAAAGCGGTGAACCATTCTCTTTTAATTTTGGACCGCTATGGTCTCATGAAAGAGCATCCGCCCTGAGAGCGGAAGGTCTGGAGTTCGATCCCCGGCTGCGTCATATGAAAAGATGTTAAAAGATGGTACTTGTTGTTACCCTGATTGTCGCTCGGCATTAAGGGGCTAAAACAAGGACTGGTCGGCTCGGTGTCAGTATACTGTGTCTGAGTGGGATATTCATGTTAAACTGCGGCATGGTATCTCAGTGAGCTTGCACTATAAATCGGCATCAGTCCGGACTAGTACAAGCAGCCACACACACACACATGCATGCACGTCGCTGTATAAGTGCAGTAGTCTTGCATGCAACGTTAAACCCCATTTCACCTCACCGCATTTTGATAGATCTTAGAAAAAGTTAAATACTCTTAATAGAGACAAGCACACGTGCTTAGTAATATTTTGATGAGAACATGTGAATAGTGTCCAGTTGTCTGTGTCCAGTGAAGTAGGGTCTGGCCCTGGTTGTGTTGTTTCAGTATATCCTGTGTGGAGGAGACCAAGTCCTACATCACGTCTGTTGTCGTGGGGAAAGATGTCGTGCCCAGGTGAGTTAACAATAGGGCTGCAACGAATACACTATGAGACGAATACAATTCGTATCACGAATATAGGGTAACGAATACGAATAGCAATCCATGAATACAATAACAAGTCAGCAGTTGATGTATAATTTGTTATATTCAGTGAAACAATAACAACATAAATTATTTGACATGGTTTGTTAACTATTAATATATTATACATTTATATACTGCACATATCCAGGTACTAGTATCTGTTCAAATGCAACAATGACTAGTGACTACAATACTGTCAAATTAAATATTATGAGAGTGTTGTCTTTTGAATACATCTATGCATATAATATGTTCTTATGGATATTTTTAGGTACAGGGTATGTAAATGCACATGATTGCATATTCATAAATATTCGATTCTAGTGGCCATGAATAACGAATTCAATTCATGAATGGATACGGTTCAATTCACCGAATACATGAGTGAATCGTAACAGCCTCAGTTAACAACCAGTTCACCTTCTACATAATGACATCTGTTATCAACATTCACAATGTATATTTTCCCCAACCACAAAGTGGAAGGGGGATATAGGAATGGGTGCTGTCCATCCGTCTGTCATGTTTCGTTCCTGAGCAGAACTCAAAATCCATGAGAGATATCTTAGCCAAACTTGGCCCACATATATAGGTCTAGTGGAAAACTGGTTCCATTTTATAGTTTGGGATTTAAAAAAAAAAATGTTTTTCGAGTTTCCATTGCAAAGGCTTGCTGGGTCGTCCACATTCCCCATGTGCTTCATGGCCACAATAGGTTCGCACTACCCCCTCCTTGTCATGAGAGCCACTGATGAGGATTGGGTGGTTAAAATGGCTGACCTGGTTAATGAGTGAGTGAGGGAGTATGGGTTTATGCCGCTTTTAGCAATATTCCAGCAATATCACGGCGGGGGACACCAGAAATGGGCTTCACACATTGTACCCATGTCGGGAATCGAACCCGGGTCGTCGGTGTGACGAACGAACGCTTTAACTACTAGGCTACCCGACCGCCCCACCCTGGTTGATGACATCAAGCACTGCTTTGACTTGATCTGTAGGTTGTATGTGTTGTAAAGCTGGAATATGGTTGAGTGTGGTTTAAAGGAGCATTCACTCTCTCCATTGTCGCGTGATGTGTTTCAGAATTGGTCTGCCCCAGATGGAGCTGCTGAGGACAGACATCATCAACATGATCAAGAAGAGCAACGACCCAAAGGTAAATACTCAGTGGAGGTGGATATGCGTAGTCTAAAACACAGCCGAGGGATATTATGACATATAAAACCCTCATGCGGGGGTTTAAATATCATAAAAACCCAAGGGTAAGTGTTTTAGATTACTTTTAAAACAAAAGAAAATTCTGATACAACAAAGTTTATCAACAATTTTATGTTTCAAACACACTTTCTATCCACCTTAGGAAACATGTTAAAGGCTGTTGTTCATGTACTTTAAAAAAGTGATTCTTAGAAGCATTGTGATTTGTCAACGCCTCTGTTGTTCATTCACAAACTTACAGATACGAAGGTTGAACGTTCGATCCTCTGAAATATAGAGAAGAAATTTGTTGTTATGTTTTACTTAATTCTGCTCATTACTTATTTAGATTGTGTTCAAACACAAGATCCCCGGTCTTCGGAAACGTTGCATTATCAACGGAACTTCTATGTATAAAATCCTGGGGTTATTGTGACATTGCTGTACTTGAAATCTCCCCTATTGGAGAACAATAGGATAACATCTATGTGTCTTGTTACGGAGTCTGCAGCTACCTATGTCACAGGAGATGACAATGTGGATCGAGTGATCAGCTTCAGTGACATGGTAAATGGAGTGTAATCATATCCAACTGCGTGGATAGTTGCTCGTGATATCAATCACTGGTTTGCCTTGTCTAGACTCAGTTATCACAAAGATGGATCAGGGTGCGGCATTTAACATTAGACAAGAAGACAGTGAAGGGTGATTATCATTCTTCACCACTCGCCCCTTTCCGTAACCTGCAAGTAGACCCATCCCCATATCGATGAATGTTATGTGTGAAAAAACACAAACCAATCAGCATGCTTGTATAACTTCAAGTACTTCGATCAAAGAATCCCTCAGGAATAATTTTTGGTTTTACATCTGTCTGGCATTTAAAAGATACAGTTAAATGTGTTCAATCATACTGTATAATATTGTATGTCCCAATGTGTTTTCAGTAGCATCTGGAATATATATGATATAAAAATGTCCGTGAATGATTGACAATTCATTTAGCTATGCCCGTTTGCGCTTAGACAGAACCCAGTCACAAAAATGCCAATGAGAAGGGCACGTGTCGTAATTCGGCTTGTCCCGGAATAACATGCGTTGGTCACGAATGTGGTAATGATGTAAGTTGTGGCTGGTCGAGCCAGATGTGTGAGTGTTTGTTGTTTTACGCCGCACTCAGCAATGTTCCAGCTATATGACGGCAGTCTGTAAATAATCAAGTCTGGACCAGACAATCCAGTGATTGATATATTGAGCATCGATCCACGCAATTGGGATCGATGACATGCTTCAACCAAGTCAGCGAGCCTGACCACCCGATCCCATAAATCGCCTCTTACGACAAGCATAGTCGCCTTTTAGGGCAAGCATGGGTTACTGAAGACATATTCTACCCCAGATCTTCACAGGTTTCGAGCCAGATGAATTGCATCATGATCTCTATGACAGATACTGGCAAGGCTGTGACTGTTTCAGTGGCAGATTATCTCAAAGGGAGTGTTCTGCTGTTGTGGGGACTACACAGGCAAGAAGGGGTCTCAGGTGGACTTAGACCGCAATGTGACCGCTCACCCTAGTGACTCCCAGATCGGCCTGTCCGCCCATGTCCCGCTGTTTCCCCCGGGGAAGATCATCCACATCGTCCGGAGTCACCCAAAGGAGTCAGGGTCAGTATCCACTCACAATGTCTATCATCACTGTTGTGCCATATTGTGTCATATTGTGTCACATGTGATTGTGGTTAGAACTTATTCACAGTCTCTGTAAATGCTTTTAGTTATAAATGATGAAGGGTTGAAATCATGCTACTCAAAATAAGTTAAACAACAACCAATTTTATTTTCGTATATTTCGTGAAGAATCGTGTGTCTTTAACTTTGGTTTGGTAGTTTACTTAATTTATCAAATACTTTAAATTAGAATTAAAGTGATTATTCTATAATGAAGGTAAAATACATATTTTTCTATGCATATTAGCTCTTTAGTTGAGTACATTTTTTTAAACCCTTGTGGTGATTCATGATTAAGGCCAAAGCGATAACACCAACTGCTCTTGATAGTTACACTACATGTATGTACCTTTGTGTCTGTAGAATTGAATTTGTTTACCATTTGATATTCACGAACTAATAGCTAAAGCAGCTGTTAGTTGTAAACGTTTTGTCACTCAGTTTGTTTTCAAAGTTTGTCAAACACTTGACACCCTTCACATGTGGAAAGCGTAAGAAGGTTCTTGATTTGTCATAAATATTGTTGTAATTGATAAAGGGAGACTACTTGCAGTCGAACTTTAGATTGTCTCCCTTTGACAATTGTTTTTTCAAGTTGAAAATGTTTATAATGGGTGTAGCAGGTGACACATTTCTTCAATATCTATATTTGGTTATCAAGCTGTTGTGATAGTTTATTGTATTTAAGAGGTTTTGGTCTATTGATTGTACAATCTTTTTTCATTGTGTACTTTTGAGGTTATAGGAGGCTTTTGATATTTTCATTTTAGAGGCTTTTGATATAGTTATGGCAAACTCTGGTTCTTCATAATTCATCAAAAATGGAACAATTTTTATAATTTTGATTTTGATAATCAGTTCAAGTGGAGTTTGTATTTTCCCTATCCATGATGTACTGTACTGACTCTTGGCATGACACTTCATTCTGGCCTTCTTGTTTGGGAATGATGTCATTCTGACCACTGTATTTATTGTCACACCATGTTTTCTTTCATTCCTTCCAGAGCATGGTGCATTTTGAAATATATAAAGTGACACAGTTGGACTTGGCTCTTACTTAATATTAGCATCTCTGTAAAACAAATGTTATTTGAATTTGATTAATTGGATGTTAAGTTCTTGGAATTTTCAAATGTTGTAGGAAATGTATATTTTTTGTTAAGTGCATATGACACTGATTTGATTGCTGTCAAACAAAGCATGCTTTTCTTATTATAAAAACTGGATTGATGTGAGTTATTGATTTATTTTTTATTATTTATTGATTGATTACTAAACATCTTGAGGCCCATGAAAAGTCCCCAAATCCAGTTTCTTTCTGTTTTCTCACCCTCCTTCCTTTGAGAAATGTACACATGAGTACATTATGAGTAAACTCAAAGGAAAGCGCCTCACTCAGTCACAATGAAGGTGCCACTGTTTCCTCACCATCGCCGGAGGTGCTGCGACTTGGGTCACCCCGATTTATTGGGGAACTGGGTTACAGTTAGCATCAAATACACAAACCCAACCTTTGACTTAAGATCAGTTTTACACTGCAGCTAAGTTAGCGCTGCCATGTTAAACACATCCCAAATTAGCCCTGCCATGTTAAACATGTCCCTAGTTAACCTTGACATGTTAAACATGTCCCTAGTTAACCCTGCCATGTTAGACATGTCCCTAGTTAACCCTGCTAGGTTAAACATGTCCGTAGTTAACCCTGCCATGTTAAAAATGTCCCTAGTTAACCCTGCCATGTTAAACATGTCCCTAGTTAACCCTGACATGTTAAACATGTCCCTAGTTAACCCTGCCATGTTAAACATAACCCCAGTTAACCCTGCCATGTTAAACACTTTCCAAGATAGCCCTGCCATGTTAAACATGTCCGTAGTTAACCCTTCCATGTTAAACATGTCCCTAGTTAACCCTGACATGTTAAACATGTCCCTAGTTAACCCTGCCATGTTAAACATAACCCAAGTTAACCCTGCCATGTTAAACATAACCTCAGTTAACCCTGCCATGTTAAACATAATCCTAATTAACCCTGCCATGTTAAACATAATCATAATTAACCCTGACATGTTAAACATAACCCTGTCATGTTAAACATAACCCCAGTTTGCCTGGTCCTGTTAAACATAACCCCAGTTTGCCTTGCCCTGTTAAACACAACCTCAGTTAACCCTGCTATGTTAAACATAATCCTAGTTAGCCCTGCCATGTTAAACATAACCTCAGTTAACCCTGCCATGTTAAACATAACCTCAGTAAACCCTGCTATGTTAAACATAACCTCAGTTAACCCTGCCATGTTAAACATAACCCCAGTTAACCCTGCATGTTAAACATAATCCTAGTTAGCCCTGCCATGTTAAACATAACCTCAGTTAACCCTTCCATGTTAAACACAACCTCAGTTAACCCTGCTATGTTAAACATAACCTCAGTTAACCCTGCCATGTTAAACATAACCCCAGTTAACCCTGCCATGTTAAACATAATCCTAGTTAGCCCTGCCATGTTAAACACAACCTCAGTTAACCCTGCTATGTTAAACATAACCTCAGTTAACCCTGCCATGTTAAACATAACCCCAGTTAACCCTGCCATGTTAAACATAATCCTAGTTAGCCCTGCCATGTTAAACATAATCCTATTTAGCCCTGACATGTTAAACATAATCCTAGTTAGCCATGCCATGTTAAACATAATTCTAGTTAGCCCTGCCATGTTAAACATAATCCTAGTTAGCCCTGCCATGTTAAATGTAACCTCAGTTAACCCTGCCATGTTAAACATAACCTCAGTTAACTCTGCCATGTTAAACATAACCTCAGTTAGCCCTGCCATGTTAAACATCCCTCAGTTAGCCCTGCCATGTTTAACATGTCCCCAGTTAGCCCTGCCATGTTAAACAACCTCAGTTAGCCCTGCCATGTTAAACATCCCTCAGTTAGCCCTGCCCTGTTAAACATGTCCCCAGTTAGCCCTGCCCTGTTAAACATCCCTCAGTTAGCCCTGCCATGTTAAACATAACCTCAGTTAACCCTGCCCTGTTAAACATCCCTCAGTTAGCCCTGCCATGTTAAACATAACCTCAGTTAGCCCTGCCATGTTAAACACATCCCAAGATAGCCCTGCCATGTTAAACAACCTCAGTTAGCCCTGCCATGTTAAACATCCCTCAGTTAGCCCTGCCCTGTTAAACATGTCCCCAGTTAGCCCTGCCCTGTTAAACATCCCTCAGTTAGCCCTGCCATGTTAAACATAACCTCAGTTAACCCTGCCCTGTTGAACATCCCTCAGTTAGCCCTGCCATGTTAAACACATCCCAAGATAGCCCTGCCATGTTAAACAACCTCAGTTAGCCCTGCCATGTTAAACATAACCTCAGTTAACCCTGCCCTGTTGAACATCCCTCAGTTAGCCCTGCCATGTTAAACATAACCTCAGTTAACCCTGCCATTTTAAACATGTCCCCAGTTTGCCCTGCCCTGTTAAACATCCCTCAGTTAGCCCTGCCATGTTAAACATAACCTCAGTTAACCCTGCCCTGTTAAACATCCCTCAGTTAGCCCTGCCATGTTAAACACATCCCAAGATAGCCCTGCCATGTTAAACAACCTCAGTTAGCCCTGCCATGTTAAACATCCCTCAGTTAGCCCTGCCCTGTTAAACATGTCCCCAGTTAGCCCTGCCCTGTTAAACATCCCTCAGTTAGCCCTGCCCTGTTAAACATAACCTCAGTTAACCCTGCCCTGTTGAACATCCCTCAGTTAGCCCTGCCATGTTAAACATAACCTCAGTTAACCCTGCCCTGTTGAACATCCCTCAGTTAGCCCTGCCATGTTAAACATAACCTCAGTTAACCCTGCCCTGTTGAACATCCCTCAGTTAGCCCTGCCATGTTAAACATAACCTCAGTTAACCCTGCCATTTTAAACATGTCCCCAGTTTGCCCTGCCCTGTTAAACATCCCTCAGTTAGCCCTGCCATGTTAAACATAACCTCAGTTAACCCTGCCCTGTTAAACATCCCTCAGTTAGCCCTGCCATGTTAAACACATCCCAAGATAGCCCTGCCATGTTAAACAACCTCAGTTAGCCCTGCCATGTTAAACATCCCTCAGTTAGCCCTGCCCTGTTAAACATGTCCCCAGTTAGCCCTGCCCTGTTAAACATCCCTCAGTTAGCCCTGCCATGTTAAACATAACCTCAGTTAACCCTGCCCTGTTAAACATCCCTCAGTTAGCCCTGCCATGTTAAACATCCCTCAGTTAACCCTGCCATTTTAAACATCCCTCAGTTAACCCTGCCCTGTTGAACATCCCTCAGTTAGCCCTGCCATGTTAAACATAACCTCAGTTAACCCTGCCATTTTAAACATGTCCCCAGTTAGCCCTGCCATGTTAAACAACCTCAGTTAGCCCTGCCATGTTAAACATCCCTCAGTTAGCCCTGCCCTGTTAAACATGTCCCCAGTTTGCCCTGCCCTGTTAAACATCCCTCAGTTAGCCCTGCCATGTTAAACATAACCTCAGTTAACCCTGCCCTGTTAAACATCCCTCAGTTAGCCCTGCCATGTTAAACACATCCCAAGATAGCCCTGCCATGTTAAACAACCTCAGTTAGCCCTGCCATGTTAAACATCCCTCAGTTAGCCCTGCCCTGTTAAACATGTCCCCAGTTAGCCCTGCCCTGTTAAACATCCCTCAGTTAGCCCTGCCATGTTAAACATAACCTCAGTTAACCCTGCCCTGTTAAACATCCCTCAGTTAGCCCTGCCATGTTAAACATCCCTCAGTTAACCCTGCCATTTTAAACATCCCTCAGTTAGCCCTGCCATGTTAAACATAACCTCAGTTAACCCTGCCCTGTTAAACATCCCTCAGTTAGCCCTGCCATGTTAAACATAACCTCAGTTAACCCTGCCATTTTAAACATCCCTCAGTTAGCCCTGGTTTGTTAAACATAACCTCAGTTAGCCCTGCCATTTTAAACATGTCCCCAGTTTGCCCTGCCATGCCATTTCTCTACTCCTATGACTGTGAGTTGTGTGTTTCGTTCTTTCTGTGTTTGAATGATATGACTAGTGACTATGTTGATTTCAGGCATGTTCATAACCGTCGCTATTCCAAGAAGTAAGTTTCATCCTGTCCATTTGCCCTTCTTTGTCCATACTCTCGCATTCCTTATTATTGATATCATTATGTTGATTCTGTTTGAGCAGGGGACATTTTACATCATCACCAAACTCAGCATCAGTTAGTTTTCACTAGACATTACATACTAGTTAGCAGTCTTATAGGACTTTGCAACAAAAGTTCTGCTGAAGTAGTTCTTCTAATTATATATGGTCAACACTACTGACAGTCTGCGACATCTGCCACAAGTCCAAAAACGAAGTCTTGTAAAATTCTGTTTGGTCGACTAAGCTCAGCTGATAAGGCTAAAAAAAAAATGATAGTCTTCGTTCTCAGGCACCAAACACATCATCATATAGTCTGCTGCCCATTTTGTTTTTATTTCGATTTTCAAAAAAATATATAAATCCTAAAACCTAGACACAATGCACGAAAAAAAATCAAAATGGAAACAAAAGCGAAACGTGCAATTAACTTTATGATGATGTGGGCAGTGCCTGAGAACCAAGACTATTGTTTTTTTAGCCTAATAGTCCTCATGATAAGACTGAAACGTGATGACAATGATGAAGAGCCTTTCGTCAGGCTAGTTGACTCAAGAGTTTTGGCACAGACTGGACTGATATCTGCAGGCTTCCTGTTGGTCTTGTTGGTTTTGTTGACCTAAAACAGATGTTATTGCAAAAACAACCACACACATTGACTATGTTCTAAAACGATTCAAAGCTATATATCAGTAGCTATTTTCAAGGATGTATTTCAGAAAAAGATCTTGTATTGATTATGATTTTCATAGTATTGTATATCATAATGTTTTTGAGAATATATGTCAAATAACTGTCGTTTTTTGGAAGCCATACACAGTGGTGTATAAGAGTAGGCAGTAGCCATGTCAAGTCATTATGAACACCAGTGCACAATAATTCATCTAGAAGTTGCTATGATTTTGTTTTGTTTTGAACATCTGATTTATAACTGATCTCATATTGTTTTACTCACAACTGTTGAGTTACACAAAACTGTTTAGTCTGAAATCTCACTGTGTGAATCGTTCCTATTTTTTTTGTTACCTTATAACACTTTGACACATTTGAACAATGAGCCATAAAACTCATCCCTCAACCCCTCACGCACACACACACACACACACACACACACACACACAGACACACACACACACAGACACAGAGTCACAGACACACACACACACACAGAGTCACACACACACACAGACACACACACACAGAGTCACACACACAGACACAGACACACACACACACACACACACACACACACACACACAGAGTCACACACACAGACACACACACACACACACAGACACACACACACACAGACACACACACGCACACGCACACGCACACGCACACACACACAGACACACACACACACACACAGAGTCACACACACAGAGTCACACATTAAGATTCACCACGCCTGTTGTTAGACTGCAGAGATGGGTATCTTTTGGTCACAATGGCTGCCAAGTGTGGACAGTTCCTTGGTGTGTGACAACTTAGGATCTGGCATTTTACCGTGACCCGATGATCAATCAGTCAATTACTTCTCTGACCAGGCTGAACATTGCTGACGTAAATTCCCTTTCACTCACTCACTCAAATCCACAGTGACACAACACACTCACCATATCTCCATTGTCCCTATTCAAGCTGACCACCCGGGAAGATCCGGGGTAGAATAGGTCTTCAGCAACCCATGCTTGCCGTAAAAAATGACTATGCTTGTCGTAAGAGGCGATCAATGGGATTGGGTGGTCAGGCTCTCTGACTTGGTTGATGCATGTCATCATATCCCAATTGTGTGGATCAATGCTCATGATGTCAATCACTGGATTGTTTGGTCCAGACTTGATTATTTACAGACCGCAGAATAGTGTGGCGTTAAACAACAAACAAAACAAACAAAAAACACCAAGCTGACACATCATGATACAACTGGAATTCTGTTCAAAGCCGCGGTGAAACTTCACTCACTCACTCACTCCATATCTCCATACACTAAGGCATGAAGTGCACCCAGCCAGGCCCTGTGGTATTGCATGTTTACAGTGAAATGCAGCATTTGAAGAGAGCGGGGCGGCATGTAAGCACTACCATGCAGGCAGCTTGTCCAAGTCCAGCATGTGGCTACAGTATTTTTGGTTGTATGATATTAATATGCATGTCATATAATACCCACACAGCTTTCGTCAGTTTGTTTTTCAGGAAAATGGCTTGACATTGTGCCCTTAGTAATTTCTATGTAAGTTTGTTCAGGTGTTTTTTATGAAAAATTGATGACATTTTAAAGATTAAGGGTTAAATTATTTGGTGTTGGTGAATAATAGAATATTAACTTTTTAAGGGTTTGTATCCCTCTAACCATAATGAAGTTTTATTTATAAGTCTGCAATTTTCTGTGTGGCAGGTGTGGAATAAATATTTGTGAGACATGATATTATGTGCATCCTTAACGGTATCAGGGATGAAATGGTTGTTATGGTGGGAAATAACTGGGGTCCAGTAATCTTGATATGCATGACATAATACAATACGATGGTGCGTTATATGTTTGCTATGTCTCTCCTGACACCCTTCATTCACAGGTCGGCCTCCATGGTGTGTTGGTGAGTTTACACACCAAGGCTGCAGCAGACTCTTTCAGAGTCACAGATCCCAAACAATTATTACACTTTTTCCATGTAATTGTTTAACATGTGTCATTTTATTTTCTGTTAATGTATGGACAATGTACAGACAATGTATGAACAATGTATGGACAATGTTTGGACAATATGTATTGGCAATGTATAAACAATGTATGAACAATGTATGAACAATGTATGGACAATGTTTGGACAATATGTATTGTCAATGTATAAACAATGTATGAACAATGTATGAACAATGTATGGACAATGTTTGGATAATGTTTGGACAATGTATAAACAATGTATGGACAATGTTTGGACAATATGTACGAGCAATGTATGAACAATGTATGGACAATGTACAGACAATGTACAGACAATTGATAAACAATATATGGAAAATGTTTTGACAATGTACAGACAATGTATGAACAATATATGGACAATGTACAGACAATGTACGGACAATGTATGAACAATGTACGGAAAATGTATGAACAATGTACAGACAATGTATGAACAATCTATGGACAATGCATGAACAATGTACGGAAAATGTATGAACAATGTACAGACAATGTATGAACAATGAATGGACAATGTTTGGACAATTTGTACGGACAATGTATAAACAATGTACAGACAATATGTACGGACAATGTATAAACAATGTATGGACAATCTTTGGACAATATACAGACAATGTATGAACAATATATGGACAATGTTTGGACAATGTACGGACAATGTATGAACAATGTACGGAAAATGTATGAACAATGTACAGACAATGTATGAACAATCTATGGACAATGTATGGACAATGTTCGGACAATGTACAGATAATGTATGGACAATATATGGACAATGTTTGGAAAAAGTACAATATACGGATAACGTAGGGACAATATATGGATAATGTTTTGTATTTTTTTACCCCCTATATCTAAACAAACATCCTTTACTTTAAAATCATTTTGGGTTGGGGAAATATTTTTCACATAATCAGAATTTATTCATATTTTCCTATAATTTTAGGACAAAAACTGATACCTCTAAATATAAGAGAGTCCAAATCCAATAGTACATTGCTTTTAAGCTTGAGCTAACCTTTTATTTGTGAGGTGACACTCATCTGAATCTTGATAGTGTCAATTTCTGAAATCCTGTGAAACACAAACACCACGAGCACGTTTGAGTAAAGTATTGTGCCCTGCCATCTCTGATGGTCCAGTAGGACAGGTTGTCCTTGGGAACAGAAGCACTGTACGTATCTCTCTATGTTTCAGGCCAGTGTGTCAGAGTTCTGAGCCCGTTTACCAGGCCGTGTGGGCAGGAAATGGAGACTTCGACGAGGTTCTCATCTCCCCTACCATGATCAACGACCACATGCCTGACAATGTCCTAGAGGCCCTGGAGAAGGTATCAGTCAGGACATATTCCTATCTGTCTATTGATTAACTGTCATTAACATGATCAATGACCAAGTTTCACCTTGAACCCAAACAGTGTCTTAAATTGTCATCCAACATGTACATGACGCATTATGTGCATGCAAATACCCTTGTCAAGACAGTTGGAAGCCAGACCAGAAGATCCGGGGTAGAATAGGTCTTCAGCAACCCATGCTTGACGTTAAAGGCGACTATGCTTGTCGTAAGAGGTGACTAACGGGATCAGGTGGTCAGACTCGCTGACTTGGTTGATGCATGTCATCGTATACCAATTGCGTGGATCGATGCTCATGATATCAATCACTGGATTGTCTGGTCCAGACTCGATTATTTATATAGAGACTGCTGTCATATAGCTGGAATATTGCTGAGTGTGGCATAAAACAGCACATAAACAAATGGAAGCCAACAAAGTATGTCATCGTATACCAATTGCGTGGATCGATGCTCATGATATCAATCACTGGATTGTCTGGTCCAGACTCGATTATTTATATAGAAACAAATGGAAGCCAACAAAGTAGTGTTTCTTATGGGGTGGATGACAGTGAATATGGACAAAAATGAAGACACGTTTAAAACAGGTCATGATTTGACTTTCATATTAATTTACAAGAACTCTCATCCAACCTGTTATAAATGACCGGTCCCTTTCTAACCAATAGTTCTGTTTCAACAAAATTAGCCTGGTCTAATAAATCTCCACCTGAACGAAGATTGAATGCAATTTATAATCATGAAGACCGCCTCCATGGTCAAGTGGTAGATCGTCCGCCCGGAGAGCGGAAGGTCTGGGGTTCGATCCCCAGCCGCGTCATACCAAAAGACGTTTTAAGATGGTACTTGTTGTTACCCTGCCTGGCGTTTGGCATTAAGGGGCTAAAACAAGGACTGGTCGGCTCGGAGTCAGTACACTGTGTCTGAGTGGGGTATTCATGTTAACCTGCGGCATGGTATCTCAGTGAGTTAGCACTATAAATCGGCATCAGTCCGGACTAGTACAAGCAGCCACACACACACACACACACAAACGTGCATGCACGTCGCTATATAAGTGCAATAATCTTGGACGCGACGTTAAACCCCATTTCACCTCACCTTATAATCATGACCCCATTGGAATGAAGGCTGATTCCTGAACCATTGTTTTAGGTTCTGCTGAAGGTCGGTCCAGCCAAGCCAGTGCGGACTCTGACAGAAGCGGAACGCAAGGCTCTGCTGTCCCATGAGTCTTTGTCCTCTGCCAACAACCCGTCACCAACCAGAGGGACAGTGATGGTGGAAACTAGCTTCACCAATGCCTGCTACACTGCCCCCGATCCCGGCAACGGCGCCCTGAATGTCAGCGGACCTCGATCAGTCTCTGGCAGCTGGGAAAATGTCCCAGAAAAGATTCTTACTGTAGAGCATATACAACAACTAAATGCCGTGGGCAGGAACCCAGATTCGGGCACACGTCCAGAATTCAGTCTAGACCTAGCTGAGAAGCAATGGGTGGCTGCTCCCTTGGCGAGTCCCGAGGCTTTGTCCGACGTGTCGAGTCTTGGAGGGCTCAGTCACACAGGAAGTCTTGTGGAGAGGGATGGAAGTCGGAAACCTGTACAATCCTCTCCCCAGCTGAAGACAATAGAACAATCTCCATTACGGAAAGTCAGATCTGAGAGCGTGAAGATCGAAGTGCCCAATGACAATGATGAAGAGGTCAAGGTCGTTGTAGAAAATAATGCCAAGAGGAAAAAGGTTGAGTTTGAGGACGAGAAGGTAGCTAAGCAGACTGCCAACAAGCAGGCTGTGGATAAGGAGAGTGCTGATAAGGTAGATGCTGATCAGGAGGAAATAGTTATTCAAAATGGACCTAAGGGGGTAAGACAAGTCGAGAGAAGTGAAAACCCTGGGGTAGATTCTAATTCAGTGACTGTGACAGATCCTTCAGGGCAGTCTGTGAAGGTGTCATATAAAAACACGAATGGTCACAGTGCCGTGTACAACCGACATTCACCCGACGAGTCCACCCAGCACGAATATGGGCACCCTAATCTACACTACTCTGCTGCGGGAACAGGCTACCCACATGGAGCTTACCATCCACCAATCAGGTTCCCTGCTGTCAGGCCACGCGAGAAAATTGTCTCACCACGTGAGAAAACCAACACACCATGTGAGCAAACCGTCACACCACGTGAGCAAACCGTCACACCACGTGAGCAAACCGTCACACCACGTGAGCAATCCGTCACAGCATGTGAGCAAACCGTCACACCACGTGAGCAAACCGTCACACCACATGAGCAAACCGTCACACCACGTGAGCAAACCGTCACACCAAGTGAGCAAAACGTCACACCACGTGAAAAAAAAGTCACGTCATTTGAGCAAACCGTAACACCACGTGAACACCCACCTACGTTAAGACACTGCGAATCTGAGAGTTTATTCTTACAACCCTCGTTATCTAAAATGAGAAGGTCAACTGAAATGATGGACTTAGCTCATATTCAGGACGATGCTGAAGTATTCGTAGAAAATATTGAGACTGGTGCCAAGAAACCACGGGCTCGCCTACCAGGACTGCATGGCACCCCTCAGGCGTCAACGGCAAGTATGACGCTGGATAATGTCCCCGAAAGTCGTCTGTCGTCCACACATTCAGACGAAGTGTTTGCATCGCAAGAGTCCGAAGCATAGCAAGCTTTGGTCTTAGATGAACAGTATCTAGGTGTAGATGATCAGTCTATATGAAACTGAATTAATACTGACAGTGTGCTATGTTTTAAGGTTAACAACCAAGTATTGATTATTTGGAAACATTTATGATAAGCAGACTTACAATTTTCGACTTTAGCAACCACAACTTTACAGTTTTATATCCTATATTATGCCATGTCAAAGTAATGGTGATAGTTTTAGATATCAGCTGTAATATTGTATTAGAAAATATTGATGACAATTTTACCATTTCATGTCATGAAAGTCATGTTCATGTTTTAGCAAATTTACCGTATTCGCCAGATTAAGCGTCCCTCTCCGGTAAGCGCCTCCTGACCAATCTGTAAATACTCTTTGTAAGCACCTCCTAATAAACCTGAAAACTTATGTGACACTCCGTATCTTCTTGTGTATATTATAGATGTTTTTACAGGAAGCAGAATCAAAGAAGGAACATATATAACTGCCAAAAACTATTATTGAAAAAAGTTTCACTAAGATTTAAACTTATATTGTCACTCCCGCTCGATCTCTGAAAAAAATTACTATAATTTAAGATAGTATTTTTTTCAATCATTGCATCAACATTCTTTTCCGTTATGTTATTGGGTATGTTTTAACGTAATCACCGGTAGATTGGGAGAAATTGTGTACAGACGATTGCTATTTCCGGCTTAGTTTATGAGACAAAACACACAGTAATCGTTATCCCTGCATATAAAACAATGCCTAGCATGACAAGAAATACAATCGAAATGGTAAATCATCATGACTAGTGATTTTCATCGACAAAATTTGTCACTGCATTGTTCATTCACCTGAAGCGATGCAGTGTAGTTTTTGTACAAACAGAAAAAGAGTTTGATGAAAGTGTAACCCATAAGCCGACCCCTTTCTCCAGAATCTTTTTCGTCTTATCTACGGTCATATACGGTAGCTTGTTTATGGTTTAACAAAGCACCCACTTTGTCAATTTTCTAAGTGCCCAGGGCGCTTATCATGGCGAATATGGTATATCATGTGAAGTTATATCATTAAAGATAAATCCAGTACATATCTAATCTACATACACAAATCAAATTCAGTTTCATGTTTTGAAGAGTATTGCTGATCTTTTCAACATATTTGTACATATTACATGTATATGTTATGAAAATGAAAACGCTAAACAGGAGTTTTCAGTTGAAGAATGTAGATTTGCCTTGAGCATGGGTGGATGTTTTATAACACAGACACATGATCTAACACAATCCATGACATTCCCTTGAAGCTTAAACGTCAGGTACATGTGGTAGCTATAGATGGCTCATCCTCTTTCATCAAGGGTGTATTTATTGATGGTAGGCCTGTGCAAGTTGTACACTATCAGCTAATGGTTTTCACTGTGAGCGAAACACATCGTCAAGGATTTCAGTTTCTTCTTTGCTAATAAAATATACTGGACAAATGTTGTTAGGGATCATACAATATTTTTTAAACATTTAAAGAAACTCAGTCTTCACTTTAAACAATATTCCCCAAAATATTCATGATTCCTAACTTTTTTGTTTGTTATGAAATGATGGATTAATCATAGTAGTATGAAAGAATCGGCTGCTCTTTGAGTTCTTTTGAGTAGTATACCTTTCTAATAAATGTACGTGTTTAGCACAGCACTTGGTGTAACACTTGTTAATTTCCATGCAAGTCATTATTGAGGATGGACCAGTGCGTAGCCAGGAAAACACACTGAAGCCAGGCTGCTAGCCTTGCTCCAAGGCTGTACTGAAAGAAATGTCCATGAATGGTTGTTTAGCAATTCTGTCCTCCTAATAGGCAAGTCTAGATATGTGGACAGTACAGGACTCAAGTCTCTTATAGGGACAACTTGTTCTTATTATTAATAATCTATGATTTAAACTAATAATTATTGCCTTAGATACTTGTGCGAGTCTACCAGGCTGCTTCTTAATGAAAACCAGATATTGATTAACAATCGTCCAAGAACGACAACGCCCCTTTTGTCTGAGGAAGCCATCACTATTATACCTACTGTACCAGATGAAGAAGATTTTGCTTATTATGTATATATACTTCTCCACTTTTGATAGGGATGGTGTTATCTTTCCAAGATACAGAACGGATTCTCACAAAATGTCAAGTGTATATTCAAGTAGAATGACATATCTGATTATCCCAATCAATTGTTGAGTAGTATATGTAGATTTTGATTCAATGATACAAGTTGCACGGAAGTGCTGTATGGCTTGTAAAGTGACTACCGTATTCGACGTAATAAGCACCAGGGCGCTCTCAAAATTAGAAATAGGGGGCTCTTATTCGAATGTAATTTTGGTGAGAGAAAAAACAGAGCTGAAAGATCGTAAATTTTGTGGTTTATGATGACAGCCTGAAATGATACAAAAGAAAAGCCTGTGCGTATTATACATGACAGATATATTTTCCAGAATTTATATGCCCATAATTAAGGGTGCATATAACACACGAGTGCGTATTATACACGAATAAATAAGTCTTGTGTACATTGATCAATCGGAAGGGATGCTTATTGGGATTATTCACTTGCCAATATATTAGCAAATATCGCAGGCGCTTATTAGAGCGGGGCGCTTATTACGTGGAATACGGTATGTAGAACCTTCTCTTCATCAGCAGGGTGAAGGGTGTTCATGCACTATTCGCTGAAGTGATAGTGATGAAAGACATGAAACTTTACTTAACTATTTCATGCTGTCATTTTCCAGTACAGTTTTTAACATATTCTCAGATCAACACAACTAATCCTTGTCTGCAGTGTCTGTTTTTTATTGATATTATTGTTTTTAAAGTAACTAACTAATTACGATTAAAATCTGCTGAGATGACAAAATGTGAATTGCCATACATGTGAATGAGGTACGGATGCATGAAGACAGTCAACGATGCACAGGCAGGAGATGCACAGGCAGGAGATGCAATAAGGCGTTGTATATGTTTACTTTGTTTATGTGGGTGTGTGTGCTTGTTATTGTATATACCCGTGTTTTCAGGTGCTGCTCTAGATTAACCTTAGCTTGAAGACAGTGACTTATTTCACGCATATCTGTTGGCTTCTGTTTGCCATTTTGCAAGCTTTCAGTTAATGGATTGAACTTTGTGATGTTTGCATGCGGACCTATTGACAGTGATGCGTGCGTTATTTCAAAGACGTGTATACTTCTGTGTATGTCTTTGGTTATCTCATTAGAAAACATCTCCATGTGTCAAGACTGATCATCTGCGAGGTTTGTCTGTAACAAGACTTTCAGGAAATAGGGAAGTAATGGAATTGAAGTAATTATGTACTGGTATGTAGGTATTAATTTCTGATGAGAGCCATTTAGCTGTCTATAGTGTTTTTACAATTTAGTTGACCTTGAAAATAATCATGACCTTGATCTTGATCTGTCTACAACCATTGTAACTCTTTTGCTCCCTTAGGGAACGTTAAGAATACCATACCGATATGTCATTCATAAATATTGAATCTCATCAGGATTGTTTTAGCTCACTCACCAAAGAAGAGGTAACTTCCGTTGTAAACCCATCTAGTGATCTCATTATAGTACCCAATCATTTTGGTTCTGAGTGTACAGAGCTGACACAGTATTTGAGATACCTTACCCACATGTATGTGCTAACTGTCATACTAGTAACACTGAGATATGGATATATTTTACAAAAAGGTGGGTGCTATCAAACCTACCCATATCACCAGGCTAATCCCACCACCATGTTGATTGATCTAATTGAAGCTTAAGCCTTTTTGTCATGGAAAGTACCGGTACTATATGCTACACAGGAAGCAGGGAAGGCATCTAAGTCATGGGAAGGTATATGGGTCATGGGAAGGTATAGGGATCATGGGAAGGTAACTGGGTCATGGGAAGGTATATGGGTCATGGGAAGGTATAGGGATCATGGGAAGGTAACTGGGTCATGGGAAGGTATCTGGGTCATGGGAAGGTATAGGGATCACGGGAAGTTATCTGGGTCATGGGAAGGTATCTGGATCATGTCAAGGTATCTGGGTCATGGGAAGGTATAGGGATCACGGGAAGTTATCTGGGTCATGGGAAGGTATCTGGATCATGGGAAGGTATATGGATCATGTCAAGGTATCTGGGTCATGGGAAGGTATATCTCGGCTGTCATGTTTCCGAATTCTGTTCGTGTCCCCAGGCCTTATATTCTTGATTGCTCAATGTTTATTTACTCTGCAATTTCAGTGCCATTGGAAGGTTTTCTCTGCTTTGTCTCATGTTGCAATATAATACAATACATGCTGTATTCGACATATTAAGCGCCAATATACATCAAATGTTTCCTAGGATGGGAACTGTGTCTTAACTTAGTAATACATCTGAATACTTCCTGAGGAGGCCAGATCAGGTAAATTACCTGTATAATTTGGTTAAATTGTCGTGTCTCATGACCTCATACCTAAAACATGTTGAAATTTGCAATTACATTGACATTTTGACTGTTTCTTGTTTGACTCGCTCAAGCAATGATTCACCTGCAGTAAAAGGATAGCATCTTCCCCAAAACAAATGTATCCAAATTGGTTGGTTTATATTATACACAATAAGATGTGGTGATAGATACAATGCATGAATACACAATGCCATTTAGAAAGTGGTCAAATGTAACAAATGTTATATTTGGGATAACACTTTCTTAGTAAAGTACAGATTCTCGTACTTTTTTGGGTTGAGTCCCGTCCGGGATTTAAACCCACACTGCCAGAGTGAGGCACCTAATCGCCAGCACACAAAGTCAGCGATCTAACCCACTAGTGGAAGCCTCGGTTGCTGAGTGGGTTAGATCGCTGACTTTGTGTGCTGGCGGCGATTTGGTGCCTCACCCGGGCAGGTGTGGGTTCGAATCCCGGACGGGACTCAACCCAAAAAAGTACTAGAATCTGTACTTTACTAAGAAAGTGTTATCCCAAATATAACATATGTTAGATACAATGCAGTAAATAACTTCTTGGGCTTTTTTGTACTAAAAAGGGATTTTTATTATGTATTTTTTCTCCACTTCCTTCAGTTATTTGATTGGTCTGGCTTTGTGATAACAAAAATCAATGAAAATTGCATACGGCAATGTTAAATTAATAGAAAACGCATGAAACCATGTGAGGTGTATCATGGAACAGGTTATTTTTGTGTCGAATACGGTAGTTGTGTCTACTGGTGATGATGGAAACAATGTTTTCCAGGGTATGGAAAATGTTTTAGCTTTAAGTATATTATACATATCTTGTTGACAGATATAAAGGTAAACACTGTTTCACAAAGTGTAAATACATGTACATATGTGATTGAGTATTCAAGTTGAATTTACTCGATATGGGAGGTTTAATCTTAGTTGATATTTTGAACATTATTTCGGAATAAGTATTTTTGTTAATAATGTTGACTGTCTGGTTATAGAAATGGGCTAAATAGTAATTTTTTGAGAATTAAGAATATTTGATCTGCACATTCCATGTAAGTATGATATTCCCATGGAATATGTAATACACATCAGTCGATGGTTGGCGCCTAACAACCATAATGTCCTATTTCCACTTTTACAAGTAAATGACATTTTAAAATTTGAAGTGCTATATAATATTAACTTAAAAAACACTATGCATTTATTTCTCATTTACAGATAAATGTTATATTTATGTAAGAGTACCAAGAAAGTTAGGACATTTATTTTCAGATCCATACTGTTCTATCTCCAATAGTAAATTCAGTTGGCGTATTCTGATTATTCTTGACCAAAGTTTTCATCCAAAGGAGAGATCACACACTTGAGACAGGTTATTGTAATGAAGTCATCTCCTTTTATTCAGTATTTCAGCTGACTGATCACATGTGGTCCCATCTCCTTGTCACATGATCTGTGTGAAGAATTTGATTGGACACATGGACATGGACATAGAACAGTCTGGTTTGAAACTTATGAGATTGTGTACGTAGAATCACTGAAAAAACTACTTTCCAGCAACAGGGGCTTCAGGAAATTTACAGCAATGTTGTTAGAAAAGCACCCATTTGGAAAGAAAATGCGAAAACATTATTTCGGTCAAATGGACACAGGACCATCTTGTTCTCAGGCGACGTGGTGTTTCAATAATAATGCTTCTTTTTGTGAAAACAAGATCCAGAATGAAATGTCTGTTGCTGTATTGTACAGCTCTGAACTCGAGTACCCGTCTTCTCCGGGAAAGGGTTGGCCTTGGACAGTTCTGCATTTTGGCGGACATGGAACAAGGCTGGTTCACAATAATCCATTCTGTGGCCCTTAGGGAGAAATGCCACGAACCCGTTTAAACAGGGTAATATATGGCATAATATGATCTGACGATAATGAGTTCATGGTTCTCTTTGGAATCTCGCCACCTTTAGAACAAATCATTCGTGAACTGACAATACCACATTCTCATCTTACGACAAGTTGCTATTCCATACTCGTAGAAATGGCATATCAAATGTGAAAATTTTCTGTAGATATAATATTTTAGAGTATGATCATGATGAAGTGTTTTATTCTAAGTATTGCTATACATAATATATTGTCCACTTTAACCATATTAAATCTTTATGCATATTATTAGATGCTGTGGCAACAGGCTTATATTTAATCATTTGAAACTCATACATCTTTCTGGGGGCATGGGTGGCCCATCGTCTAAGGCACTGCTATTCGCTGTGCCGAGTTGCGTCCCTTGGGCATGCCAGAAACATATGATTGTGGGTTTGAATCCCTGTTCGCCCACTTATGTTTCTAGGTTGGTCAGCACCATACCCGTGCTTGTGGGTTTCACCGAAATGGTAAACGTCTAAGACCTGCATCACTTTGGACTTTCCTCCCACATTAAGCTGACATGCCGTGATATAACTGGAATACTGTTAACAGCGGCGTTAAACCCAACTCACTCACTCACTCTCTTCATTTAGCATCTATATAACCTTTGCTTCTTAATGATCTGTCGTTTCTTTTCATACCTGAATGTGTATGTCCTCTGGATTTGATATCTCCTGTGAAATATGTACGTATAACAATGTTATTCAATAATAATTGTATATCAGATTTCTCTGCTTTCAAAAACTTTCTCATTTCTACAACTATTTTACAATCAATAGATGATATATATATATTTCCTTAAGAGGTATTGTTGATATATTTGCTGTTACAGTAGCGTGTAAATGAGGAATGCGTTTCAAACATAAGTATCCGGACATGATTTCCATGCAATGGAGATGAATGTGTACATTTCGAAATCGATTTCGGTCGTAATAATTTATGCCAATTTTCTTTTGTATAACTGTTTTTGTGTGTACTGGAACATATCATTATGGTGTTGCATAATGTTGATGTTGTTTGGTTTAAAGTTAGCCTGGTGCAATATTTATTGAAGTTGGTCACACATATGAATGAAATAAATCTTGATGTAATGGCATAATTTTTCTTTTTTTTTAGATTTGTCGATTCTTGGCAAAAATAATTTTGAGCAAATTAACTTTCTAAAATTGTCATCAAAGTCTTACTGCTAACATGCATCCATATACATGTGTATAATAATATTATTATTAATATGATGATGATGATGAATGTAAAAACTTAATGTTAATGATAATTTGTTGACATGACTTACGGAAATCAACAAACAGGCGGATCAGAATATTTTAAAAGGGGGATGCACCACATAATACCCAAATCACAAAGTGACTTGGCTGAGGGCGCAGTTAAAATGTAATGTGTCTCACACACCCCTTTAAATTCTCCAGTGAATGCATCATGCATATTTCATACATATGTGTCATTGCCAATCAATAATCAACCTTTGTTTTCTATGCATATGCAGAACAAATCAAAGCATCGAAATTTGTTAAATACCTGTTGTTAAATAAGACAATCCTGTTTTTGGCATTATGTGCGGAACTTGTTTTTTTGTTTTATTGACAATTTATGGCTTGCTATATTTTGCATATTTTATTTTGACATGTGCTTGAATGGAGTTTAAGAGAGGTGGTACATGATATGAAATCTCTAGAGTTTTAATACCATATTGTTCCAGCTCAGTTTACAAAAACAATTTATGATCATTGATGTAAATATGTGAGATCCCAGTAGCAGCTTATAGAGAGGTATTCCCTGGTTTACATATGAAGCTCAAGTAAATTATTTTCAGAGGCTTTGTTTCTATTGAATTTGTAAATTTATTTTGAGGTGAAGATGTGTATATGATTTAAGTGTTTAACTTATTTTTTTAAGTTAGATTTTTAAGAAATCTGTGATGAATATTTCAGATATGCTCCATATCAATATCAAATGTTTTATCAACAACAGCGTTTTAACTCTCTATGTAACTTACTGGAGTCCAAATCATTCCTTTTCCAGTTAAGTTTGATTCTGTTGAAATTAAATTGCAGTGATTCTTTAAAAAATACAAGATTTTGCTACTTGAAGCGATAGTATCGACTTGAGTCCGGACACCCTATGATGACCATGCAAGTCATTCTGAGGATATCGCCTGCGCACTGACTTAATCCGGACATGCAAAATTATATTTATTATCAATGTCATTAAGCTAGACACATTTACTGAATTTGTGTTTATCCATCTATGGTTCTAACATTACCCAGAGATTACTACCATTACTTTTGACTATTTTTGCATATCTACATATTCATTTATTTAAATGTCTTTATATTTGAAATTTATTATTTTGTACAAAATGTGTTAATGCCAAGGTTAAACATCTAAGTCAGCGATGAGTCAGTTAGATTGATATATCCCGGTTTGTGAAGTATGAATTTAAAAATTTGAGAGTAGTCATGTCCTTGTTTGCAAGCTTCACTGATTTTGGTTAAATTTGCCTGTTCTAGATAGGAGTTGGTTTCTGTGTATAGGAATGCAGCCATCAGAATGTCCTCAACATTTGGTTTATATGAAATAAAGTTTTAATGTGATTGACAGCTGGTGCCGCTCTTATCTTGTTTATGGAGTTGTTTGTTTATTGTTGTCAGTTTGGGGATAGTGAGTGAGTGAGTGAGTTGGGTTTAACGCCGCTTTTACCAGCATTCCAGTTATATCGCAGCATGTCAGCTTAATGTGGGAGGAAAGCCCAAAGTGATGCAGGTCTCAGATGTTTACCACTTCGGTAAAATCCACGAGCATGGGTATGGTGCTGACAAACCTAGAAACATAATCTGGGCGAACAGGGATTCAAACCCACAATCATAGGTTTCTGGCATGCCCATGGGACGCAATTCTGCACAGCGAATCGCGGTGCCTTAGACGTCTGGGCCACCCGTGCACCCCTTAATGAGGAAGAAATCCTGAAGTGATGCAGGTCTTAGAGGTGAAACCCACTTGCAAGGGTATGGTGCTTACAAACCTGGAAACAGTTTAGTGATAGAGACAATAAGCTGTCATGTTGTCCGATTTTCGATCACAAACGTTGATACTACCTAATTTCATACATGCAACTCTGCAAGAGAATCGTAGCGCCTTAGCTGACTGGGCCACCTGTGCCCCCCACTTGCCAAAGAGATTTATACCTTTAATGATGAATGTGGTTATATTTGATATTAAAAAGACACAAGGGTGAGATTCTATTTATCATTTAAAATCATTCTTCCAAGTTTTTCAGTTTGTAAATAATAACCAGTGTCTTGAGTGTAAAAAATACAGTTGGCCCGCCTCATCGGCAGAGGGTATCATTTCATTGTCATGGTAACCACTGATGTCAAAATGGCCTGCAAAGCAATATCTTTTGTGGAAGCCAGTTTGGAATGATAAATCAACAACAATATAAGTGTTCCATGATTTATTGTCATACAACAGACGTAACAAAAACCAAGTTTATTCCAGTAGAGACAAACATCCATGACTTTGTCTAGTTATCTTCACATAGCTGTCTTAAGGGAGTCTAGGCACTGGCAACTTGGCAGCCCCAGCAAATTGACTTAAGTCTCACTGCAAGCTTCTGTGACTCAATTCAGCAGTTGGATTACTAAAAGTAGCCAGTGATGTCAAAATGATTATAGAAAGTACGCAGACATTGTCTCAGTTTCACACTGATATTAATCACAGAATCTAAAACATGTCAGAAACTGGACACCAGGGCCCACTTGCACAAAGCGATCTTAGTGCTACAACTATTGTAAGCCTATGTTAAAGTATGGCAGTTACGATCATCTTAGCGCTAAGATCGCTTTGTGCAAGTGGGCCCATACCTCAGAGCAAAGTCCTCCTTTAATAACAAACTGAACTTCATCAATGCATTGTGTTTGTGTGTGACAGAACAAGACATACCTTTTGTAAATTATGTGATAGTATCAGTGTAGAAGTACATTTGGAGAACATTGAAATGATTAACAATAACGTATTAATATTGAGCTAAACAATAAGGAAGTATTTCAACATTCAAGATGAAATCTTCCTATCAGATCTCAAGAATTCTTACAACTGAGCTAAAATGTTAGAGACAGTTATAAATAAAGATCATAAAAATATATAATAAATCCCCCTGCATAGGTTCCAGCAGTATCACAAATGAGCAAAGAGTTAGATTAAATTGGCACATTACGTTATCTAGAGAAGATAAACAAACTGCGCATGGAGAGTTTTAGAAAGCAACCACATTTCAGATGTGAAAGTTTGTGTGCACTCACAAAATCAAAGATGGATCACATTTGTATTGAAATTAACCAAAAATACCTTGATGTTTGACACAAAGTCTTCACAGAGCATCAAAAACACCACTGAGGCAAACACCCAGATTTTAAATAGATTTTATGTTTGAAACAGTTTCTCTCAAATAGAATGTCAAACTACATAATAATGCATACTACGGTATTGAGCAAACAATAATTGTCAGTGTAATTTAACACAAGATATTTCACACTTTCACACAGTATACAGTACTTACAAATACAGGATATGACCTTGAGATCTATGTACATTATGACGTATGGAAATGATGGTGTTGTAAAGACAGCAGTTTCACTATTAATGATTGACAAATTTCAAATGCTGAGCTTTTCTTCTATTGCATAGTCACAATAGGAAGTTTTACTTATTCCAAAATTGCACAGAGAAATTTATACAGCCAAACCTTCGAAAAGTTGATTGGCACGAAAGTGTAAAAGGTTTCAATGCAGAATATAATATGTATAGTATCAAATTGTAGATATCAGAGTACCTACATGATTTGCATTCCTTAAAACCTTTTGATTTCTTATGTGTATGAAGACAAAATATATTATACATAATCAACATACTTTAACTTTTCTGAAGCAATCTTCTATTGAAGATCTTAGCATAACCAATGTCGTAGATTTCAAAATATACAATTTAACAAAATGACGATCTCCTATAATTCTATAAAAATCAACAGCGTGCAACAACTCGATTACAATAAAGACAATATCACAGTTTTGACTGACATGTTGTTTCAGTGTTATTGACATCCAGAATGAAATCAGTGCGCCACAGCTGACATGGTGAGCCGGTGAGACTTGGTGTCGTGGAGATGATCGTCAAAAAACACATCTCTTGCCTTAATACTCCTGAAAAATGACAGGAACGAATTGGAAAATCATCAACAAAACAGTGGCAATTTCTATTTACTTCTCTTTAACCCGGCAGTCATTCAAAGTTCAAACAGAGCTGAGAAACAGATAACATATTAAAAGAATATATTCACAAACTTCATAAAAGCTAACAATTCTACAACAGTAAAAACAGTGGCATCAAAACATTTGCATATACTTTTTCACTTTCAGCATAATTTTCAGCAGATCTTAACATGGACTATTTTTAGTTTACATGCTAGGCTAAAACTGTGACTCTCTACTGGTAATTTAAGTAAGCGTCAGGTTAGTGGATGAAGTTGGCTACATATTAATACTTTAAATAACTTCTAGGATAATAGTACCTGAGCAAGCTCCAGACCACTGGCTAATGCTGACCTCACACTAGTGGCTAATGCTGTCTTTACACTAGTGGCTAATGCTGACCTCACAAGAGTACCTAAGCAAGCTCCAGGCTAGTGGCTAATGTTGACCTCACACTAGTGGCTAATGCTGACCTCACAAGAGTACCTAAGCAAGCTCCAGGCTTGTGGCTAATGCTGACCTCACACTAGTGGCTAATGCTGACCTCACACTAGTGGCTAATGCTGACATCACAAGAGTACCCGAGCAAGCTCCAGACTAGTGGCTAATGTTGACCTCACACTAGTGACTAATGCTGACCTCACACTAGTGGCTAATGCTGACCTCACAAGAGTACCTAAGCAAGCTCCAGGCTAGTGGCTAATGTTGACCTCACACTAGTGGCTAATGCTGACCTCACAAGAGTACCTAAGCAAGCTCCAGGCTTGTGGCTAATGCTGACCTCACACTAGTGGCTAATGCTGACATCACAAGAGTACCCGAGCAAGCTCCAGGCTAGTGGCTAATGTTGACCTCACAAGAGTACCAAAGCAGGCTCCAGGCTAGTGGCTAATGCTGACCTCACAAGAGTACCTAAGCAAGCTCCAGGCTAGTGGCTAATGTTGACCTCACACTAGTGGCTAATACTGACCTCACACTAGTGGCTAATGCTGACCTCACACTAGTGGCTAATGTTGACCTAATACTAGTGGCTAATGTTGACCTCACAAGAGTACCTAAGCAAGCTCCAGGCTAGTGGCTAATGTTGACCTCACAAAAGTACCTAAGCAAGCTCCAGGCTAGTGGCTAATGTCGACCTCACAGAAGTACCTAAGCAAGCTCCAGGCTAGTGGCTAATGTTGACCTCACAGAAGTACCTAAGCAGGCTCCAAACTAGTGGCTAGTGTTAACTGTGTACTAGTACCTTCATACTAGTTTGTTATGAAGAAATTAGGATGCTAATGCATGTTGCCTGTGATCACAAGGTACTAACCTGGAAACATATGGCTCGAGACGCCGCAGTGTATCCGTGGTGTTGATGTCGGCACCGTTGCCATGGACGGCAGTGCTCTTGGTGAACCCATCTGGTTTCTGGTGCTGCACGCCACCCCGACAGTGACCTTCACGTTCCATACCCATGGGGGTGATGTCATTGAACCTGGGGGGGGGACAAGATATTTGTACCCACGATTTGTAATATCACTTCTCATTTGTTGTCTTCTTTACAAAATACTGAGTCAATCTCATTTATTACCTTAGGCTAAAATTAATAATAGTCTTGGTTCTCAGGCACCGCCCCCGCATCATCATAAAGTCTGCCGCACATTTCGTTTGAATTTTTATTTATAAAAAAAATAAAAAATACTTATACTTAAAAACATTGTGATCCAATACAGCACGCAGTTACTTCCCCTTACATGTGCACTGCTTTACTGCGCATCTGGTGTTATGGTCATGGTGGCAATAGAGTTTGTATGCTTGTTTATGTAGGGAGGCCCTTTCCCAGGTTGATGGTACACAACTGTTTATTTGGTTACATACTAGTTTGAACAAGCTTAAAAAAACAACCACCGCCCGCCCGCCCGCACTATATTTTCAAACGTCATTGCACGTGAACCAATTCTCTCATTTTTCTAAGCCTTAAAAGTTTGCTTGCTATGTATTATGTTCTTTCTGCCTGAAACTGTCTTTCCATCTTTTTATATGGGATGTCTAGCTTACAAGACCGAAAGGCATTAGACTTAAAGAGGTTAAAGTCCCAGACTGCTCTACCTGGTCATGTAGTGTGTGATGAATCTCCGTGGGTCATCCGACGTCTGGATGAACCGGTCACTGTTGTTGCTGTAGCCGGAGGCTTCCTGTTGCCCAGTGGCTGTCCGGCCCAGACGTCCAGCCTCGCTGGGTGCAGGGTTCTGCTGGCCACGGTACACGTTCATCGACACACTGGGGACGGGAACAGATCATTGTGGTATCAATATATGCAGAACATCGTTGTCGACTGTCAAAGAAATACATCGTTCTCCTGTTCTGTCAGTTCAATTTAAATATGAATGGTTTCAATTTTTCAATTTCATTTGTAAAATGACATTTTAGGGATGCTGACAATAAAAATCCAGTCAACATCAATTAAACCAGTAATATTTAATATACAAAGTAGTCAATTGTCAATGCCTGGAAAATTTCAAGTTGAGTTTCATTTTCTAGAGGTTAAGAGCTACATCATAAATAGGAAAAGGTTTCCGTTCTTTTCTGAATCACTCTCTTTGCACTGTCATGTACTGTCAAGCACTGTCACACACTGTCATACACTGTCATCTACTGTCAAGCACTGTCATGTACTGTCACACACTGTCATGTACTGTCACACACAGTCATGAACTGTCAAGCACTGTCACACACTGTCATGTACTGTCACACACTGTCATGTACTGTCATGTACTGTCATGCACTGTCATGTACTGTCACACACTGTCATGTACTGTCATGTACTGTCACACACTGTCATGTACTGTCACACACTGTCATGTACTGTCATGTACTGTCACACACTGTCATGTACTGTCACATACTGTCATGTACTGTCACACACTGTCATGTACTGTCATGTACTGTCACACACTGTCATGAACTGTCAAGCACTGTCACACACTGTCATGTACTGTCACACACTGTCATGCACTGTCATGTACTGTCATGCACTGTCATGTACTGGCATGTACTGTCATGCACTGTCATGTACTGTCACACACTGTCAAGTACTGTCATGTACTGTCATGTACTGTCATGTACTGTCACACACTGTCAAGTACTGTCATGTACTGTCATGTACTGTCATGTACTGTCACACACTGGCAAGTACTGTCATGTACTGTCACACACTGTCAAGTACTGTCATGTACTGTCACACACTGTCAAGTACTGTCCTGTACTGTGATGTACTGTCACACACTGTCATGTACTGTCATGCACTGTCATGTACTGTCATGTACTGTCACACACTGTCATGTACTGTCATGCACTGTCATGTACTGTCACACACTGTCATGTACTGTCACACACTGTCATGTACTGTCATGTACTGTCATGTACTGTCACACACTGTCATGTACTGTCATGCATTGTCATGTACTGTCACACACTGTCATGTACTGTCACACACTGTCATGTACTGTCATGCACTGTCATGTACTGTCACACACTGTCATGTACTGTCATGCACTGTCATGTACTGTCACACACTGTCATGTACTGTCACACACTGTCATGTACTGTCATGCACTGTCATGCACTGTCAAACACTGTCATGTACTGTCATGTAGTCATACACTGTCACACACTCATGTACTGTCATTGCACTGTCACACACTGTCATGTACTGTCATGTACTGTCATGTACTGTCACACACTGTCATGTACTGTCATGCACTGTCATGTACTGTCACACACTGTCATGTACTGTCATGCACTGTCAAACACTGTCATGCACTGTCATGTACTGTCATGTAGTCATACACTGTCACACACTCATGTACTGTCATGCACTGTCACACACTGTCATGTACTGTCATGTACTGTCATGCACTGTCACACACTGTCATGTACTGTCACACACTGCCACATACTGTCACACACTGTCACACACTGTCACACACTGTCCCATACTGTCACACACTGACCTGGAGTGGTTGTCTGGGTGCTGCATGTTGATGTATTCTGTGGGGTCTCGCTTCAGTGTCTGACCTAGCTTCATGCTGGGGATGTCTCCTGCCTTATCATAGGCCTGCAACAGAGAAGTGGGTCTAGGCTACAAGCATCACCCAGCAGCCCTACAGCAATATGTTAATCCCAAAACCTTCTGCCAAAATATCATTGGATTTACAACTTTACCATAAAGTAATCTTATAAAAACAGGCAGAACCTTCACCCAACCAACATAAAATACTCTGTGACCTCCCAAAATATTCGCCATTTCTTTTTATAAAATTGACCTCCAAATAATTCCTAATTTCAAAAACATTTATTCATTCATCATCAAACGAACACCAGAGTATCAATATCTTACGAAGACTTGTTTCCCTCCCCTCAAACTTTTCAATAAAATGTAGTTAGTAATACACCCTGACCACTTCCCTTTGAAATTATTGGTCAGAGTATATAACATCTCCCTCTTGCTCAAGCGAGGTTTTCCCAGCACTCACGTCTCCCATCCGCCTGTGGACATACAGGGGCTTGGCTCTCTCCCGAGTGAAGCCAGAGTCGTGTTCGGATGGCGCCGCTAGGTTTGGCAGAGGCTCCTTCCCCTGAAAATGTACAAAAATACATAAAACATATTATACCTATCTACTTTTTCAAGCAGTCAGCCACATAGCGAATGTGAGAAGGATGTGCAACTGTAAACAAAGTACTATTACACTTCGATCAGCATCATGACTTATTACATTTGTAAGACATACATAACAGACCATTATTGACATTTATAGCTAAAATGGATAGAATTATCATTAAACCGCCCGGATGTTATCAGAAATGAGCGGGCCACTGTAACTTGATAATGCCCTCATATTGTTTGCCGACGGGCCATTATCACGCCCATTGTTAGGTGACGTCATAGGATAGGGATAGTGACGTCACGTTGAATAGTGACGTCATCTGGTTTGTTCTATGACATTTCTATATTTGTAAAAGTAGGTCAGTGACATTCGTGTTGATTGCAGTAAATGTTTCAAAACCGATATTGTTGTTTCTTTTTATTTGATAACAAATTCTATCCATTTTAGCATTAAATTCTAGCTATTTTTCAGGGCATTATCATTTGCAGAAGCCCTCGGTCTTTTCAACTGCCCTCCTTCATCGGGCAGTTAATGGAAGACCTCGTGCTTCTACAAATGATAATGCCCTGAAAATAGCGTTACCCTTATAATATATATGAAGTATCCTTTCAGAAAAGGTTTTTACTCCAAACACATACTTCAAATGTATAAATACAAGTGGGAAATGAAAACGTTTGTATGGAAGAGTTATTCCCCTTGATGCACAAATAACATCACAACAAACATAAAAGACAACTTAGAATAAGGACAACAGTAATACAGAGGGATGCTTACCCGGGGGTATTCTGTCGGGAGGAAGCTGGTCTTCATGATGCTAATGCCTGTCGGACGACCCGTGAAATAACCCTGGACAAAGAAAAGCCACTTGATGAAAATACATGCAATTTACATATGTTAGGCATACTCCTCTTGAGCAATGCCACATTATATCTGCACTGAAATAACTTATTACACCTTGTGAGTGAGTGAGTTTAACATCACTTTGAAAAGTAATTACCGTATTCGACGTAATAAGCGCCCCGCTCTAATAAGCGCCCATGATGATATTTGCTAACATATTTGCTAGTATGATATATAAACAAGAGTGAATGTGTGAGTGAGAAGTATATTATTTTCTGTAAAAAAACAAAACAAAGTAAGATGTACTGATAAGTGGTGCTTTATGTCATGGGCTTTCTGCTACCCTGGGCAGAAGCCCATTTATGTAACAGGTGCGTGTTTCTAAAAACAATAAAAGAAAAAAAATATAAAGATATATTTTTCCAGAATTAAATGCCCATAATTAAGGGTGCATATAACACACAAGTGCATATTATATGAGAATAAATAAGTCTTGTGTACATTGATCAATCGGAAGGGGTGCTAATTGGGATTGTTCACTAGCCAATATCTTAGCAAATGTCGCCATGGGCGCTTGTTAGAGCGGGGCGCTTATTACGTCGAATACGGTATTATGTTTTAAAGTGGTAATCCTTAGCAAACTTTGAGTACCGGTAGTATATTTAAAATCGGAATACACTATGGCACAGCCCATAACTAAAATAAATACTACACAGAGCCATGGACAATGGCACAGTTCGTAACTCTGTGTAGTATTTATAAGTCAATATCAAAATGGCTTCCAGGGAGCATCACAGAGATAGTTCCTGCAGCTACCCTTCTGGGTACTACGAACAGATCTCCACTTACGGGCTGCTCGTTCTTGAAGGCCGACCCCGGCTGGAACGTGACGGGCTCCACACTGTAGCTGTGGGTGAATCCTGTCTCCTCCTGAGGCCCTACCGTCAGCTGGCTCAGATCCACTGCAACACACAAGGATGTTCCCTGTTACACTTCAGGTGAGGTTACCCACACTCAGCAAACTCGAAATACAATATGCTGGAATGTGGAGATGCAAGAGACAAAATAGAAGAAATACACACAAAACCAGGGTTGGTATGAGGTTTATTAGGCAGTATGAACAGTATTTCAGTTATATTGCAGTGTGTCAGGTGTGGGAGGCAATGTGAAGTCTTTGACCTTTACCACTTTGGTAAAATCAGGAGATGGAGAATGGTGCTGACAAAGCTAGAAACATAATCTGTGTGAATCAAGGATTTCAATCCCTGAGCATAGGTTCCTGGCATGTCCAAGGGACACAACTCTGTTCTGTGAATCACGGCACCTTAGATGACCAGGACACCTGAATGGTTTTAGAAATCTGACATCTGATTATGGATAAGATCTGATTTGAATGAGATTGATATGGATTCTCAACAGAAGCCATCAAGAAGGATCAGGGTGTCACTGCATATACAAGGATATCAAAATTGCAATATCTATCACCAAACACATGTCCATACCAGAGGCGGATCCAGGATTTTAATGTGTGTATTTGTGGGGGTGGGGGTGGGGAGGAGGGTGGGGTTACACATGATACCCAAGTAACAAAGTGACTTGACGGAGGGCACAGTTAACTTGTGAGGTGTCTGAAAGAAGGGGGAGTGCTCCCCACCCCTTCTCCCCTTCTGGATCCGCCATGGTATTCATGATATGCTTATATTTGAATTTTGAATACTTTAGGGCAGATTCATTTGGAGTCAAATAAAAAAGAAACAAGCTATCCGTCCAGTTGGTCAAACAATGCAAAACAAAGAGCACGGGAATATCAATGATGCACAACTTACTGTTATTGCCTCGAAGACCTTTGAACCTCTCGTGTGTTTCAGACATCATAGATTTGGGACCCTGGAGAATGAGATAGATTATTTAGATATATTTCTTAGCTTCTCCAGACTTTTAGATCACAAATAAAAAAAATACATTTCTTTTAATATGCACAAAAAACATCTCCTAATAAAAAGTTAAGCAATCCAGATTAAATCACATTTCACATTGTATTAATAAACTATTCCGAAAACATTTTTCAGTTCTGCTGTTTATGTAAATTCTCTCATCATGTGGCACCTCAAGGAACCTTAGATGGCTTAAATCTTACAAGTGTGTGAAATGTTGGTATTTCTTAAGGCAGACTCACACAGGTCGGCTCGTCGAATTGATATGCCAAATTCGACCAATCGTATCATCTGACTGAATTCGACAAAAGGGACAAATTGGCCGCTCGAACCCGCATCGATTGTATCGCGAGTGTGTAGAGCCTGTTCTAGCTAATCGACAAGTTGGATGTGGTGTGGCCAATCAAATTACATTTTGATGTCAGGTGATATTTGTTTCCACACAAGCGGGAAACATGGCTTCGTCTGCTGCGAAGAAACCATGCCTCGACTTTTCTAGAGAGGAAACCGAGCGTTTTGTGGCTCACTATCTGCATTTATATACCATGGAAACAAATTACCGTGAGATATCATGAGATCGACACCGAATCAGCAGATTGAATCGTGTGCGTGGCAGCAAATCGATTAGCCGATATTCGTTACAGCCGCGGAACATGTTGTACAATGCATGGAAATCGGCAGGTCGTCACGACAGGCCGACCTGTATGAGTCGCACTTTAGACCAAGAGAGTTAACTTCAGCAAAGTCTGTGTAATACAACCAAGGACAAACTAGGCACATAATTATTATCCATACAATCAGCTACACCTATCTATTTTGAGACTATGAACCTCAAACTAAGCATCGGATTGATGTTGAGGATTCTTAAAAACTGATTAACCAGAAAAAAGAATTGTGTGAGTGATGTGTTTGAGAAAGATATAAAAGTGCAACTGATTTTTCTTTCTTTCTTTCACTGATAATGAACATATGGTTGTCATATCCGTGATCTAACAAAAAAACAAATAATGGCCTTATCCAGCTGTGGTGATTTTAACTTCACATCCTTCCTAACTCCACTTGCTAACAACATGATAAACAACTGATTAATTTATGCATAAATATTTGACACAGCAATCCATGTGTGTCTGCCGCAGTCTGATTGATTGAAATACGATGTGGAATCAGATTCATTGTCAACTATTCTGGACATGTCTTGATGTAGGCATAACTTATTTGATAATTACCCTTTGTTCTCGGTCACAGATTTGAAGGATTATCTGACAAGGTGACATGAATATTGCATTCATTTAATTCATAATATATTCAGTCAGAAAATAAGTTGACTTTAATCAGATTCTCTCTGCATTCTGCAGACCAGGTGGTAAGGTTGTCATGGCTTGTGATCCACTGATGTACAAAACGTAGCAATGCAAAAGCAATTATCCCTATTATAACCTTTGTATTTTCAAAGCCCTAAATGTCATGTGATTACTTCCAAGATCATGGCAGACAGATTTCATCTCAAACCATGTCCACACACGCGAGGTAGATTCATCTCTGTTTGATTGGCATTCTAGAAGTTGGTGAGTACGAAAACGTACAACTTATGGATAACAACTTCTTGTTTACTGCACATCGTGATGTTTTGATGTTTGTTTGTTTGTTGTTTAATGCAGCACTCAGCAATATTCCAGCTATATGAAGGCGGTCTGTAAAGAATCATGTCCGGACCAAACAATGCAGTGATTGACATCATGAGCATTGATCCACACAATTGGGATATGATGACATGCATCAACCAAGTCAGCGAGCCTGACCACCCAATCCCATTAGTCGCCTCTTACGACAAGCATAGTCGCCTTTTACGGCATGCATGGGTTGCTGAAGACCTATTCTACCCCGGATCTTCACGGGTCCATTTTGATGTAGATTCTCACACCGTTTTCAAGCCGGAGTGACCACAACCAAGTGAAGAGAGGTAATTATAACCTTCTCTTCTTACCTCTCATGACACGGTTGTAGTCACTCCAGCTTGATAACGGTGTAAGAATCTACTTCGAAACGTCATACATGTAATAAACCAGAAGTTGTTATCCATAAAATTTATACGTTTTCTTATATTCATCTCCATTAACACAGATACTGTCCTCAAATTTTTATTCCAATACAATCTTTAAAGTACAATTAAGCTTGATATTAAACATATTGAATACCCAAAGAAAACTATCAATACCCAACGTCAACGATAACTTAAGTAAATACTTAATGGTTCAAACCATTATACGGAATCCAGTATTACAGGGTTCACTCTAGGAATTTTCTGACATGGGCCTTTTATGTGAAAATTTCAAATATTCCAGAGGTACACCCACACTTGCCCATACAGCACAATGTTAAAATGACCCATTGTATTTTCAAATGTGGGCCTTTTTTTCAAATTTAGGGGCTAAAAGCACAAGGCCCCAGCCTAGAATTATCCCTGGAGTGAATCCAATATACTTCACAATTGTACATGATGTGAAGCTAGACGACGCTCCTGTCTACTTACATAGCCATTGTTCTCAAGTTCAACAGGGTCCTTAGGCTTGAGTTTGTGAAGAAGAGGTTTGCCTCGCGGCAAGATGTCTGACGGCGCGCTTGCCGCACGAGTGTCTACAAAAACACCTTTCACCTACAGAGCAGGCGGAGAGACAGACAAGCATTATAGAGGAGCAAAGAGCAGTATTAAGACACAAAGGTACATTCCCATTGTATTAAATAAAAAACCTGTTTTCTACTTTTTCTATTTTCAGATGACTTATTAGTGTCATGCATCGACTAATGAGTGATTGAGTAGGTCATATACCAGTGTCTGTAATGTTACAGCTTTAGCAATTAGGGCTGGTACGGGTAACTCGGGTACTCGGGTCGGGTGGGTACTGAGGACTACCCGGACCTGTGGTTAGTCATGTGATATATTGTTTAATGAAAAAAATGATCGACAACTGTATGTGGTTACATTACAAGTCACAAGTTCGTATTTCTTTCTGACGATGCACACATTCCTTCTGACTTTTATGTTTGAATAAAGATAAAACTTCAGTCAACTTCTGTGTATGTATGACCAGGTCGTTTTATATGTGTAACTTCATACATTTTGTCCAGGGCTACGGTCAAACTATTCCCAATCAGACATTTTGTACCCAACTCTTGAGACCTACAGCGGGTACCCGGGTAGGGTCGGGTAATAGGGGTGTGGGTACCCCGTTACCCGGGTAGTAAATTTGGACTCATCCCAGCCCTAATAGCAATGATTGATCATGGACTAAACCAACCAGTGGTTGATAGGTCCAACAGGACAACAGGTCCAATGATACTTATCAAGAACAGTATTTCAGTCTGATTCATGACTCACTCATGTGGGAGGACAGCCTGAAGTGATTATCGTGTTAGACACAACCCCACTTGTGAAACCCATGGTATGGACACACCGAGAATCACAATCAGGGTTATCCTGAGATTCAAACCCACAATCATAGGATTCTGGCACACCTAAGGGACACAACTCTGCACAGTGAGTTGCGGCACTTTTGACAACTGGGCCAGGCCTGTCTTCTATGAAGATCACCCACGGAAATACTGACCACGGTCATTGTGACCACCCAATCAACATTCTGTTCCCCACTTATGTCAAGCATGAGGTAGTGTAAATATTTTTCTTAAAATCTACATAAAGGTTTGACTAAACTTTAAAGAATTTTTTCAGACAAAAACAGGAATGTACCTTTTGTTTAAACTTTTCTAACTAATCAAACTTTTTAAAAATTGTTCTATAACTGAACTATTTTAACTATCTAAAGGAGATGAAAAATAATATTAGAAACTATTCTACAGTAGTACAACAATAATAATCTAATTTTGAGACTGGTCATTGTTCAGAGCCTTAAAGGTAAAATCATGAAACATAACTTCCAGTATATACACATATATTGCTGAAAAATGTTTGGAATCTTGTTAAATAAATTCACTGTAAGATTCACTGACTCAAGATTAGAACTTAAGAATACTCTCTTCTATTTAGCAGTGAGCAAAATAGGGTCTGTTTGAACAGACAAGCCTACAATATCATGTTTGCAAAAGAGGCCAAATATATATTTACGTCACTTTATTGAATTAAGAAATCATGACAAAATCAGTCAAAACAATTTTGCTCCAGACTTCAAAACCAAGCTGCACTTACATTTTACCTGTTAGAAAGTTAAAATATAAAATTGTAAAGGTAGGCATATCTGTATAGAGCACTGGAAGAAGCTATAAAGGTCATATACTAGTCTAGTGTTATCATTACTGGAACAAATGCTGTAATTTCTAATCTTCTAATTCATCTTAAAGAAACAGAAGCCCAGGTATCGATCTGACTTACCTCCCTTTCAGTGGGATTTGTGATTGGCTTTTGTCTGACAAAGCCGGAGTCTGTTTGATGTGCTGACCTTGGCAGTGGTTCCAGGCCGGAATTCTCCTGGTAGGGCTTGAAGTCTTTAGTTGTCATGCTCACGTAATTGTTTCCACAGATGCGACTTGAAAGGGAAATTTTTAATATTAATCTTCAAAAACAAAATTGGGTACATATATGAGGGAAATAATTTGCATAAAGTTTTATTGATTTTTGTTTAACTTTCCTTGGCTTATTCACACCTTTTGGTTTGACTGATGGCAAAACAGCCCTCGGCACCCTTACGCAAAAAAAGATGCTGTGTGACAGAGCTACTATGGTAGTTTTCTAAAAGACTAAGGGTAATAAATAACATATAGACCTACTACCAATTGGATTAACTGATAACCTCTTGACTTATTCGCTAACTGGAATAACAGTAAATCAGTGATACTTTGGGTTTACAAACAAAATTCAGTTGGGGCCAATAATCTATAATTCTCTTAGGTTCATACTTTAAGTTCTTGTTATTAACAGTAAAATTATATAATCCAGTAAAAATTTAAATCAGTGATGGACCAGTGAGTGAGTTGGGTTTAACGTCTCTTTTAACAGTATTCCAGTTATATCACGGCGTGTCAGCTTCATGTGGGAGGAAAGCCCGAAGTGATGCAGGTCTCAGACGTTTACCACTTTGGTGAAAGCCACAAGCACGGGTAAGCTGCTGACAAACCTAAAAACATAATCAGGGCGAACCGGGATTCGATCCCATGATTATAGATTTCTGGTGTGTCCAGGGGACGCAACTCTGCACAGCGAATTGCGGCGTCTTAGATGACTGGGCCACCCGTGCCCCCACCACCATCCCAAATAAAGCATTAAAATAGAAAAGAACTTAGTAACAAGTACTTTGGTCATTTGTCTGTACAAATGAAATAATAATTAACATGGATTTTATTTTAAAAAATAGTACATCCCTCATCATATATTAGTGACAGTATACCGTGCCACAAAACTAAGCTATACATTTTTTATAACTATAGTCTCTGATATTCAATTAAACACCCTCACCCCATGACTGGATTATCGACTTCATCTAATCTTTGACTGTAGTACACGGCAGGGCGGAAGTTGGATTTGTAGCCAGTCCCAGTGTGGCGGCCTTGCCTTGGCTTGTAGTTGTCCCAGAATCTGCCGTGTGTGGTGGAATTCTGGGTAACGTAGAATTTCATCATGTTGGTGTCGGGGCCATGACTCTTGTTGATGTGGATGTTTCTGCTACCTTTTGGCAGTGGACCCATTTTGAAACTTATCTATTTTTTTCACTGAAAAGGAATCAGTTGTAAAAAATGAATGATTAAAAGTAATTGCACAGAAACTAAAGATTATAAACATTTTTGCAAGTCTTATTGTTGGGTCATTGCATCAACTGGAAAACCAGAAATATATGACTATACATGATCTAACTGACAAACTTTACTGTTACTGTAGTAACTCTGAAATGGCAAAACCATGCAGATACCTCTTGGCCATATGTTTTACAGTATGCACTTTTCTTGGTTAATATCATTAAACCTCGGAATTTCACTACGGTTCATTTCAATGACACTGAAAGCAATAAATGATGTGAGGTTCACAGATTACTCACTTGTTCCCTAGAAACATATCCTAGGAAAGCTATTCACACACAAAATAGTGCATACTTTTCCAAAATGGCAAAAGACAATCTTGCCATTTACCATATTCGACATAATAAGCGCCCTGCTCTAATAAGCGCCCATGGCGATATTTGCTAATATATTGGCTAGTGAACAATCCCAATTAGCACCCCTTCCGATTGATCAATGTACACAAGACCTATTTATTCATGTATAATATGCACTCGTGTTTAATATGCACCCTCAATGATGGGCAATTAAATTCTGGAAAAATATATCTGTCGTATATAAACATTTCAGGCTGTCAGCATAAACAACGAAATTTATCTTTCAACTCTGTTTTTTCCACCAAAATAATATTCTAATAAGAGCCCCCTATTTCTAATTTTGAGAGCGCCCTGGGCGCTTAATACATCGAATACGGTACCCATATTCACATAATGATAGAAATATATAGGCAAATGGTTGTTATGAGTTTTGTAGTGGTTTTGATCTTCTCAGACACAATAAATGCAAATGCCCTTGTACAAGAGTACACTTCAAATTATGTTTCATACAAATGAATGAGAAATCGAAATCATACCAAACTGATTCTGTCCAAAAAAGTTGATCATGCATGCAATTGTCAAGACGGTAAATAGGTGATGCCTTAGCCAAAATCAAGTGACATATTAAACCATTTATGTAGATATTGATATACCGTATTCGACGTAATAAGCGCCCCACTCTAATAAACGCCCACGGCGATATTTGCTAATATATTGGCTAGTGAACAATCCCAATTAGCACCCCTTCCGATTGATTAATGTACACAAGACTTATTCATTCGCGTATAATACGCACTCTTGCGTTATAAGCACACTTAATTATGGGCAATTAAATTCTGGAAAAATATATCTATCGTACATAAATATTTCAGGCTGTCAGCATAAACCACGAAATTTATCTTTCAACTCAACTTTTATTTTCACCAAAATAATATTCTAATTTTGAGAGCGCCCTCGGCGCTTATTACGTCGAATACGGTAATACACGCATATTTAAAGAAGGTTCAAAGAAAACCAATATTATCACTCTGATAGAAACAGGACTTTTTTCAACATGAACAGTATCTATAGAGACTATAGATATTGACACTGAAACATGCTGACGCTGGCGGTAAAATTAATTTATCATATTTCCTACGACTACGCTTTGATCTATTTACCTTTGAAATATTCACGATTGTGTAAATGCCTGGCAAGCGACTTGCATCTGAATCGTATCCGTGTTATCAAAGTTTCAGACAAGAGCACACAGTAAAACAAATCCGATTTGTAGGCCAAGCTTTGTATTGTTGATCTTGACAACCGAACATGTGCACATAAATCGGTGACGTAAACAAAGGGGTATAACTCTTCCATGTAATGATTTCCTGGTCGCTAAAATGTATTCGATGACGTCTCTTTTAATGTGGTTTAACACTGTCGTTAATTTAGTGTTAATTACGTTATTTTGGTGTTGATTGTGAATCTCCGATAGCCAAACAGCATAAAATCGTCTTGACTTCTGAATATCAGGAGCTTACAAGATCAATTTGATCGAGGGATCGAGTCTCTAAATTGTTCTGGTCGATTCATAATAAGAGTTTGGATTTCGTCTTTTTCTTTCAATTCAAATTATTTCAGTAGGTAATATACGTTTAATATAGCAACATGTCAATAAGAAGTGGTGTTACTTGCAGTTCATCATTGCAACACACTTTTCGATTGTTGTTGTTGTTGTGGTTTTCCCTGGATCACATTATTTATTTACAGGTAGCCTCGGAATTTTTCCACTTTTATCAACTCGTGTTGATATATTTGATATCAAAAGACACTCGTGTGAGACTCTCTATATATGCTAAACTATTAATAAATCTAGACATTTAAGTCCTGTTGTGGCTCTTAATTCATGAGGAATTATCTACGCACACACGCACACACACACACACAATTATGTTATTATTCAAAATATTTATGTTGAGTTGTACAGGACACATTTTAAGGGTGGTGTTATTTTTTTCAATGATTATTTTTATAAATTTAATACTGTATAATATCGAAAAATCACACGCACACGCGCGCGCGAATACACGCACACTTGTTGTCTAGGCAATACAAATATAGCAGGACACCTTAAAACAATAGAATAGTTTGATAAATATTTTTAGTAATGAGCAATGTATTGCACGTAAAAATACTCGCAAGAGTTAATAATATCGTGTGGTCAATATCAAACACCGGGTTCGTGATCGCATGGACCTAAAAATAGAAGTAGTCGTGACGATCAGCCACAGCAAGTCTAGAAGAGGCGTGTAAGCATTGATCCTTCTCGCTTGGAAATCATTGCAACACAACGGCCTGAGATGCGTCGTTCAAATCCTGCCAGAGTGGTTGTATAAGAAGTGGACTCACAAATCCATTTGCGGACTGCTACCATTCAAAACGGTTGAAATGATGGGCTGGGTTACACTAGATGTCGGGGAGAAGGTAGGGAATAAATGCGATATGTATCCAGGTGGCAGATGTACTCGTCAAAGAAAATATGGCTTTTTATCAAATTGGCACAAAATACTGTTAATTTATCATTACTTGTAGATCTAGTTTAGTTCCATGTATGTTATTTAAGTATGGGCCACAACATATGCAATGTAATGAAATTTGAACACGTTGAACCAGATATATGGTCTCTGGTTGAACACTTTTGAAGTGAGTTTGTTGCATTTGTTTACGGAAGTGCGGTGCATGCCAGTGACGCTGTGTTCGTTTAGGCGCCGTGTTATGTTGGGAAACGTGAACGTCGTTCTTGTAACTGTTTTCTTTTATGAATGTGTGTTGTTGAAAGTTTACCATGGAGCCCATGTACAAAATGTAGATTAACTACTTAATTTCCAGGCAATTATCTACAGTTTGGAGGGAGAGGCCAGGATTGAAGAAGGACCTAAACGTGTATGTATTTGTGACACTAATGCATAAGTAGTGAGGGACCTGGTGCATGTAATTAGTACTTGTTTTTCAATGTTTATCAATAGCTATTTGTGATGCAACTAATATTTCTTTCCCTGAAGCGTTCTCTGGTGTTCATTTAGTCTGTCATACAGACCCTGAATCAAACATAGCTGATACATGAATACACAATGCCATTTAGAAAGTGGTCAAATGTAACAAATGTTATATTTGGGATAACACTTTCTTAGTAAAGTACAGATTCTCGTACATTTTTGGGTTGAGTCCTTTCTGGGATTCGAACCCACACATACATACTGATACATGTTTATGTCTATATTAGTCTAGATTGAGAGTCTCTGATTTGGCTCCTTTTAAATATATTTTACTAAGATAATTTAGCAGCTGTATTTTTCTGCATAATATTTTCATTCAGAGACTAGATGTTAGTCTAGTGTTCAGTCAATTTACATTTTATTTCTTTAATTATTTCTTATCTATGAAATGAACCAGGATGATCCGATCCAGACACTGGCAAGGGAAACAACTCTGCACAGTCAGTTGTGATGCCTTAAACCACCCACTCACTCACTCCAGGCCCTGTCAGTGGCATTCAGGGCCTTGTTCCACAAATGATCAAGTGCTAAGATGATCGTAATATTCCTTAGAGGATATGACTTATGACAGTCGTAACTAAGAGGGTCATTACTCTCATACTTTAACGCTGACTTATGACAGTCTTAGCGCTAAGAGGGTCATTACTCTCATACTTTAACACTGACTTATGACAGTCTAAGCGCTAAGAGGGTCATTACTCTCATAATTTAACATTTACTTACGACAGTCGTAGTCCTAAGACAATCATCTACTTTAACATTGACTTACAAAATTTGTAGTGCTAAGATGATTGTAACTCCCATACTTAAACATAGACTTACAACTATCGTAGCGCTAAGATGAACGTAACTCCCATACTTTAACATTGGTTTGCCACAGTTCTATCGCTAAGATGATTGTAACTCTCATCGGGAGAGTTTGATTGCAACATGGGTGCCATTCAGAAAGTTGTACCTCTCCCTGATTCTGTCCACAGATGTTCCTATGGAGGGAGAAATATTGCAAATTAACAAAGCACTCAGCCAATCAGAATGAATATCTTGTGGTCAGATTCCTGGATGGATGTGTGGAGCATATCCCAGGGTAAGTTACCATGGTAACAGAATTTACTATTATTGGTATAAATCAGTATGTCACCTAGTGAACAATAATAGCCAACAACAATTCACCAGATACGTGTATGCTGTAGATAAGTTAAATGTGGCAAATAATAATGTTGCTCCAGTTTGGGGTAAAAAAACATCAGTTATGAGGAGCTAGTGCCCAAACTAAATAATTATGTAATGTACGGTAGAAAATAGAATTCATCAAATTTGAAAGAAGAATCATATATATTACTGAAAACCTAACCATTGATATAAAGTATTTTAGGAAAATTAAAATTATGATGGATTTGAAATACCATATTGCCTCAAATAAATCCAGGACCTCAAATAAATGCCGAGTACTTTTTGTGAACTGAATTCTCACAATTGTTATCTGTGTGTTAAAACACCAGTAATAAAGAGTGAAAAAAATATACGTCTGGGTGTTTAATTAAGTTAACATGGTACTTTCACATGTATACAGTTTGTCTGTGTGCTGAACAAACAGGATAAGTGTTAAAACATAGAAAGTAGTTTTCTGGCCTAGTATAATGTTGGAGCTGTTTCTTGTGTTTGTAGGCCCCACGTCATGTTCAGCAACCCTGTGAGAATTTCCAGTACTACCGTTCAGGAGGTCATTGCCCTGGACGCCAGCGAGGCTCTGGTTGTCTACGCTAAGGATAAGGAAACCGACACTGTCAAGCGATACATCAAGTATGGCCCCTGTCAGTTCATGCCCGCTGCCAGTGAATGGTGAGACACAAGGTGTTGTTTCGGATGTAGCTGTTTTTGTATTGGTATTAACGCCCATTGAGCTTTGAGTGAGTGAGTGAGTTTGGTTTTATGCCGCTTTTAGCAATATTCCAGCAATATCACGGCGGGGGACACCAGAAATGGGCTTCACACATTGTACCCATGTCGGGTTTCGAACGCAGGTCTTCGGCGTGACGAGCGAACACTTTAACCACTAGGCTACCCGGCCGCCCCCCTTTGGTCTTTGATATCAGATGTTGTACAAAATGTTACAGAAAAAGAGCTCTCAGGAACCATTGTTCTGTATATGTGTGAGTAACTGAGTTGGGTTTAACTCCACTCTTAACAGTATTACAGATATATATTACAGTTAGGGCTGGGACGAGTCCAAATTTACTACCCGGGTACCGACATCCCTTTTACCCGACCCTACCCGGGTACCCGCTGTTGGTGTCAAGAGATAGGTATAAAATGTCCGATTGGGAATAGTTTGACAGTAGCCCTGGCAGAATTTTTTTAGATACACGTATAAAACGATGTGGTCATGCATACACTGAAGCTTTAGTTTTGTTCAAACATATTTAAGTCAGAAGGAACGTGTTCATAGTCATGAAGAAATGCGAACATTAGAGACTTAAAATTGTGGTGTAACCATGTATTTATAATTATAGTGAATTTTTGTCATGAAACAATATATCACGTGACTAACCACGGGTCAGGGTAGTCCTGTTGGTCCCAGCCCTAATAGACAGTAAAACTAATGTAGTCCAGTAAACATTGAAACCAGTGATGCACCATTGAGTGAGTTTGGTTTAACTCCGCTTAACAGTATTCCAGTTAAATAACTGTGTGTCAGCTTTATGTGGGAGGAAAGCCCGAAGTGGTGCAGGTCTCAGACGTTTACCAGTTTGATGAAACCCAGGAGCACGGGTATGGTGCTGACAAACCTAGAAACATAATTGGGACGAGCCGGGTTTCGAACCCACAAGCATGGGTTTCTGGCGTGCCCAAGGGACGCAACTCTGCACATCGAAATGCAGCACCTTGGACAACTGGGCCATTCGTTATTGGTGTACGTCACATGAGGCTTTTCAAAAGCCAACAGAATACCTCAGTATGGATATGAAACATCCATGAATTTTGAAATTGACATGAATATGCATATGATATATCCATGAGGAATATGTAAAAATGACATAGGGCACAGGAAAAAATGACGTTCCCAAAGTGACCATATGGTAGTTTTGATAGTGTTGTTTCCTGGCAACAGGCTCCATGATTTCCAATGGCATGGCACAGATCCCCAAAACAAGACTCGCATCATCGGAGATGGCCACAAGTTCAAAAAGCTGAAGATCATCCCAGACCAGTTCTATTACAATGTGAGTTGAAAAAGAGCCTACACCATGTACAGCAAATCATTGGTGCATCATATCAGTTTCTGCAATGACTTAACTGGTTGACACGAACATCTAAACAATCGGAATATTGCAGAAGGCTGAAAATCTGAAGTGCAATTTCTGCAAGGAGTAGAACATCTTCCCGTGTCAAGGGAGTTAACTGACTATAAAAGTCCAGTTTCCACCCTTGCCGAACTAGGTTGGAATTCCTGGGCTCGAACGTAGTGTCACCAGTGGCTATTACGAGTTATGTCCATTCTATGTCCCTCATACTGACCAATCCGATTTCATTTCTCATATCACTTGCATTTGTTTAAAAACAAAATAGCGGTGATTATCTGATTGATAATCCAGATCTATATTGTAATAACGCTGGTCTTACCCTGCGAAGTGTATTAGATCACCTTGATTATAAACATGAAAAGATTTGCAAAATATCTGTCGGCGTCCAATTAACGGTACACATGCTTTGCAAATCCTGCCGTCGACCGAAATCTACATGTTGAAATCCTTGTTGTTTATGAACCGGATGTCAAGTTTGTTACACAATTTTGATTGGACTATGCATAGACTTGTTAGTCCTGCCAAAATGTAACTCCAGAATTCCAGCCTTGTTCGGCAAGGGGAGAAACTGGACTTTTATAGTCAGTTAACTCCCTTGCCGTGGGAAGATGGGAGTTGTATGGAATATCAGACTCTAAAATGAACATTGAACATTGAACTTTGAATTAAGCGACTTTGAAATGCTGTTAATTATGCTTTTACAAGTACAGTGCTGAAAATCTGTGTATTTAAAACGTTGTGTATCCAAAAAATGCCTTAAATGCCAAGAACAGTGTGAGTTTGAACTTTTTTCCCTGTAACCTTTTACACTGCCTCTATGGTGATGTCTGTTACACAGGTTGATGAAGTACGGACTGCTGATGACGCCCTCATCCGAGTCAAGCTGATGATGTTCTACGAGCTGGTTGATATTGAAAAAATGGTGAGTCATTTATCAGTAAATTTGTCAGTTTAGGGCAACTGTCTGTAACCTTTGGGGACAAAGACTTTCTAAAAGTTTGTCATTGAAAACAATAATAACATGTTCAGCACATCCTCCCCATCTTCCCGAGGTAGGCGTGGTCACTAGCCTATATCAAAGCCTAGTTTCTACCCTTGGCATACTACCCAAGGCCAATTTTCTGGGCTCAACCTTGGCGCCACCATGAGTTGTTCCCCTTGTAATGAAAATGTGAAATCCAATCAGATCGCTGTTCTTATCTTGTATAGCTTCACAAAGATGGCAGACCCGTGAAGATCTGGTGTAGAATAGGTCTTCAGCAACCCATGCTTGCTGTAAAAGGCGACTATGCTTGTCATAAGAGGCGACTGATGGGATCAGGTGGTCAGGCTCGCTGACTTGGTTTATGCATGTCATCGTATCCCAGTTGCGTGGATCAATGCTCATGATGTTAATCACTGGATTGTCTGGTCCAGAATCGATTATTCACAGACCGACGTCATATAGCTGGAATATTGCCAAGTGCGGCGTTACACAACAAACATCACATCACATCACAAAGATGGAGACTACCACAGGCCATGACCTAGTCGATCAGATATTGAAAACATTCGCGATTTCATCCCTGATGCAAAATCATAGGCAAGCTTTGGGGGTTTAAAAGATTAAAAAGACATATTCGTGTCAACAAAGACAGGCAGCGGTAAATCACTTTCATACGAAGGTGTACCAGTCGTGAATGTTGATTTTGTGAAATGTTCTCTGATTGGACTATTCATATGTGCGACAGGATTAGCACAGAAACGTGGGCTTGATGTGGCAAGGGTGAAAACAAGACTTTGATAAAATGGCTCAGAGATGATCCTCCCCAACATGAATATCATTATCTTGTTGTTCGCCTTACTGCCCTTCTGTCAGCTGTCACTTGTTGTTTTTGCAGAATAACCTTGAAAAATTCTTGAACCAAATTAATTTCTCCAACAGTCTCTAATAATATAAACAGGTAAAATGTGCTGACTAAATTGGTCAAATTATATATCAATTGTCAAATGTGAACAGTTTATAATTTTCTTTTAACTTCCACTGTGAGTTTTGAATTATCATGTATATATTTCAGCTGAGCGCAACTAAGGATCCAGTTGCTGATTTTGTCAAGTAAGCAGTTTGTCAAGACTGGAGTTTTCTTAGCATTTTTTTAGTTATTTTTATTGCTTTACTTGGCAGCAGTCTGTATTGTTAAGCATTGATGTCCAACACACACATTCCTTTCTGGAGTTGTTCGTATTGTGAGTTGGTATTACAGTAACATCACATGTGGACTTCATTCGTCTCCACCTAAACTAAAACACCTTTGTTGTCCTACACCCACCAGCTCACATACATAGCTGTTGGATGGTTGGTTGGTTGGTTGGTTGGTTGGTTGGTTGGTTGGTTGGTTGTTTTACGCTGCACTCAGCAATATTCCAGCTATATGACGGCGGTCTGTAAATAATCGAGTCTGGACCAGACAATCCAGTGATTAATATCATGAACATCGATCCACGCATTTGGGATCGATGGCATGCATCAACCAAGTTAGCGAGCCTGACCACCTGATCCCATTAGTCGTCTTTTACGACAAGCATAGTCACCTTTTAAGGCAAGCATGGGTTGCTGAAGACCTATTCTACCCCGGATCTTCACGGGTAACATAGCTGTTGCAGGTTTTTGATTTTTGTAAATGTGTCCTGACATGATCAGTCTCATATTTGGATGTTTTAGTTTTACCTGTTGAAGTCATCACTGCTCTAAGGGGCTTGTTGATCATCGTCTGTATCAGAATTTTCAACATGGTGTTGTCTGTTTCAGCTGCCTGTGTGCTGATGTTGTGACATATGCAACTCAGAGAACGTAAGTAAAATTTATTTACAGTTACCGGTACTAAATGTGGAATAATAACATTGTTGTACCGTATGTGACCTTAGATAAGCCAATCTTATTGTTAAGCCGAGTTATTAACTTGGTCCTTGAAATCTGTAGCTTTAAGCCCGACCCCCACCCTAAAACTATGTCTCGTTGTGATCCATCATCAGAAATAGAATATTTACACATCCATATGGAATTACGCAAGTAAATCCTGTGATTATACTATCAGGAATCAGAAGTGTTTGTTGTTTATCTGTTTATCTCGACTTTTGTTTGTAATATATTTTTGTGAGAAAGTGTTTAAAGCACATGATTCCGATTCTGTTTTTTTGATTACCTGATTCATGTTGATTCCAAGTTTTTGTAAATCCTATTTTTAGAAGAATAAATGGCAATTTCCATGAGGCGTGTGATTCCTTTTGATACCTATTTGACCTATTTGAATTTTATTAATGTTAATAAAAAATTTCATTTAAATAATAGTTTCATTATTTTCGCCGAAATCGTGTGTCCCTCTGATACTAACAACTTCCGTTTGCCCGTTCCATAAGGTCCACTTTACCACATACGTATTACAACGATTGACTCCTTAAAATGGTAGTGGTTGAGTGCATTAGCTCTGCATGAAAGCTAAAACTAGTTGTTGATGCACAAGCTGATGAATGTAAGTTCAGTGACATGACACCCTGTTTCCGTGGTTTAACTCTGTGTTGACACAACTCTGATTCAGGTACATGGCGTTTATTGAAGAGTCCAGCAAACTGAATGACCTTGACAGTTACCCTCAGCTGTTGGAGAGATGCAAGGCCATTGGCTTTGTCGTGTCAAAGGTCGTGTTTCGGGGCTACTTTGCTCATGACAAACTTCAGAAGTTGCATGACCGCTCAATCGATAAGCGAAGTCAGCTCAAGATCCAGGTAAGTAAACAAATAATCTATGAAAGCAAGAATTGTTAGTGGCAAGGTATTCAGGAAGGGATGGACTTACGACTTATCCTCCACAACTCATCTTTCTGAGGCAAGAGAGTTAACTGACTTTAAAAGTCCAGTTTCCACCCTTGCCGAACTAGGCTGGAATTCCTGGGCTCGATCGAAGCGCCACCAGTGGCTATTACGAGTTATGTCCTTTCTATGCCTCTCCTATTGACCAATCAGATTCAACCTCTCATATCACTTGCATTTGTTTCAAACAAAACGGTGGCGCCCAGTCAAGACGATCTGATCGATAATCAAGATCTATATTGTGATAAAACGAGTCTTACATCGCAAAGTGCATCAAATCACGTGAGCACCTTGATTAAAAACATGAAAAGATTTAGAAAATATCTGTTGACAACGAGTTAGCGGTGCACATGCTTTGCAAATGCTGCAGTCAACCGAAATCTGCATGACACTCTACGAACCGGATTTTGATTTCGTTGCACGATTTTAATTGGACTTTGCATAGACTCGTTAGTCCAGCCAAAATGTAACTCCATAATCCTAGACTAGTTCGGCAAGGGTGGAAACTGGACTTTTATAGTCAGTTAACTCTCTTGCCTCGGGAAGATGTCCACAACTATGCCGAAATTACTCTCCCTTCAATATCCCTTTTCAAGTGTCAGTCCCTTAATGTCTCTTATTTTGTAGCAATGTGCCAGGTTACTATCGATTCTTTGTCCAGGACTGATGGAAATATATTCATGACAAGTAATGAAAGCACCAACTGACAATGGCTTTTGAAGTTTTGCTAATACAATGAATGCATAAAACAAGAATAGGTACTGCAGTAGTGTTTTAACTAGTTTAACATTGTTGAACGGACCCCAGAAGTCATCCCTATTTCTCATATGGGCTCTTCCTTCTTTGGGGGCGGTGGAGTAGCCTAGTGGTTAAAGTGTTTGCTTGTCACACCAAAGACCCGGGTTTGATTCTCCACATGGGTACAATGTGTGAAGCTAAAAGCGGCGTAAAGCCATACTCACTCACTCTCCTTTCTTGGATGATACAACATGTGTAATTATACTGATGTCATGTTGTCTGTCTGTGCAGTACGAACAAGAGGAGCAGTTCCAGAACCTCACAGACGTCAAGCTGCACAATGAGATGCAGAGGCTGCAGCAGGGTAAGACAGCAAGGGAGGTAACTGATGCAGTGTCGCATTCCGTTTGGTACCAAACTGGATGGCCATTCTGCATTTTCCCCTATTCATGAATATTGATTCCTCCTGTTATTTTACCAGCGTTCCAGTCTCAAGTGATAAATAATTCAAATTCATCTTTCTCGACTGAATTGGGCTTTGCTCCGGTCCGTTTTTGGTTCATAAACCGTCAATCTAGGTGAAGCTGAAAATGCTTCAAAATGTCATCCCTAGGCTAAAAAAAATAATAGTCTTGGTTCTGAGGCACTGCCCCCATCATCTTAAAGGGTGCTGCATGTTTCGTTTTTATTTCAATTTTTAGAAAAAAAAAAGAAAAGTCCAACACTAGTCAAATACTGTTTTCTAGTATTTTACTCATCCAGAATACATTTTTGTAGGGAGGCCCTTTCCCAGGTTGACGGTACACAACTGTTTATTTGGTTACATACTAGTTTGAACAACAACAAAAAGACACCACCCGCCCGCAATATATTTTCAAAAACCATTGCCTGAGAACCAATTCTTTTATTTTTTTAAGTCCTAGAAAGAAAATTTTCTAAATGCTGACCGCCTACTGAGATCTGTACTGTCAAACTTCTGTGTTCATGTTTTGTTCATAACTTCGTAGAAATATTTTCATATTTTAATTTTAATGTTTCAGTCAGTTTTCAATCTTATTGTATAAATGTGTATGAATCTGTTTACATAGTCATTTCTCAAAATCATATCTCTATGGCATTATTGAAATAGATGAGTTATGCGAATGTGTTCTTTACTTGCAGAACAAGCCATGGAGCTTCAGCAGGTGACACACCAGCAGAGGATGGAGAAGTGAGCTTGTTTGGTGAAACTGAAAACAGTAGTTAGAGAAGGGTTGCTTTGTGTAGTTGCGATACATAGAGAATCGCACCCGAGTGTCTTTTGATATCAAAATTTATATATTAATATGAGTCGATAAAAGTTTAAAATTTATCGACACGTGAGATTCTTTTGATCATTCTTCTAACTTATCCAATTGGGAAACAGTAATAACCAGTGGCAGTGCAGCTTCGGAGGCAGAGTTTAGTGAATGTGACGTCATGGTAACTGATGATGTCACAATGGTGTGCACATTCGTTACCACTCGCCCGTAACCTGCAAGAAGACTCATGCCACTATCGATCAATGTTATGTGCGAAAATATGACAAACCAATCAAACTGCGTGTATGATTTCAAGTTCTTCATCAAAGAATCACTCAGAAATAATTTTTGATTTTACATATGTCTTGCATCTAAAAATATACCTAAGACACAGTTAAATGTGTTCTATCATACTATATAATTCCGCATGTTCCGATGTGCTTTTAACTGCATCTGAAATATATATATAATATGGGGAATTATATGTGACCCATTATGTAACAAGTTGGCAATTGTTTTAGGTATGCCCGTTTGCGCTAAGACGGAACCCGGTCGCATAAATGGCCACAAGAGAGGCACGAGTCGCTATTCGGCTTCTTCGGAATAACACGAGTTGGTCATGAATGTGGTGTGCAAAGCATTGTGATGCAATTCACAGTAGGGATATCTTCTAAGAGATACAAGTGATATCTCGTGTGGAAGCTGTTTTGAGGGGATAAATTGTAATATCTTGCTCATTGAGCAAAACAAGATAGCTTCATATATTTCTATAAAACTGCAGTTATGATTGTATTATTAACAAGGTATCTGGGGTTTATTTTAGTTTTACTTTGTGAAATTTATAATGAAATTATGACATTGAACTAACATATAGGCCTTCTGTCAATGATAGGTATAAGAATCTCTTAAGTATGTGTACAGAATACAACCATATATATTGGAGTGACTGAGTGAGTATTGTTTTACGTTGCTTTTAGCACTTTTCCAGCAATATCACACAGGGGGACACCAGAAATGGGCTTAACACATTGTACCCATTTGGGGAATCGAAACCGGGTCTACTGCGTGACGAGCGAACACTTTAACCACCAGGCTACCCCATCAACCCACCATACATATGGATTCCATGTTTGGTTTGGTTTGGTTTGTTGTTTAACGCCGCTCTCAGCAATATTCCAGACGGCGGTCTGTAAATAATCGAGTCTGGACCAGACAATCCAGTGATTAATATCATGAGCATCGATCCACGCAATTGGTATCAATGACATGCATCAACCAAGTCAGCGAGCCTGACCACCCGAACCCGTTAGTCGCCTTTTACGGCAAGCATGGGTTGCTGAAGACCTATTCTACCCCGGAATCTTCACAGGTCTCCATGTTTGGTGAAAGAGCCAACAAGCAATCTTATTAAAATCAGATCTTAGTTCTCGCTATCGCTAAACAAAGATCTGAGGACATCCCATTACGGGTCACAAATTTTGACCAACCAATGGAAGGACTGACAAGATGTCGACATTAGCCAATCAGAAGGCAGCTTTCTTGTGCTTTACAGCACTAAATTCAAATTGGCGCCTACGCTTCGAAACATATTTTGAAACCTGAACAAAAGAACATTCTGGAATGGCAAATAGATGGTCTAGATTATATGGATTCAGTCGTAAAACCCGTAACTATAGTTCGGAATACCCCATGTTTAAGTTTTCCAGGTTGCATGATTAGAAATCACATTCCGAGTGTCACTTTCATGATCTGGTAAGCGACGCTCTGATTGGTCAGATGAAAGGTCATTCTGACGTGACCCCTAATGGGATTGTCCTCAGATCTTTGTTTAGCGGTAGCGAGAACTAAAATATGATTTTAATGAGATTGAGACAACAAGATACTGTGGTGTCATTGTCATCTGTGTGATAAAGCGTCATGGTGTCTGGACTGGCTAGGATTGCTGGTCATTGAACAACCCCTGATGTGACTTGCCCGGACAACTAATTTTGGACCATAGTGATACAGATGGAATATTGCTGATTGCAGCATAAAACAACATTCACTCACTCACTACAGAATATATATATAGTCATAAGTCAACACCTGTCACCTGCAATGTACGCCTGTTAGAGTTACTTGCCCTTGTCTTGTACAAAAAGGAACAACCGCTCTCAAAATTAGAAATAGGGGGGTCTTATTAGAATATTATTTTGGTGAAAAAAAACAGAGCTGAAAGATTAATTTCGTGGTTTATGCTGACAACCTGAAATGTTTATATACCAACAGATATATTTTTCCAGAATTTAACTGCCAATAATTAAGGGTGCATAAAAAAATCTTGTGTACATTGATCAATCGGAAGGGGTGCTAATTTGGATTGTTCACTAGCCAATATATTAGCAAATATATTCGCGTATGATACACACTCATGTGTAAAATACACCCTTACTTATGGGCAATTCAATTCTGGGAAAATATATCTGTCGAATATTACCATTTCAGGCTGTCAGCATAAACCACAAAATATATCTTTCAACTCTGTTTTTTTTCACCAAAATAATATTCCAATAAGAGCCCCCATATTTCTAATTTTGAGAGTGCCCTGGGCGCTTATTACGTCGAATACGGTATATTTCTTTTGCCCGGACGTTTAGTAATATGAGATAATTGTAATCTGCTGGTGTTGTAGGGACAAGCTGACTCACACTCTTCTGATGCAGAGGAAGGAAGCTGATGACAGCCTGACCAAGGACTCGCTGGAGAGACGGGCACAGCTCAACGTTAGTGTTGCATATATACAAAGAATACATGGAGATTAATATACATACAGCTGGAATATTGCTGAGTGCGGCAACAAACAAACAAAAACTGCATCAGCTAACCAATGTTTTGCATACTGCGTCCAAAAAAGACAAAGTAAAAATACAAATTGAGATCAGTGTTTCTCAAAAACATGTAATGATATGAGCTATTACGTTTCCAAACTATCAACCACTGTATAGTCAGGCAGGTAATGAAGTGTGACCGCTATTTTGCATGCCATCTCAAAATCTTGTCACCCATATTGTTTAGAATTTACACTGACCCTAGTCAGATCTAGAGAATTATTTGCAGTTCAGTTGTCTATATGACTTACACAGACAATCACAAACAATTGAGGGCAGTTGATAGAACAGTGTTTGGGTCACGTGAGTTGGTTGGCAAAGTAGATCTTGCACTCCATTGCCTGCCAAACAATAGTATTAGTGATCTGTTTTGTTGTGAGAGATCTGTGTGGTGTTCTATTCATCTGTGAGTGATCTGTGTGATGTTCTGTTCATCTGTGAGTGATCTGTGATGTTCTGTTCATCTGTGAGTGATCTGTGTGATGTTCTGTTCATCTGTGAGTGATCTGTGATGTTCTGTTCATCTGTGAGTGATCTGTGTGATGTTCTGTTCATCTGTGAGTGATCTGTGTGATGTTCTGTTCATCTGTGAGTGATCTGTGATGTTCTGTTCATCTGTGAGTGATCTGTGATGTTCTGTTCATCTGTGAGTTATCTGTGTGATGTTCTGTTCATCTGTGAGTCATCTGTGATGTTCTGTTCATCTGTGAGTGATCTGTGTGATGTTCTGTTCATCTGTGAGTGATCTGTGTGATGTTCTGTTCATCTGTGAGTGATCTGTGATGTTCTGTTCATCTGTGAGTGATCTGTGTGATGTTCTGTTCATCTGTGAGTGATCTGTGTGATGTTCTGTTCATCCGTGAGTGATCTGTGATGTTCTGTTCATCTGTGAGTGATCTGTGTGATGTTCTGTTCATCTGTGAGTGATCTGTGATGTTCTGTTCATCTGTGAGTGACCTGTGATGTTCTATTCATCTGTGAGTGATCTGTGTGATGTTCTGTTCATCTGTGAGTGATCTGTGTGATGTTCTGTTCATCTGTGAGTGATCTGTGTGATGTTCTGTTCATCTGTGAGTGATCTGTGATGTTCTGTTCATCTGTGAGTGATCTGTGATGTTCTGTTCATCTGTGAGTGATCTGTGTGATGTTCTGTTCATCTGTGATTGATCTGTGATGTTCTGTTCATCTGTGAGTGATCTGTGTGATGTTCTGTTCATCTGAGTTATCTGTGTGATGTTCTGTTCATCTGTGAGTGATCTGTGTGATGTTCTGTTCATCTGTGAGTGATCTGTGTGATGTTCTGTTCATCTGAGTTATCTGTGTGATGTTCTGTTCATCTGTGAGTGATCTGTGTGATGTTCTGTTCATCTGTGAGTTATCTGTGTGATGATTCATCTGTGAGTGATCTGTGTGATGTTCTGTTCATCTGTGAGTGATCTGTGATGTTCTGTTCATCTGTGAGTGATCTGTGTGATGTTCTGTTCATCTGAGTTATCTGTGTGATGATTCATCTGTGAGTGATCTGTGATGTTCTGTTCATCTGTGAGTGATCTGTGATGTTCTGTTCATCTGTAAGTGATCTGTGATGTTCTGTTCATCTGTGAGTGATCTGTGATGTTCTGTTCATCTGTGAGTGATCTGTGATGTTCTGTTCATCTGTGAGTGATCTGTGTGATGTTCTGTTCATCTGTGAGTGATCTGTGATGTTCTGTTCATCTGTGAGTGATCTGTGTGATGTTCTGTTCATCTGTGAGTGATCTGTGATGTTCTGTTCATCTGTGAGTGATCTGTGATGTTCTGTTCATCTGTGAGTGATCTGTGATGTTCTGTTCATCTGTGAGTGATCTGTGTGATGTTCTGTTCATCTGTGAGTGATCTGTGTGATGTTCTGTTCATCTGTGAGTGATCTGTGTGATGATTCATCTGAGTGATCTGTGTGATCTTCTCTTCATCTGATTGATCTGTGTGATGTTCTGTTCATCTGTGAGTGATCTGTGTGATGTTCTGTTCATCTGAGTGATCTGTGTGATGTTCTGTTCATATGTGAGTGATCTGTGTGATGTTCTATTCATCTGAGTGATCTGTGTGATGTTCTATTCATCTGAGTGATCTGTGTGATGATTCATCTGAGTGATCTGTGTGATGTTCTATTCATCTGAGAGTGATCTGTGTGATGTTCTGTTCATCTGTGAGTGATCTGTGTGATGTTCTGTTCATCTGAGTGATCTGTGTGATGATTCATCTGTGAGTGATCTGTGTGATGTTCTATTCATCTGAGTTATCTGTGTGATGATTCATCTGTGAGTGATCTGTGTGGTGTTCTGTTCATCTGTGAGTGATCTGTGGTGTTCTATTCATCTGAGTTATCTGTGTGATGATTCATCTGTGAGTGATCTGTGTGATGTTCTGTTCATCTGTGAGTGATCTGTGATGTTCTGTTCATCTGTGAGTGATCTGTGTGATGATTCATCTGTGAGTGATCTGTGTGATGTTCTGTTCATCTGTGAGTGATCTGTGATGTTCTGTTCATCTGTGAGTGATCTGTGATGTGATGTTCATCTGTGAGTGATCTGTGTGATGATTCATCTGTGAGTGATCTGTGTGATGTTCTGTTCATCTGTGAGTGATCTGTGATGTTCTGTTCATCTGTGAGTGATCTGTGTGATGTTCTGTTCATCTGTGAGTGATCTGTGATGTTCTGTTCATCTGTGAGTCATCTCTGTGATGCTCTCTTCATCTGTGAGTCATCTCTGTGATGTTCTGTTCATCCATGAGTCATCTCTGTGATGTTCTGTTCATCTGAAGAGATGTTGCGTTGTTATGCCAATGATCTGTGAGATTTCCTGTTTAAATAAGTGTTCTGTTCTACAGGCCCAGAAGGCGAGTGAGGAACAGGATTTGAACCATCTGGTGAAGCTGTCGGAACTGAACGTGTCCCTGACCAGCTACCTGGTGGCAGACTCCGCCCGACCCGCCTCTGTCACCCGCATCCTGGCCAACTCCCCAACCGTACACCTCCACCACAACGGGATGGGGACAGGTGCCACTTCCAGTCAGGATGGTGCTCCTTAGCTTAAACCACTGAGGACCATGATGCATAATCTCTTCAACTTCGAGACGGAACACGGGGACATCTAAGTGCCCTCTTTCTTACAAGACTTTTCTCATCTTGAGGACCAGGTGAACCATTTCACTGTATATCAAGTGGCCTTGTACATCTTCATCCCAAAGCTGGGTTTGTTTCCCCACATGGGTACAATGTGTAAATCCTATTCTCCATGTAGCTCTATGTGATATTGATTGAGTGTGACAAAAATGGTTCACTGTTGGTTTTGATAACAGATATCAGGTGATCATATTTGCACTTATTTTCTTATGGAAACTCCTATTGCATAGCATGTTTTGTTTGTTTGTTTGTTGTTTAACGCCGCACTCAGCAATATTCCAGCTATGTGATGGCGGTCTGTGAATAATCGAGTCTGGATCAGACAATCCAGTGATTGACAACATGAGCATCGGTCCACACAATTGGTTCGATGACATGCATCAACCAAGTCAGAGAGCCTGACCACCCGTCGCCTTTTACAGTACGGTAGTCACCTCTTACGGCAAGCATGGGTTGCTGAAGACCTATTCTACCCCGGATCTTTACGGGTCCTGTGGTGGTTTGGCACTGCCTCCCTCGCACACTGTCCAAGATACATGGATAGAAGTCATGAACTCGTCACCAGGTGCCGACCATGGCGTGGTCTTCAACGATTACGTTGTGAACTTCTGGGTAGATGATGAAGCCAGATTCCCATTGCCCATATGGAACGCAATTGAGATTGATGACAAATCAGCGAGCCTGATCACCCGATCCCGTAAGTCGCCTTTTACGGCAAGCATGGGTTGCTGAAGACCTATTCTACCCCGGATATTCATGGGTCGCATGTATTTACTGCCTTGCATTGTGCAAAGATATCTGGCTTGAAAATACAGGGCTATCCCATCACAGGTTGACTATAAATAGATTCATGGAAATTTATCAAATTTATTTGTTTTTTTATATCCTCATCCTCCTGCAATACATCATTAATCAATCATCTTGCTCTCTGCTGGACCAGTTACCACAGAGTGCAATCTGGGAATATATGTGTACATAAAAGTGTGATGTCACAATTGATGTAGTGCACCAGTGTGGATGAGTGTTCTTCATTGTTCTTCATTAAAGTCACATCAACAATGAAGAACACTCATCCACACTTGTTACTTTAAACTATATTATTTCTCTATATCAATTTCTCCTGATCTTGCGTCTCTATAGAAAATTTTCAAATTTAATTTTCTCCTCATTTTGAAACGAAGATTGAACTTGAACAGAAATCTCATGTTTTTAACCAAGGAATATTTCTCAATCAATGCTCAATAATTTTATACTTTATTATGTTTCTTTGACATATATGTGATTTATTGTAATCTTTTTTATCAGGTTTTTAGCATTTTCTAACTTATTTATAATGTTTATCAGTATTGAATATTAAACGACTTTCCTAACTGCTGTGTCAAGTTAATTGTATGTTCGAAACTTAAATATAACAATCTTGGACATGGCTTAAACAACATGCCCTGGCTGATTGTGTGTCACTGTGCATTTCGTGTACTTATGATGCACCGAACACACAACAACAAGTCAACAAGTCAACAGCAAGTCAACAAGAAGTCAACAAGTCAACAAGTCAACAACAAGCCAACAACAAGTCAACAAGTCAACAACGAGTCAGCTCTGATTACTGAACTCAACTAAAGTGAGTGAGTGAGTTGTGTTTTACGCTACTTTGAACAGTACCGGTATTCCAGTTAACTACTGTTAAGTGGCCTTGGAAGTTGGCAAGATGAACAAGGGAGATAGTTATATCGATATACAACATCTTGGAAATATGGTGAGCAGGATTACTTATGACATGTTCTGAAAGGACAGATTTCATGTCAGATATTTCAATATCGGTCTTGTTCTTTTATTCTGGTGGCTATGTGGCGTGAATTGTCTCCAATGTATTTGTCTCCACAGTTGCATGACATCTCCATCTTCCCGAGGCAAGAGAGTTAACTGACTATAAAGTCCAGTTTCCACCCTTGCCAAACTAGGCTGGTATTATGCAGTTACATTTTGGCTGGACTAACGAGTCTATGCATAGTCCAATCAAAATCGCGCACCGAAATCGAAATCCGGTTCGTAAAGTGTCATGTAAAGTGTCATGCAGATTTCGGTCGACTGCAGGATTTGCAAAGCATGTGCACCGCTAACTCGTTGTCAACAGATATTTTCTTTTCATGCTTTTAATCAAGGTGCTCACGTGATTTGATGCACTTCGCGATGTAAGACTCGTTTTATCACAATATATATCTTGATTATCAATCAGATCGTCTTGACTGGGCGTCACTGTATTGTTTGAAGCAAATGCAAGTGATACGAGAGGTTGAATCTGATTGGTCAATAGGAGAGGCATAGAAAGGACATAACTCGTAACTACGATCGAGCCCGGGAATTCCAGCCTAGTTCGGCAAGGGTGGAAACTGGAAGTCAGTTAACTCTCTTGCCTCGGGAAGATGTGACATCTTATGCATCCCCAGGGTTTGGGGTGAACTGGGTGGGATACACGACACAGTATTCGCTGAACAATATTAACTCGCAGGCACCTTACCCAAGTACCACTGTCAAAATTCACAAAGATTCAGTCAAAGTCAGAATGTGTGTATGCTCCAGAAGCTCAGTCTTTTACAACACAAACTAGCACCTCCCCAAGCTACTAAGGTGAGGTGAGGTGAAATGGGGTTTAACGTCGCGTCCAAGATTATTGCACTTATATAGCGACGTGCATGTACGTGTGTGTTTGTGTGGCTGCTTGTACTAGTCCGGACTGATGCCGATTTATAGTGCTAGCTCACTGAGACACCATGCCGCAGTTTAACATGAATACCCCACTCAGACACAGTATGCTGACTCCGAGCCGACCAATCCTTGTTTTAGACCTTAATGCCGAGCGCCAGACAGGGTAACAACAAATACCATCTTTTAACGTCTTTTGGTATGACGCAGCCGGGGATCGAACCCCGGACCCTCCGCTCTCCAGGCAGACGCTCTACCACTAGACCACGGAGGCGGTCCAAGACCATTAGGACAAGAAGGAAAGTCCTATATAAGCGGTACAATGTGTGAAGCCTATTATTGGTGTCCCCCGCCGTGCTATTGCTGGAATCACTCACTCCTACATCAGCGACTCCAGCACCATTGTCAAAGTGAAAGAAGCTGAGCTCACATTTTGCATGGTCAGCTACGATGTAGTAGACTCTTCATCAACATACCTCTGCAAGAAGCCCTCCAAATCCTACACAGAAAATACAGTTTGTTTGTTGTTTAAGGCCGCACTCGGCAATATTAGAGCCATATGACGGCGGTCCGTAGATAATCGAGTCTGGACCAGACAATCCATTGTTTGACATAATGAGCATCGATCCACGCAAATAGGATCGATGACATGCATCAACAGCGAGTCTGACTACCCGATCCCGTTAGTCGCCTCTTACAGAAAGTTACAGACCCGCATTGACCGGTAGTCACATCACTCTCCATCAACAGCTTCATACAGTTAACCGCCTCCCGTTTCACCTCCTCATACTTCACAGAGAATGGGTCTGCCTCCGTGGTCTTGTGGTAGAGCGTCTGCCCGGAGAGCGGAAGGTCCGGGGTTCGATCCCCGGCCGCGTCATACCAACAGACGTTAAAAGATGGTACTTGTTGTTACCCTGTCTGGCGCTCGGCATTAAGGGGCTAAATAAGGACTGGTCGGCTCGGAGTCAGTATACTGTGTCTGAGTGGGGTATTCATGTTAAACTGCGGCATGGTATCTCAGTGAGCTAGCACTATAAATCGGCATCAGTCCGGACTAGTACAAGCAGCCACACACACACACACGTGCATGCACGTCGCTATATAAGTGCAATAATCTTGGACGCGACGTTAAACCCAATTTCACCTCACCTCACCTCACAGAGAATGGCAAGATCTGTCAGCAGACACATTGCTACCCAATGGGTTCCATTCGTCCCCGCTCATTACAGAAATTTCCATGACTAATTTTGAAGACGCTGCCTCCCCTTCCAACCTACAGGCTGGTACCGACAGTAGATGACACATTCACCATCCCAGACACCGACCAGGACCCTGAAGCCCTATTGGATCACCTCAGCATTATTCACCAAAGAATCACGTTCACCGTGGAGACAGAAACCACCACCAGTTACACTTCCTGGATGTACAGCTCGACAACAGTCATGACCACATCCACACTGCGGTCTACCGTCAACCCACTCACACGGACCATCTCATTCACTACATGTCCAACCACCAACCACAGATCAAACAAGCCATTGCAGCTCTCACCCGACGAGACATGGCCATCTTAAATATCCAGACATTCTCAGGCAAGAAATCCAGCACCTTAAACACACATTCATCATTCTCAATGGTAGAGAAAAACATTCGTGAAACCGAGGAAAACCAGCAAAAATTATCCCGTTTCCAAGTCCAAACCAGCTCCATTATGGCCGGGACGAGTCCAAATTTACTATCCGGGCACCCACCACCCTATTACCCGACCCTACCCGGGTACCCACTGTTGGTCTCAGGGGATGTCTCAAAATGTCCGATTTGGAACATTTTTAGCATAGCCCTGGTAAAGCGTATTTAGATAGTATTTAAACAATCCGGACATTCATACACTGAAGTTGAATTAAGTCATATCTTTATTCAACCATATGAAAAATCGGAAGGAATGGGTGCATAGTCAGAAAGAAATGCGAACATTAGTGACTTTAGTGTAACCATAGAGTTCTAGATATTTTTTGTCATTAAACAATAACAACGGTTCCGGGTAGTCCTGTTGGTACCCGGGTCCTACTCAGTACCCACCCGACCCGGGTACCCGAGTTACCTGTCCCAGCCCTAAGCTCCATCACCCATCCTTGTCAGCATCCCATACCAAGGCCCTACCAGTAACCAGATCAGCAGATTTCGCACATAAACAGCCAACATAGATGTGACATTCATCTCCGACAAGGGGCGGTCGGGTAGGCTAATGGTTAAAGCGTTCGCTCGTCACGCTGAAGACCTGGGTTCGATTCCCGACATGGGTACAATGTGTGAAGCCATTTCTGGTGTCCCACGCCATGATATTGCAGGAATATTGCTGAAAGCGGCGTAAAACCATACTCACTCACTCACTCATCTCCGACAAGACACTTATAAACACCTGACAGGCTAACGGTAAAGGTCCCAGCCAGTCCACCTCTCAAACCCTTGGTTTGTATGAGGTCTAATGCAACTGTGTATGAGGTCCAATGCAACTTTGTATGAGGTCTAATGCAACTGTGTATGAGGTCTAATGCAACTGTGTATGAGGTCTAATGCAACTGTGGACACAAATACATTGGAGAGACTTCACGTCCCATACCCACCAGAACACAAGAACACAAGACCTCTGTTGAAACATCTGACAAGAAATCCGCCCTTTCGGAACATCTCATAAAAAATATCCTGCCCACCATAATCATCATAAAGTCAGGCCAATCTATTTTGTTGTGTTTTTTTACAAACCGACTAATTGTTTTATTAGGCCATAGACAATATGATGTCATATGTTTCATCAAAAACGTATATGCATTCATGTCTCAAAAACGTAAAAGAAAAACCACAAACAGCCAAACACTACAAATGAGCATTCAGGCCCTTGAAATATTATGTCAGTAGATTTTGTTTAATCGGTTCTCTGCAAAATAATACAATTAACTTATTCAAAATAATATGAATGTTATCAATTTTACATAGAGTTTGAATTTCTGATTTAACCATCATTTAATTTGTTTTAATTTGGGTTTTTTTCGGTTTTGTCGCGTTGACTTTTTCACCTGCAAGAAGTCAAACAATAAGTGAAACTGTCTTTTCTTGTTGAAAAAATAAACAAATTGATACGAACTGATAATTACAATATATAAATAATAGTTTTTCGTACCGTTGACAGTACAATCTTCAATATTCAAGCATTAAAGAAATATTTTTGATAGCTAATAGATTATAAATGTCTTAGCTTATGGGAGTCATCATGTTTTTTGTCAGTTTATATTTATAAATAAAACAGAATAAGAGCGACAAAACAACATTTGCAACAGTGTTTACAAGGTGAATCCGGAAAAATGTAGATCCAGGCTCGTAACTGTGTTATTGACGGTAGTAATACCTTTAAAATTCGCGGGATGACCTACTTTCATTTTCTTACGCGAGTTGTCTCCCTTTCACAAATCTTCTAATCCAGAGACGCTATTATTTCTATTTCCGGTTATAAATACGACAACACGTGTTTTGCAGTGCTGCCAGCGATATAGGGATTACAAGCACATACAGAAGTGATAAAGATGGTCATCCAACGAATTGTGTATGTGATGTTTCTGTGAATATGATGTGGTGAATGGTTATGAAATATTAACTTGTTTTTCATTTATTTTGATGGTTAAATCTTCAAAATTAGGTTGAGCAACTTATTTATCAAGCTGGTTATCGAATCCACGGTACATACGAGTACTGCATCCCTGAAATGTTAAATCCTTTCTGTCCGACATATAAATAACACTGAAGGATATTTGGAGCTATGGATATATAGAATATATGGAATAATTTCCGCCCGTAAGCCCTGCTTCGAATTTCTTCCCCTAAACCTAAATTTAATTGTTTCTAAATTTTGCTTGATCCACATCATATTTAAGTATTACATAAATAAATTCTAAATACTTTGTTCAAGGCATTAGTTTCGGCGGAAGCTTTTTAAGGGGGATTGATTTGACAGGTCAACGTCAAGTAATAATGTATATTTTAGTCCTTTTCTATGAACTGCTTAGTAGAATATGAAGCTTTTGGCAGTTTAGAAAGCAATATTGACACTGTGTCAAAATGTCACCAAGATAACACACAACAAGGTTGGGGAATAGGGATTTGGGCATAAATGTTTTCACGAGGTGCTGTATTTTCATGCTATGTTTGCACACTGTAGTAATAAATATTAAAGCCTAAGAAGGGTATATCATTTTTTTTTTTAAACAACATATGACCATCACCATAACAATTTTTTGGCCAATAGCCCAATGATATAACTAATGGTAAAACTTCATACATTCTTTCTATTTATCATGTGTATGTTGCCTTTTTTCGTCAATGAAATCTGGTACCATGTCGCCAGGTCTATTTAGATCTAATGCTGTTCTAATGGTGTCTGATCCTTTTCTGTCATTACTTTTATGGATTTCAGAAATGAAAGACTTGAAATTTTTTAAACCAGTTGTAATATCATGATTTCAGAAAAGCAAAGACTCAGAGAGGAAAACGTGCTTTGGAAAAGAAGGAGGGGAAGATATTTGAAGATGTTAAGACAACCATGTTCATCAAGGGAGGTAATACCAGCATGACTGTCACACAAGTGTTAAAGGAACTGGTAAGTTTGGATTAAGGTGGCCAATCTCAAATTATATCAAACATGTAAAATACTAGATGTGCTCATGAAAAAATTCATAATTAAACTAAGCAATATAAGACATGAATGGAGCGGCTTACCTTTAAAAAATAAAGTGCATTCTTGCGTCTCTGTTCCCACCTTTATTGCTGGAACATGTATCAATAACACTGCAGAAACATACACCTGGGTGTGTGGGTTGGATTTGTCCAAGGGTCATGACAGTATTTTTTTACTTTTCATTTCAGCATATGCTGAAGAAACCCCATGCTGTTTCTTTCAAAAGGTATTTGTTATTCTGATATGTATGAATGTTGTTAATGGCAGAGTTGTGTTGTTGGCATATTTGGTGGGGGATCCTGTCTCATTCACTCGTACACCCTCCAACTCACTTCTTGGCTTTCTTCCCATGAAAATGCTTCTACCACACTATTGTGTGTGTGTGTGTGTGTTTGTGTGTGTGTTTGTGTGTGTGTGTGTGTGTGTGTGTGTGTGTGTGTGTGTGTGTGTGTGTGTGTGTGTGTGTGTGTGTGTGTGTGTGTGTGTGTATCGAACAATGTCAAATAAAAAACAACATGTTATATTTTACGCTTTAAGAAGAAGTGCAGAAAAATAATTTAAAGTATTGGTTATCACATTTTCACAATAGGAATATGACTGAATACTGACTTAACTGGGAACATGAATGTGGACTCACTGTCCCTTCTTTTTCAGGAAGAATGTCACACGTCCGTTTGAAGACCAAACATCTTTGGTGAGTGTGACTGTTGTCAGGTGCAGTTTTGCCATAAGTGCCTGATAATGTTTATCATGTTTGAATAACCCGCATTAATTAACCGAGTCTGCTTTTGTCACAATAACTAGTCTGACAATACTGATGTAAAGAGGGACATTACAGGAGAGGACGTTTGCTGGTATGTCTTCGAAAAACAGACTACATTCCCTTCTGTCACACTGCCCAAATTGGGAGTCTTCATGTACTACATATTTAGGTGAGGTGAAATGGGGTTTAACGTTGTGTCCAAGATTATCACATTTATATAGCGACTAGCATGCACGTGTGTGTGGCTGCTTGTATTAGTCCGGACTGATGCTGATTTATAGTGTTAGCCCATTGAGATACCATGCAGCAGTATAATATGAGTATGCCACTCAGACACAGTATACTGACCAGTCATTGTTTTAATCCCTTAATGCTGAGCGCCAGACAGGGTAACAACAAGTACCATCTTCTAACGTCTTTTGGTATGTTTAACCGCATTTCACCTCACCTCACTAAACATGGCAAATATGACCAATATATTTTATGCAATGCAATTTTGTCTCTGTCGAGTGGTCATATATTTCAATAATTAATTTTGTTATTCTCAGGAGTTCTTCTCAGACAAGAGTGACAACTCACTGTTTTTGTTTGGCTCTCACTCCAAGAAGAGGCCGGACAACTTGGTGATGGGTAGGTGGATCTGATGGACGGGGTGGGATGAAGGGAAGATACTTGTCACATTACATCCATGCCCTTATTGCATCTCCATCCTAGCATCATGGTATCCCAGATAATGTCATGACCACATAACATCAGAATTATAAAACATCTGCCCAATGGGGGATTCCGGGTTAGAATAGGTCCCCGGCAACCTATACTGGTTGTAAGAGGCACACAAATCGATTGGGTGGTCAGGTTTGGTGACATGGTTATTGCATGTCATGTTTCCCGACAACATGGATCATTGTCACAATATCCATCGCTGGATTATCTGGTCCAAACTCGATTATGGCTGGGAAATTGCTGAATTAAACAACAAACAAAAACCCTATTAGCATATCCCCTGTCCTGACATGGTACCCTCATTCTTGACCAACTCTGTCCAGTTGTCCCCCCCCCCCCTTTGTCCACCCGTAGTGTCCTCACCCTGTCAGTCACCTCCCTAAGATCCTGGGGGGTAGATTAGATCTTCAGCAACCCATGCTTGCCATAAAAGGCGACTATGTAAAAGGCTTGTCATAAGAGGCGACTCATGGGACCGGGTGGTCGGGCCCGCTTACTTGGTTGATACATGTCATCATATCCCAATTGCGTGGATCGATGTTCATGACCTCAATCACTGGATTGTCTGGTCCACACTTGATTATTTACAGACCGCCGTCATATAGCTGGAATATAGCTGAGTGCTGCGTTAAACAACAAACAAACAATCGCCCCCCTACGTTGCCAAACTACTATCTTTTTGCCCCCTATCATGGCATCCCCAGATCAAATACAGTTAAACATTCAAGTGAATAAATATGAATACTTCCCCAGAGTGTTGTGTACAGGTAGCGAGGATGTTGTGTTTCAGGCCGGATGTACGACCACCACGTTCTGGACATGGTGGAGCTGGGAGTGGACAAGTTCAAGTCCATGTTCGAGTTTAATGTAAGTCATATTCGCCTTTGTATTGCATGATTTACAAATGTTTTTTCTGAAAATTCCTGGTTGGTAGGTTGGAAATATGAAATACCTGTATATTTGCCAAGGAATCAGTGTTAATTAAGCATACAACTGAATATACATTTTGTGTGAACGCGTTCGGCCGAATAAATTTATAGTACCTTTTAGATTTCTCTCTCCGAATTTTAATTATTATTGGGTTGGAGGAATCTGTAAAACCAGTTAGAAACAAAAAAATCAGTGAAGAACAAAAGAGACAGGCGTATATCTAGCTGATGACAATTGGCTTTTTACCATGGTTACGCCTGAAAACATGGACAGCCTTGTGTAAGCTTTGTAGGTTGGTTGTTGGTTGCCGCTCACAGCAATATTCCAGCTATATGATGGCGGTCTGTTGCTTGTACATATCATGAAATAAACAAGGAAGTGTCCCACAGATCACATCCATATGTATAGTAGGTGTATATCTCCCTGTCAATAAGACATTGATGCTGTTGTTGGTGTGTTCCGAGTGCCAAGAATCGCATCTATATGTATAGTAGGTGTATATCTCCCTGTCAATAAGACATTGATGCTGTTGTTGGTGTGTTCCGAGTGCCAAGAATCGCATCTATATGTATAGTAGGTGTATATCTCCCTGTCAATAAGACATTGATGCTGGTGTTGGTGTGTTCAGAGTGCCAAGAATCGCATCTATATGTATAGTAGGTGTATATCTCCCTGTCCATAAGACATTGATGCTGGTGTTGGTGTGTTCAGAGTGCCAAGAATCGCATCCATATGTATAGTAGGTGTATACCTCCCTGTCCATTAGACATTGATGCTGGTGTTGGTGTGTTCAGAGTGCCAAGAATCGCATCCATATATATAGTAGGTGTATACCTCCCTGTCCATTAGACATTGATGCTGGTGTTGGTGTGTTCAGAGTGCCAAGAATCGCATCTATATGTATAGTAGGTGTATACCTCCCTGTCAATAAGACATTGATGCTGGTGTTGGTGTGTTCAGAGTGCCATGAATCACATCCATAGGTATAGTAGGTGTATACCTCCCTGTCAATAAGACATTGATGCTGGTGTTGGTGTGTTCAGAGTGCCATGAATCACATCCATAGGTATAGTAGGTGTATACCTCCCTGTCAATAAGACATTGATGCTGGTGTTGGTGTGTTCAGAGTGCCAAGAGCTCGCATCTATATGTATAGTAGGTGTATACCTCCCTGTCAATAAGACATTGATGCTGGTGTTGGTATGTTCAGAGTGCCATGAATCACATCCATATGTATAGTAGGTGTATACCTCCCTGTCCATAAGACATTGATGCTGGTGTTGGTGTGTTCAGAGTGCCATGAATCACATCCAAATGTATACTAGGTGTATGACTCCCTGTCCATAAGACATTGATGCTGGTGTTGGTGTGTTCAGAGTGCCAAGAATCACATCCATATGTATAGTAGGTGTATACCTCCCTGTCAATAAGACATTGATGCTGGTGTTGGTTTGTTCAGAGTGCCAAGAGCTCGCTTGGGTGCAAGCCGTGTTTGCTGTTTGCGGGGGAGCTGTTTGACAATGATGACGAGTACAGGAGGATGAAGAACCTGATGATAGGTATGGTGGGACACTCTGTGGGGATGCTGGGGCGGGGAAGGGGCCAGCAGCACATTCTATTTGTAAATGGTCACTGATGTCAGGTGACCTGTGAAGATTAGGGGTAGACTAGATCTTCAGGAACCCATTTTTGCTGTAAAAGGCACCTATGCTTTCCATAAAGGCGACTAACAGGATTGGGTGGTCAGGCTCACTGACTTGGTTGATCATCGTATTCCAATTGCCTTGATCGATGCTCATTATGTCAGTCACTGGATTGTCTGGTCAAGACTTATTTATGTACAGACTGCAGTCATATAGGTGGCATATTGCTGAGTGTGGCATTAAACAACAAACAAACAAAACAAAAAATCTTATTCAGCTGAACTCTACAGTGTCAGTGTCTACTCCAGGAATACCCACAGAAATACTGTGGCACGGACCCCACACTCGTCTTGTTATGTCCCTTTGAGGTGAAGGATCCTATGATCATCTCTTTACAGCAGAGCTTCCCCTTGATTATGATTCTTGATCTGCCAGCACCATAGCAATGCTGATGGTTTCCACCAAAGTTGTAAAAAACTGAGACCACCTCCGTGGTCGAGTGGTAGAGCGTCCGCCCAGAGAGCGGAAGGTTCTGGGGTTCTATCCCCGGCCGCGTCATACCAAAAGACGTTAAAAGATGGTACTTGTTGTTACCCTGTCTGGCGCTCGGCATTAAGGGGCTAAAACAAGGACTGGTCGGCTTTATAGGTGCAATAATCTTAAACCCAATTTCACCTCACCTCACCTCACCTCACCGTAAACAACTGAGACCTGCATTTCTGTGGGTATTCCTCCCATGTTGAGCTGACACACTGTTAATTGACTGAAACACTGGTCAATGTCTTTTTCAACCCAACTCACTCACTCGCTCACACTCTCCACTCCATTCCACGTCTACTACCATAAGGCTAAAAAAAGTTATAGTCTTGGTTCTCAAGCACTGTCCACTAGGGCTTGCAAAAATGATCAATAATCAGAATTATCATCGATGGGAAGAAAAATAACATTATTGACAATAACAAGTCTGTTTTGGTAAATCTGAACTATATTTCATCACAATAGTTAAAATAAGGTATTATCGATGACACAATTTTCATATTCATAATCGTTAAATTGCTGAACATGCTGAAGATGGAAAGTAACTGTTTTTGTTACATCTCAAATGTCCACAAAGTAATCCCTGAATAAATGTGGCACCACTCAGCAGTGGAGTGAAATATGTTGATTTCTTTAGGATTTTTATTTGCTCAAAGATACTTCTTCGATATTTATTGATAATTGATTGATATTTAGTTTATCAATCTCTATCATCTGTATCGATAGCCAGCCCGACTGCCCACATCATCATTAAGTCCACCTCACGTTTTGTTTTTATTTGCTTTCATACTAAAAACAAGCGAAAAAAATATAAAAATGGCCCCCGGTCCCGCACTAATTTGTCAAAAGTCATTGCCTGAGAACCGATTCTTTTATTTTTAATTGTTGCAGATTTTTTCCGTGGTCCTGTTGTGAAGAACGTGCGTCTGGCTGGACTGGAACACATCATTAGTGTCACATCGGCAGACGAGAAGATCTACATCAGGAACTATAAGTAGGTTAAGAGAGGCAGGCATCTGTCATCTGGGAGATTTGTCAGTGGGGGAAGATATGGCAGGATTTGTGTTGTTGGGGAAAATGTGGGAAGATTTATGTGTGAGGGGTAAACATGGAAGACTTTTCAGGGAAGATTTGTGTCTGTTTGGAGGATATGGGAAGGCTTGTGTCTGTTGGGAAAAGGTGGGAAGATTTGTGTATGAGGGGTAAACATGGGAAGACTTTTCAGGGAAGATTTGTGTCTGTTTGGAGGATATGGGAAGGCTTGTGTCTGTTGGCAAAAAGGTGGGAAGATTTGTGTATGAGGGGTAAACATGGGAAGACTTTTCAGGGAAGATTTGTGTCTGTTTGGAGGATATGGGAAGGCTTGTGTCTGTTGGCAAAAAGGTGGGAAGATTTGTGTATGAGGGGTAAACATGGGAAGACTTTTCAGGGAAGATTTGTGCCTGTTTGGAGGATATGGGAAGGCTTGTGTCTGTTGGGAAAAGGTGGGAAGATTTGTGTATGAGGGGTAAACATGGGAAGACTTTTCAGGGAAGATTTGTGTCTGTTTGGAGGATATGGGAAGATTTGTGTCTGTTTGGAGGATATGGGAAGGCTTGTGTCTGTTGGGAAAAGGTGGGAAGATTTGTGTCTCTGGGGAAGATTTTTTTTTTTTCAACCCAATAAGCTGTTAAATTGCTGATGTGGCATGAAGCAATATTTATCCATTTATTGCTTTAGAGTGTTGCTGAAGAAGTCTGGGAGTCGAACCCCCCGCGTGGAGCTGGAGGAGATGGGTCCATCACTCAACCTCAGCCTCCGACGCAGTCACCTGGCATCTCCAGACCTCTACAAGAGGGCACTCAGAGTACCCAGAACAGCCAAGGTAGGACAGCTGGTGCATGGTACAAGTGTTTACCCACCATAGAATGATCTCAAAGACGTACAGTCAGGTAAACCATCTCTGTGGTCTAGTGGGTAGAGTGTTTGCCTGGAGAGCGGAAGTCGGTGGTTAAGAGATGGTACTTATTGTTTCCCTGCCTGCTGCTTAGCTTTAACAGGATAAAACAAGGTCTGGTCAGTATACTGTGTCTGTGTAGGGTATCCATATTAAGCTGTGTAGGGTATCCATAAGAAGCTGTGTAGGGTATCCATATTAAGCTGTGTAGGGTATCCATTTTAAGCTGTGTAGGGTATCCATATTAAGCTGTGTAGGGTATCCATAATAAGCTGTGTGAGGTATCCATAATAAGCTGTGTAGGGTATCCATATTAAGCTGTGTAGGGTATCCATATTTAGCTGTGTAGGGTATCCATATTAAGCTGTGTAGGGTATCCATATTAAGCTGTGTAGGGTATCCATAATAAGCTGTGTCAGGTATCCATAATAAGCTGTGTAGGGTATCCATATTAAGCTTTGTAGGGTATCCATATTAAGCTTTGTAGGGTATCCATATTAAGCTGTGTAGGGTATCCATATTAAGCTGTGTAGGGTATCCATATTAAGCTGTGTAGGGTATCCATAATAAGCTGTGTAGGATATCCATATTAAGCTGTGTAGGGTATCCATATTAAGCTGTGTAGGGTATCCATATTAAGCTGTGTAGGGTATCCATATTAAGCTGTGTAGGGTATCCATAATAAGCTGTGTGAGGTATCCATAATAAGCTGTGTAGGGTATCCATATTAAGCTGTGTAGGATATCCATATTAAGCTGTGTAGGATATCCATATTAAGCTGTGTAGGGTATCCATATTAAGCTGTGTAGGGTATCCATATTAAGCTGTGTAGGGTATCCATATTAAGCTGTGTAGGATATCCATATTAAGCTGTGTAGGGTATCCATATTAAGCTGTGTAGGGTATCCATAATAAGCTGTGTAGGGTATCCATATTAAGCTGCAGCATGGTATCTCAGTAGACTATCACTATAAAGCTGGCATTATTCTCTCTCTCTGCATTGACTGATGTGAACATTTGTCATATATTAACACTGGGGAATGTTCTAGTCATTAATTGACTTGTGTGAAGGTTTATGTTGACGAGGCATCCTGTGATGAACCTGTAAGTTATAGCAACATTTTGCAAGTCTTTGTGAACCTTCCATTGTTTCTAATCTTAGACAAAATAGCATATTGGACTTAACAGTTGAACATGACTGTCATCGATTTCAGCCCAAGAAAAAGAAGAATATATCACACGATGCGTTCGGTTCCAAGCTTGGTCGTGTCCACATGCAGAAGCAGGACATAAATAAACTGCAGACTCGCAAGATGAAGGGCTTGAAGAAGCGCAAGAAGGAATCAGTTGGAGGTCAGGATGAACAAGGGTCAAGGTCAAAGAAATCCAAGCAAGCAAGAACAGAAAATGACCCTGAATGATGACATTGAAGATGATGATGATGATGATGATGATGATGATGATGTGACAATGATATGTGTTGTGGAAAATCTTATTTCTGTTTTCCCTTGTTGACTATGACTGTGTTAACTTATGAACTAGTTATCATGTGTGTGTCTGTAATCGCATGCATTGCTTGTTCAGTTATAATGGATTCAAACATTATAAACAAATAAACAACATGTTGTTGAACATGATAAAATAATTTAATGACTATACAAAACAGACAAAAATAAACATCATCTTATTTCTGTGGCAATTCACAACAGCTCATACTCATGCAATTGTAGGATTAACTGGACATTAATTTATGTCCTATTTTGTTAAGAATTTACTTAGTTACAAAATATGGAAATAATATTGTTCAATTTTGTTCCCATGAGTTACACATGTTGCTGTATTTTATTGTGAAAATGTAAATATTGTATATATGTGTAAATAAAGAAAATTGCAAATTTATGCGTTAGGATAATTATTTTCAGAGCACTGTCAGTCTAGACACTGTATGGCCAAATATTGCCAATGCAACTTTGAATTTTATCTCACTCACACTCATACTGTGAAGGCTTCACAACCCAATTATCAGGAGAAGCTGTATGTGGAATATTAAAGATATTGCACTTGTCCATTATTATATATACAAAAATGGCAACCTATGACAACATGGACTCTTCAATGTTTAACATAGACATAAAAATATTTGCGATATTGCAAGCTTATGTGAACACTGTTGTGTTAACAAAATATATACTACTCAAATTTTGATCATCTTCCCAAGGCAAGCGAGTTAACTGTAATAACCTGTCGTGCAGATTTCGGTCGATTGCAGGATTTGCAAAGCACATGTACTGCCAACTTGTTGTCAACAGATATTTTACAAATCTTTTTATGTTTTTAATCAAGGTGCTCACGTGATTTGATGCACTTCACGATGTAAGACCCGTTTTATCACAATATCACAATAGATCTTGAGTTTTGATCAGATTGTCTTGACTGGGCGCCGCCATTTTGTTTGAAGCAAATGCACGTGATACGGGAGGTGGAATTTGAATGGTCCATAGGAGATGCTTAGAAGGGACATAACTTGTAATGACCACTGGTGGCGCTACGATCGAGCCCAGGAATTCCAGCCTAGTTCGGCAAGGGTGGGAACTGGACTTTTAAAGTCAGTTAACTCTCTTGCCTCGGGAAAATGATTTTAATAGGGGTAATCAGATTTGTCATTCTTTTCAAATATACACCTGGCATGTGAGGATCCATTTTGTGTGTCATGGAAAGATAAAAACAATACCGTATTCGACGTAATAAGCGCCCCGCTCTAATAAGCGCCAACAGCGATATTTGCTAATATACTGGCTAGTGAACAATCCCAATTAACAGCCCTTCTGATTGATAAATGTACACAAGGCTATTTACGTTATTTACGCATAATACGTTTGTTATATGCACCCTTAATTATGGGCAATTAAATTCTGGTAAAATATATCCGTCGTTTATAAACATTTCAGCATAAACCACGAAATTTATGCTCTTTTTCTTTTTCACCAAAATAATATTCTAATAAGAGCCCCCTATTTCTAATTTTGAGAGCGCTTATTACGTCGAATACGGTATCCCTATACAAAGTGGAGTTGTATACAATGTGTTGCACATTGTTAAATGAGTATTGAGAGAGTCCAGTGAAAGGGAATAATGGTTGAAGCTTTGAGCAATTATTGATTAGGTTGCATGATCAGAAATTCAATTATTGTCCAGAGCTCTAGATTAGCTTGTGAAGCCCATTTCTGGTGTCCCCCTCCGTGATACTGCTGGAATATTGCCAAAAGCGGCGTAAAACCACACTCACTCACTCTAGATTAGCTTTTGGTTATTTGGGTATTTTACTTATGGGCATAATTTATACCCACAGTTTTTTTTGTTGGGAAATCAGATTTCTTTTACCCACATGTTTCTTTATATTTGGGTATTTTGACATGAAAACCTGTTTCATAACAATTCCTGGAAATCATTTAAGATCAAATGAATACCAGTTTTGCCGAATGTAACTGTAAATGAATTTCCTGATCAACTGATTCACAAACATTTTATCTAACAGCGTAATATGCTCAACAACAAAAGTTCCTGTGACGCCAATATTTTAGTGTATTTTTCAAACAAGTAAAGTTTAATTTTCAATATTGTAGTACATGTATGGAATCAAGTCACAAAAACGCAGCTGCTACAGAAAAGCAAAAGTTGACTTTTATGCAAGCCCCATGCATTTCACTACCCAAGAATGGGTATAAAAACATGTGCGTTAACGGGATTCCATATGCATTGTTTAGCATCGTGCTGACAACAACCACTCAGAAAAACAACAAAATTACGCAATTATTCAACATTACGAAATGCCACCCCTGTCCGAAAATGAGCGTCTGCGAGCCATTGGTATACTTGAAGCAGGATCGAGTCAACGTGATGTTGCAAGACAATTTAAAAAAAAAACGTCCACAGAAACACCATTTGGTGTTTATGGCAACGTTTGCAACAGACGAATGCAGTCAGAGACCATCCTCGGAGAGGCAGGCCATGTGTAACCAATAATCGACAAGACAACTGGATTCAAACAACACACCTACGAAATCGATTCCAGCCAGCAACAGTTGCATCCCTGGCCTTCGACGAATATCTTCTCAAACCGTACGTCGTCGCCTCAGATGTGCAGGGATTGTCGCCAGAAGACCCG